GTATGCAAAGCAACAAAACCAATATAATTTGCAAAACATGCAGGTACCGTAAGACTGCTATTGCAAGTTTTCGTTTTTCTGTTAATTTAGACGTTGATCCATTAGTTGTATTATCTTCGAATTCTAATATGAGCAATACGTGCATGATACCATAATGATACCACCCGGCTAGATACATTACATAGAATTATCAACATAAGTATACATAGAATTATCAACATAAGACAATACATAGAATTATCAAGAATACAGATATACAATTGTATTATAAGGTATTTTGTAGAACTGTACCAAAATTCGTGCCGATCGCAGGCAAAAAACGTTAAGCAAAAACCACCGAAATCTGGCCCACCCTGTCTCCCTTAAAATTTGTCCATGGCCAGTGTAAAACATTGATCATGTATCGCAATCCCAGGACGAGAACAAATTGGGTGTTTTACATATTTTGTGAATTCTGTCGCCTGGAGTGTTACGGCGCCGCGAACGCTTTGACGTCGGTTTGCTGTTCGCCCCATGTGTGTGGCGCAGGGGATTACAATTTGCCAAGGTCAGTTACGATAAGCAATGTTGAGCGCGTACTTCACATGATAAGTGTTGTGTTTGCTTCCAAGTATCTGACGGCTGGATAGAAATAATTTGCGGAAAATTCCAGACTTTTGTGTTACGGAGCCGTGTTTAACAAATTCAAGTCTTTAAAGCTTAAAACTATTCACGCTATAGCGATGACAAAAGTCATCATTTAAACAAGCAAACTCATACAAAACGGTAGAACCAAACGTTTGACAACCTGTAGAATATATGGCTTTCTACGAGTAAAACAAAACAGGCAACGTATACATTTCAAACAATTTACGTGGACAAAGTTTATATGGCGCAATTATTAATTTCTAACCTATAAGCATTGCATAGTAGGCGGATACTATATAGTACAGCCTAAAAAACTGTAGGCATGTGTTACGACTGCAGCATTTCTTCACGTGGCGTGTTTTAATATCCCGTGGTAGAAAATTTTTGTGCTAGTAAAAATGACAGCGACCGTTGTTGTGCTACCAAAGACAGCGAATAATCTGGGCTCAAAAAAGTGAAAAGCATTTTGTTAACAACGACGTCCACACGTGTGCAACGACGCAGCACACGTGTGGAACCTTCGTCATTCTCTCGGCAACTCCCATTTATTACATTTACGCAGATTATTTTAGTTGCTTCGAAGTATACCAGTTTCGAGCAACTAGCATTAAATTGGTACTCAGGTACTGCGTGCAGCCGCAATATTTGTTTCTCAATGTTGCAGAATATACGCATATACTGTATAATGCCCTGCCGCTAACAGTAACAATTATACTGTTCTCTAATATTTTGAGCAGTAAATTTTAATACTCGTATACAAAGTACATACCTTTCATATTTGCAATAAAAATTTAAAAAATCGAAAAGTTATAATTTATCTTTTTATAACAAAAAAGAATGGCTAAACTGGGTGCCGCACCATGGGTGCGTGATAGTTTTTATTGTACTTCTGTACATAATAACTATGAGCATAAATTGATACATAAGTTTTCAGAGTCTGTTTTGCCAACGTCTATCTAAACGACTGGCAATGTGCGATCAATGTTCTAAACAAAACTACTTGTTTTATGTGCTACTTGACTGCAGATTACGGCGAACAGTTAACGCATGCACATCAGTTACTCCAGAGGTCCGTATATACGAGTACACCAAAGACTGAAGATTCAGTAATATTCTCTGACATTTGCATGGATGCCTAAATTTCTCCAGTTGGCAGCCGCACATGACAATGAATTATTCAACAGCGTCCACCTAAATGAGCGGTTAAAGGGAAGCTAAAAAATTTATATCCCACCATTTCCCCAACTCCCATTTCTACTCGAGCCTATTAAAACGCGCGGAGAGCGCGCGCGCACACGCATTAACCACTGCATACCCGGACATACTGTATATATGTATTTTACACACGCTGCCCGTAATCGACAGCCGTTTCTGTCCATGACATAAATTTTCCCATTCATTTAATTTTAACGATCACGTGCTAGAGTCCGCCGCCTCCATCGTTCAAGCACCACTAAAAGGTCAAAACGTGACATTTGTGGTTGGAGCGCTAGCGATGGCCGCGAATGTGCGGTCACAGAGGAAATCCGCCAGCTGCTGCTGGGCTGGACTAATTAATAGTAAAAACGTACAAACTGTCCATTGACGCGCTGATCTTGCGGTTGGCCCCTTAATTTATCCGCTGCTCGTAAAAAAAAACCTTCTCCAGCAGAAAAAGGCAATAATATCCCCATCGGCAGCGGCAGCGAGCGCCATATCGATTTCTAATCACAGCCGGTGGTTGTCGACTTGTAGTGTATGTATTTATATATATGCACACACATCACACATATAAACGCCTTAACATTTGTGTATATGTGTGCAATGTGGGGTCGATCGTCAGCTGTTTCGCAGGCATGTTGCACTAATAATGCACCATTTACTCGCCTACTCGATACAAATAATTCATAGGATTATTCTTCTTTATTGTCCTGCGTATTCACTGGACGCATTCTTGGCTGTCCATTTCGCAACAAGGGAACGGAATAAACTACAGTAATCACATTTCCCGGTTAACCAATGATACAAACACACATACACGCACACTGTGTATGTGACACAGGAAGCGGGTAAGCCCAGACAACACTCATATATACGCTGCAACGTATGTGTATTTTTCATGAATAATTTAATAAGCAAGTTAGACGAAGCGTTTTGCGGGTTGCAATAGTGGTAGTGGCTGCCGTGGTATGCCGTTAAGTAAAGCCCAGCCAGCTTTCATTTTCACGGGGATTTATATTTGGAGAGTGACCGGATTATACAACATACATAGAGGCGACGCCCGGGCGGCTGCGAGGTACAGTATCCACGGCGCTCATTCCCCGGCGCACTCAGCGTTATGCTTAGCGTTGGGTGGTCTCATGGGGCAAACAGCAGCGGCTGGTAGTATTTGTATATATTACCCCGGTTTGTTGCTGCTAACACGAGCCTGGTCCCGGGTTATCGTGTAGTGTCGTTGTTGGTGCTTAATATACACACTGCACCCCATGCGGCAGGCCGTGGCGCTCTCTTGCGCGCCCTATCTGCTCCCCAATCGACAGCTCTTTTCCTGATGGAAATAAATGTAATGAGAGGTTTCCGTGTTTAGTCATCAGTGTTATTAAAACGGCGCATCGGAATCGCGCCGGCACCGCGTATAACAACGCCGTCTCGCACTCTCTCTCCTTTCGTTATACACCCCATCACTCTTGGTGTTTTTGTCTGTTTGGCGCGAATCAGACGTTTATAAGTCGTAGCACCCAGCGAATTATCGGTCATGCCACACCGTATCAATTGGAGTGTGGGAATTCTGTCGATTGCTAGTTAATCGGATGATCATTAGCTGTGGGCATGTACCCACTGTATGTGACAGGATCGGCATGCTGCGGCGGACTGGTCGTTGATCCGTGATAATGACCGGTGACCTTTCATCTCCCCCTTGCATCATGTGGCTGTGTGCAGTGTGTGGTGTGTGCGGCTGTGTCTCATGTGTGTGCGCCACTCTGAATGACAATGAGAGGTGGATGATGTGACACTCATTTGCTGCCCAGAGTGCCGGATCGCCCTGCCAACTCAAGGAGACGATTGGGCTCTCCATTCGTATATTGTGTAGTTCGGGGGTACATTGTGATCATGGCTGATGTCTCTCTATACAATGTAGGATGCGGTAATTTTTCGCGGGGATAATTGCCTTCACTGAGGCGCACTGCTCATGTGCCGGCATCCCTAATCACACGGCCCTCGACGTGCATATACACACACAGAAAATGGCAAGTAATTTATCCCGCTAATTGTCTGGCCGGTCAGTCGTGTTGCCCCCGTGTGTGTTGTTGTGTCAAGAGCAATGTTTGCCTACTTGATTTTTTATTACAATAACACATGCTAACGCCGTTAACGATTTCCAATAGGCGCGCTTCCCACATTCCCGATCGCCTGGTAGTCGGGTGGTTTGATCATACGTTGCAGCATCATGGGAGAAAACGTTTAAACTAGAAATTGATGCAATTTCAGGTCAAACGCTATCGAACACACTATATGCACCGCTTCATAGAGATTATCATTAAGCCGGCCAACATTTGCGCCATTTGTAATTGTTTCAATTAAGCATGCTCGGACATTCTGTTCCGAGAACAGTAAGCTGTTTGTTCAATTAAGCAAAAGAGCCATTAGGTTTCTTTTTAAAGTGACGGCGTGTGTCAGCGTCATAAATCACATTCTAATGTAAGAACAAATAAACACATGGGATATGTGTACAAGTACTCGATCTGCAATGTCGCAAGGTTTGTGTGTATGTGTGTAATATTATACATTTATTAGCCGTAAGTGTCGGTCTCCCACCCGCGGAGCATTCCTTGACCAATGCACACGGGGGCATTTGTGGGCATGCCGAAAAACAACGCGCTACCGGTTCGATATGTGGCTGCTTCTATGTGGCTGTTACGCCGGGTCCCTGTTGGCACTTAATAGTCTTTTGTGGCTGGAAAAACGCCTTCGTGCCGACCGGCAGCGGCACGCTATGGCGCATTACAGTGAAGCGATTAGTCGCTGATTATAAGGGCAACATCGTGGAGCATCCACAGAGAGCGCAGGGAAAACCGGGAGATCATAAGTTATGCAAGTATCCCGGATGTGCTTGTTTATCCGTCCGCATATACCGATGGCCGGGCTCCATGCGGTATTTTATCGCCCGTGATAAAAACACGCTCGTTATGAAGATTGCCGTCAATTGGCAGTGGTAGCGGCCTTGAGCAGCGCCGGCTCGTATCTATATGCCGGCTTTTTACTAATTACATCCAAGCGGGACAAGTGTGTCATTTTGTCATAAAGTAGCCTCCGGTATACAGATATATAAGAAAACAATCTTACGAATGTCTGTTAGTGTATCATGATTATATTTTCATCATTGTCTTGCGCAGGCGCCCTTCGTGCCGGTGTGGAATGTATGCGGCTGCCTTGGTAATCCCGGCCAATGTTCATCCATAAGCATATCGATATATATTGGATTAATCTGTCACTGGTTGGCCTCACTGAGTGTACTGCAGCCCAGCTACACACCGCGCCGGCGCCCGCTAGCAGTCATAGCGGTGGTGACCTTTCCGCCGGTGGGCCGCACTTCAGCCTCCGTTCACCTTATGACGAAATGTACAAAGCCATCACCGTACTGCGTGAGCTGTTTTTTCCACAATGGGTACAGCAGCTCAAAGAGCATCATGTTATCGATGCGGACCAGTTGCCGGCAGCGTCGTCATCGTCATCTGCAGCCGCAACGTCATCCTCCGTGGCCAGCCTGGCAACCAGCTCATCATCATCATCCAGCACGATCAGTATTACTGCGGCGACCAATACCACGCTGGCGACAAGTACACCCTCATCCGCCCCATCCATCGCCACATTATCCACTACAACAACATCCTTCTTCACCTACTCCACAGCAGCCAGTCCGGCCGTCACCACACCGCCACCCGACAGCCTCCTCTTCCCCTCCGCCGTCAATGTTACCAACTCGACACTGCCGTCGTCAACGCGACACTGGGACGAAATGTACATGTCCACGGCGAACACGTTTGCTCAGTTTATACAGAATATCACCTTCCTGCCCGGCCTCACCTTCCCGCTGGACTATGCCCAGCTGGATTATCTTAATCTATCAGCCGGGCTGCTATAACACGACCAACTGTACATTAGACGGCGCTAATGCCGGCGATGCGCTGGGGAAAAATTACTGGGCGCTGATTCTGCTGATTTTTCCTATCCTGACCATTTTCGGGAATACATTGGTTATACTGAGTGTCTTTCGGGAGCGATCGCTCCAGACGGCGACCAACTACTTTATTGTCAGTTTGGCCTGTGCGGATCTGCTCGTGGCGTCGATGGTGATGCCATTTGCGGTTTATATTGAGGTTAGTTTGGCATGATCATGTCACATGTACACGACGCTGATAGGCAAAATAAAAACTCTGCCTAATTGACCTTTCTAACCTGTCTTGACAAGGCGGGAAATTCCATTAGCGACTTCCGACACGGTGAAATGTCAGTCCCGGCTTTTTATAGCCGAAGGCCAAACCGGCGCTGACGTGAAAGGGAAAAAGTGTCTATCGCTTCGTTTAACTGACAACAGCCAGCTGCTGTGATAGCTTCATTTTTTTTATTCAGCGAAACGGCTTGTACAGATCAGCCAACCGATTAATCTTTATTTCTCAGCAATAATTAAAAAATAAAATGAAATTTATATGAAAATAGAAAATTAAATTAGTTTCATAGAAGTATACTAATTGATTGCAGAAGGTTATAGATTCTGTATTCCCGTTTTTGGGCGCAAAAACCAATTATAATCTGACTTATGTTTGCATGCTGTAATACTCATAATTATATTATATGATGTTTTGCAGTATACCGACTTTTGTAAAGTAGACTAGTAACCAACGTTTTTGCAAACATGTTTTTATTTTGCTTGAGAGTTAAATTTTTCGAGCTCCGTTTCGGCGTCAAGCCAAGTAGAATTCTCGGAAGTCGGTTGAAACAAACAGACTCTCCATAGCACGGAGAGATGAGTTAATTCCGCCATCCGGATAAGGGGACCAGTTAAGTAGAAGCCGCGGTTGGCCATTATTACACATCCGCTTTAATTAGGTGCAGCGGACACGCTGGGAACTGGGTGATTCGATTTGTGATACTTGGATTGCCAGTGACGTTATTGCCAGCACTTGTTCCATCTTTAATCTGACAGCAATCAGCATTGACAGGTAGGAAGATGTATATATATAAGAGAGGAAGAGAGGGGAAGTGGTGCTTCCTCTGCTGTCGACACTGCACCACCGGCGCGGCCTTCCGCCGGCACATTCATATATGCACAATGTACTGCACAACCGGCTGATTAATAGGGAAGACAATCAACCGCCTAGGTGGCCGGGGCACTGCTCAATTACAGGCAGGCAACAGCTTCCTCTCCTGGTTGTCTAGGAATTTCCGGTGAGTCGCCAACGGAAGCCTCTGAAGAAAGCTGCGTTCGGTAGCAGAAACACCGCTGCCGGCAAAACCTGTTGTTGACGATATGTATAAAAAGGGAAGAAGAAATTGTGGTGTGCAGCGCAGGAATGTTAAATATTCATCCTACCATCCATCCCGAACCGACGCTCGATGGATGATCGCTTTTAAAGGAAATATTAAGCATCGATTAAAAATTAATCGCTCTTAGTGATCGAAGGTTAAGAGGGATTGTGGGATGACATCTATGTATAAAGTTACTGCGCGTGCCGGCACTACACGGATAGAGACAGTATATATAGACACGCGCGGTTTTCCACTTGGATATAAACCGCACAGTCGATGATTAACATTTTCTTATTTAGTCACTGGCTTAGGCACGTTAAATAAATATTTACCAAACGTGCCGATTCCTTAAGAAAGTCACCTTTCGATTAGAGTCGTTGTTCTATTTTTGTCATACCTTACGATAAGGTCGCTTTTATTACAATAGTCACACCGTAAGCGCTGTTCCTGTCGAAAATTTAAACGTATAACTTTTTTACATTCAGTATTGAGCCACAGCTTTTTTTGCCGTAAAGGGTTAGGGTTGCCCTTTATATAAATTAATTGTGCGCATAATTTACAGTAGAATTCGTATAACTGAGAGATGATTACAAGAACAGCAAAAAGCTGAACGGTCCGGTTGACAATAAAACCGGCAAGAAAAAACTTTTCCGGGATTATGTTTCTCTGCAGCGTTACATTCTGCTCTATTTCGTTCAGCGTTGGGAGAGATGGATGGTGGCAGGCAATGAAAGTAGGGGAAAACACAGAGTGGAAGATGTGGAAAAACAGATATGGAACGCTTAAGTGTTAATAATCCATCCGGGCATGTGTTGATTTGGCCATTGATCACCCTGACTTGTTTGATCCCCGTTGGCATTGTCAGGTGGCTAAAAACATTACGCGCCCGTTGTGCTTATATGGCCAGAGTGGAAGAAATGGCAGTGATCCTTCGCTGGCCTGACAGACGCTCTTTCTCCATCCCTTCCCCTCTCGTCATCCATCGTTTTTCGCCATCACTGAAAAACCTCACATACATGTATACAGAAAGAGAGAATCCAGCTGAACGATATCTTTTACGGCGCACTCGTCGATAATCCTTTCTACACACAACCGATTACGAAAGTACATGTGTGATCGTTATGTTCAGCTAATGACCTTTGCCACGTGATCAGCCGGTTGCAGTGCAGTATTTTGTTGGCTCTGTGCCCAATCCACACGCACAGTACATATATCGTGAGCGTAATCATTTAAGCATGATCAGCTGCGTATATATATTTATATGTATATGCCGGCTTTTGTCTGCTTTAACCAGATTTATTGCTGTTACACAACCGCTCAAGTATGCACGCCACAAGAATCATCGTCGCGTGGTCTACACGATCCTCTTTGTCTGGCTGGTCAGCATCTGCATTGGTATGCCCATTATCCTCGGGCTGAACGTGCCGGTCTCCCACAAACAGCGTGATCCCAATCTGTGCATTTTCTACAATTCCGATTTTGCCATATATAGCTCCATGAGCTCCTTTTATATACCCTGCGTCCTGATGATTGTCCTCTACTACAAGATCTTCCATGCCATCCGCCAGCGGGCCGCCAAATCGGCCTCCTCCAATAAACGGCCCCTCCCGCCCTCCTCCGAACTCAACCAGCACCTCCCCCTCACCGAGCAGAAATCCAACCAGCTGCCCATCCCGGTAGTGGACAAACAGTGGATGAAGAGCTATCCGCATAATAATCCCACACCCAACCGGGTCGTCTCGCCGGTGGTCAACAATAAAGGTCACGCGGGCGATGCCACCACCCTGGCCAGCTCCAGCTGTCTGGTGGACGGGGAGGATAATTTAATCGAGGATGTGGATGTGGACTCGGGGAATTCCGGACAACAGAGCACCCCGCCGCAGGTCACGGCGATGAGTCCGACAGAAATAGAGGCGACGCTGGCGGACAATGTTCTGTATAGTCCCGACGTGGAGGTGGTCGAGACACCGAAGCGCGGCAAGAGGACACGCTTTCTCTCGGCACTGAGCGGCTCGCTGAATTCAAACAATGAGAAAATGCTGTTGGAGAATGGGGGTCCGGGTGGGGGTGTCCGTGCCGGGGGGAATCATGCGTACGGGCGGAAGTTCAAACAGAAAAATTTAAGACGGTCCATTAAGTCACGGGAGAAAGTCTTGGCTCAACGAGAACGCAAAGCAACTAAAACACTGGCCATCGTTTTAGGTACGGGCAAGAATAGTAATGTACTGTAACGATGTGAAATCAACGTTGCAACTTTAATAATAATTTGACTTCTACAAACATTTTACATAGTATAAATTATTTATTAAATCACGACATCAAAAAAGATTTCTGCGCGTATTTTTTATCATGGTAATAGTAGTCTAGTGCTATATCTCCTTCGTATTTGTATATTTAATTTAACACAGTACAATATATAATATAAATTTATCACCTGTAACAGAAGTAGATTTTGGACGTAATTAGCAAAACATTTAACGATAATACGAACAAACCTACAATATATTTCAAACGCATTAATTGGTTAGTGACTGTAGCATTTGAAGTTCAACTACCGGTATAACTTGCGCCGGTTTTTAGGGGTCAATCGAAGTTCATCTACAGTAATCTACTAAAAAGCTGCTTTGTGTGTTAGGTGTTTTCCTTGCCTGCTGGGTGCCTTTCTTCACAATCAGTATGATTAACGCCATCTGCGAGAAGCTCGGTGTACCATTTCCCGGTGATGATGTGTTCATGGTGACCACGTGGCTTGGTTATGGTAATTCCTTTATGAATCCCGTTATCTATACGGTTTTCAACGAAGAATTTCGTAAATCTTTTTGGCCATTTTACGGTGTAATCCCAAATAAACTCTTTGTACATTTCGGCGATTACATGCAATATACATGCGCAATTTTTGCAAGCACAGTCTTATATTTTGCGAATGAATCTCCAGATGAATTTATTACTTTTGTAATGTTCGTATGTCAGTGTGCGTTTCCAACTTCTGTCCGCTATGAACTACAAAATCCAATGACGCAATGAAAAAATAAAAGCATGGTCTGATGATTTGACTAAGAACTGTTATTCGACTTGCATCCAGTCAAAATAATTTTAAAAACCAGTCTGGAATCCACATAGACATATCTATGTAACTACATATGCACACACGCAAAAAACAATTTTTTGACTGCCATTGAGAAAAAAGCGGGCTCACACAATTTTCATTAGCCATACAGCGGATGATTTTCATACTCAAGATTAATAACAGCTTTGAAGTACTAATTACGAAAAGGTCACCACTGGTCAGTATATTCACTCAGGGGCAGCTAGCTACTGTTGCTGATATATCGATAATACTGGCAATTTTACCGAAGTTGAGTTTTTTCCCGAAAATATATGCAAATTTGAATTAATATAACTTATTTCAATCTGCGCCGTTCTTGCTTTTATCGTCGCTTTTGCCGAAACCAATAACAGATACTGTGATTTAGCAAAAAACAAAAACCCGGCAAGTGAAATAAATTAAAATTTTCTGCATAATATCAGCTTTTAAAATCGACTGTGAATGGCCGCATCATGCGGGGTCCGGACGTGCACATAGGGATTTCCCAGCATTCGTTGACTGATGACTGAAATAGGAAGCTGCCGGTTATTGTTGTACCGGAAGGCGTGCTGGTCATTGTGTGCCATCCGAGCCGGTGTGCTCGTATTGTACTCCATGTCAACAGCTAACGGAGGAACTGCCGCTGAAGAAACTGCGTACTGGCCAGCAAAGGCATCCGGCAAAGGGGAAGTGTCGTGCGCGGAATAGGCATAAAATGTCTGCCGCCCATCCGGCTGCCGGATGACGGGCGGGGATAGCGCCATGGGAAAACCATAACCCAGCTGCAAATGGATCCGGATGGGGAAATTATATCACACAATCGAATATGATTTAATAAGGAAACGTTGATTTCATCAGTATATTCAGCCAGGGCACGGCCGGTTTCTGATTGCGCTCTGTTAATCGGGGAAACGTTTCATCATATTAACTAATCATATATACCCGGCAACACTGGATCCAGTCAAGATGGTACTCCTGCTCAAAGGGCGTTTTCTTCTTGGATATTCCGGTCATGACGTAGCTTGTTCTAGAAAATAAATACAGAATTTCCTGTTTTACTGGCTTGCTAAAAATTACAGTTTTAATTAATTATGGATAATATATTGTGCGCAATTTACCCGCAAAATACCATGAACCACTGATTGGAATCGTAGAATTCGTAATAGAGGTCATGCGTGGCAACGTACTGCAGGGAATGTAAATAATTAATTCCTCAAATGCAATCTTAAAATACGCAAAATTAATCGTTTAACCAATCAACGGTAACAAGAAAAATACTTCCATAACACGAAACGTAGTCGATGTAGTATCCCTGTGGTGTTTTGCAGCATTTAAATGGCTGTAGGTCATCGCCTTGTATACTGTTATATCCACCAACGCGGAACTGATAAAAATTGAACTCGTTATCCCAAAGCGCTGTCAGAAAGCAAATCTTTATTGTAGTTTTACATGTAGCTGAAACAAATATGACACAAAATTTTATATGGAAGGCTAACCTGTTACAAAGGTGTTTATGGAAGCCGAAATGTCTTTGGCATTCAGACAGAAATATGTGTCGGTGTAATTTCGGACTACGCAACTAAAAAGCACAGTATATTAATAATCCACAGCATTCTTGCACAGAAATATTGAACTTATATAATAAGCCATAACAAAGGAAGCATTATCTTGTTTTCACCTCGGATAATAAGGGTACTTGCCATGCGAAGGTGGCTTATAGGGAAACATGAATTTGCACCAAACCATTTGCAATCTCTGCATTATAAGACATATCCAGCAAGGTTTTGTGATTATATTATTATTCTGTATTGTCCTAGAAGGGAAGGAGTCCTGCCATTCTTTTACCTCGAAGTCATCGAAAAAATCCCTAAATACATGACACACAGTAATCCAACCAAGCGTACTTGTACTGTACGTGGTACAACGGAAATCAGCTGGAAAAACTTACTGTAATCCTACCAACGCCTCTCCTGCAAAGATACGCGTAGTGTCATATATTGTGACATGTTAGTAATTATTCCGATTGTCTTATATTTCCGGTACATTATAAAATACCATTTTGAATTGTTTAAATAACATTTTGTGGGAATCGCCAGTGTGGCAGAACGCGCGAAGCCCGCCGGCGAAGGGGTACCGTACAAGTGTACAACTACAGATAGCGTAGATCAGTGGCTTCCATACTTCTACTCCATTTCTGCATTTTGTTCACATTGCGTGCGGTGAAGTAAAAGCTACCTAGTTGGTTTCTCATAGCAAATTTTTTCTTTAAAAAAGCAGACATAATTTTCTGACTCCTTGTGGCTGAAACAAGAAGCGTGTCAAGAGTATCCCAGTTTACTCATCTTGATAGCGAAGTTCGTGCAAATCTAATATCGTTCTTTTTGTTTATGCATAGTGCCGAATCTGATAATATAGTATTAAAATAATACTATTAATGGATGCACCAACCGTCCATACACTCCACAATCCATTTTCGATGTGGCAGTGTTGTTCCGCCTTCGTTATGGAACGCCGAAATTATGGTGTCGCCCTGTAGCAATTTTCAAAAATGTGCACCAAATTTTGAGCGCATGCAGAATGTACATGTCGGGATTAACTGCAAGACATCGGCAAAAGCAAATTTCGTACATAATTACCAAATTAATGCGGAAAGGTCATAATTTATTATGAGTTTACAGTTAATACAGTAGTTACCGATCCGTACACCGTATATCCGCCATAATAACGCTGTGTGGTCCCAACCAATGTATAACTAATAGAGAACAGAAAGTGCCAGGCCCATAAAGGAAGGATCATGGTTCCGCTGTTCTGTAGATTTTAGATCTTCGAATTATAAGCCATGTACTCGTATAAATTATGTTTGTAAAAATAATTATTTTACACCACAGGAACTTAGACAGACTAGATTTCACGGGTTGTGCAGAGCTTGCATGTCCTTTTAGGTTCTGTTCGAATGACAAACGTTGTGCCAGTTGTGTGCGTGATTAATGTTACCGATGTCTTCCTCTGACAATCGTCTTAACTATAAAGGTGGACGCCCCATGGTGACCATCCAACTGGTCTTTTACTTTCGTTTGATTGGCTTTTGTTACTCATTTGTTACTCATTACTTTGATTGTTGCTCATTACATACTTTGATTGGCTTTTGTTACTCATAGTTACTTTAATAATACGAAAAATTACCGTTACGACTACGAAAGTACGTTTCGGCCGACGCAATTGTTCTTCAGTATAAAAAATCTCTGACAGTCATATAAGAATGCAAACTTAAGGTTACCGCTTTACAATGTGCAAAAATAATAGCAGCACACGATTTTTAGTCTGCTGAAACATTTAGCAAAAAAAGCTGATGACATAACAGTAACAGGGTAGAAAAAACCATTGAGCACACTCCCATGACCTTTGGATGCGGAAGCCATAAACACTTAACAAAAAGCTATCACGTCTAAACATCAACAGACCAGCCGTTTTTAAAAGCTGTAACTATATAGGCTAGTTATTATCGCTGCTTTGCTGAGGGATCCAACGTCTTAGGATCCCTAGTGGGACAGATGAAATTGGTTGTCGCATTCCTTACAAATTTGTACGAATTGCTGAAACACTTGGGTATTAGCGCGACAAAACTTCGCGGCGTGAGATCGGTGGGATCGGCCACGGTCAATCGGACGAAATCGTCGATCCACTGCGTAAAGCCTCCCGGTTCCGAAGTGGGAAAAAAACAAAAAAAGAATTTGGCGGGTGTATTTGGGCGGTTAGCTGTATCCGTTAACCACGTATCTCCTGCATATTTGGCGCTCAATGTACTTAAAAGGCAGGCCGCAAGCGGCATTCTTATCGCTGAATCGACCAGAAACGAGAACCAAAAGATAGCTGAATATAATAAGTCCAACTATACTTTCAACGAACACAGTCACACCAGACAATGCAGTCCACCTATGCAAAAGTGCGAGCGTTGAGTAACTTCTTTTCAAAGTCCATGCCAAATTTCATTTCAAAGGGATTCCAATTAGATGTTGTCTTAGCAGGCGCAGCCATTCTTAAATTTACTGAATACAAGTACATGATACGTCTAAAATAATGCATTTGTACGAGTACATGCATACACTACAAAATGGCATATGTCTGGCTGTCCAAGGTGCTTAATTTATGATAGCATTATAGCTTAAAACGTTTTCCTTGAACAAACGCACAGGTGTCAGCCAGCAAAAAAGGCTACAGAATCCAGTTGATCAAGTACATTTGCTGTTTTATACTGGTGTATTTTTCATAAATAGCAAAAGTGACCAGCCATATTTGTTTTAAAAATGTGCAGCGGTAGAATCGGCCTGATGGTTTTAACCGTGTTAATCTATGTCGGTATAATCATAATCGTTGTTGCCTGGGGAGAAAAACTGGAACTGAATGAAAAAACAGGGAAAACCGAAAAAACCCACTGGGAGTCTGCGATGAAGGTTGGCCTTGGAATAACGGTGGCCTTTGTTTGCGTTCTCGTTTATCAGCTGTATCAGTACTGCAAACCGCAGCCGCAAGCACCTCCCGGAAACGTTAGGGTTTTGTTCGACGCCCGGACCGCCGCCGACCCCACAGTCCGTCCTTTTTTCCAACAGTTGAATCCTCCAGCCCCATCATACGGCACACTGTCTGAGACCTATTCGCCGCCGCCGTACACGGAAACGGCAATTAAAGTACGTGTGAAATGATAAGCTCTGTAATTTTATCACTTCGGCTGCGTTTTTTGTGAGCAAAATATGGATTTATTGATGTATTATATTATTCTTGCGTGTTATATATTTCTCTCTCTCATATTAATATTAGTATTGTCATAAATACTTTCCGTGAGGTTTGTTGGTGATTTAAACTCGAAGCATTTGTCTGCGCTGTTCTTAGATGGACTGGCGAGAACCTTCACCCCCGCCATATGTGGAGTGTCCGGAATGTCTGCGTACTGGGCCCGGGATTCCACTGCGGCACGCAATTACATGCGAAAAACTTAAAAAACGCAACTGATTAGTAGATATTAATAGGATACGTGTACTAATTGTGTTGATTATTGATCTTCTACGTACTCGACCTGCTCCATGGCCAGTCCTTCAGTATCGAAGGTTACGGGGATAATGTGCCAGTGTTTTCGTTCACTTTCCCTCTTGTTAGAGGAAATTTTTTGTGTATATATGGTTAACCATGTTTTGCGTTTGGCGTATTACTTTTCATTTGATGATCAGTTTGTACTTTGTATGATCATTTGGCTGGGCAAGCTTTCATCAGCATAATTTTCCAGGAAACTATCTGAATGAAGCAGATGAAAATGTCAGTGTTAACACGAACGGAAAGAATACTTCGGCTCAGCGGATTCCCATTTAGCGCAATACAGTACTTCTAAACTTTAAAAATTCTAAAAGTGTTTTCCAAAGTAGACAATCAGTAATGTCACGCCTGTTCAAATAGTTAACTGCACTTCAGTAATTTCGGGTTGCAAACGTTGTTTTTAACAGAATCATCGGCATGGTAAAACAGCCCCCTATATAATCCATTCGATACTCATAAGAAGAAGCAGGGGGCGACAAAGGTCAACTAGGTGATATTTCATTGGGCAAGAGTAACCAAGTTGCATACTGCTAACCACGCGCACACAGCTACATACGAGTATGACATACCGTATTTTATCAATTAGTGATGAAACTCCCCGATTTAGAGGCCGTCCCTGAAATACAATACAACCCCATGCTTTACCGTTACGAACTTATAGTGACCCACCTAGAAATACAAGCCCAGGGCTAGTAAAAAGTGGTAAAAGTCAAAACGACACCAGTAAAAATGCCACCAATCCGTGAATTAGACAGACTGTACGGCATGGAACGTAACGAATGTTTTTTTAACGCTTTTCCGGCCATTACGGTCTTTACTGAGATCCATAAAGACCAAGTCTTTCTTTTAACAAAAACAACGAATAACGTAGGAAATGCTCGTCCATTAAGCTTGTGTAATTAACACAAACGCTCCCTGAATTACAAACCCTCCTTGAAGTAAAGACCAAGTCCAAACCGCTTACGAAAAAGTAGTAATGCTGGGTTACTATTTGATAAAAATACGGTAACTATATAATGGCTGTAAATAACTAAACTGTCTTTTGAGGTCACCACATCGCATTAAATATAATCGCAACGATCGCATGTTAAACACACATCCTCGGTTCCGGAAGTCCAGTGTACATACATTTCGTGCGAACTTGGCAGTACAGACGCGACTTCGTATCTGTATATTATATAATTTTACGCCGCGCTCCTGTGGACATTGTACTTGCAGTCTTGCACTCTTTTCTGTTATATGCTACGCATGTTCGCACGATATTCAATCAAAGTCTGCATATTTTTTGTCTGAGTTTTCTTCCGGCGTCGTGCCTACTACCTAGCGGAGGTGTATGGTGATCGGTCGCGATCCCCGCCAAGCGAACTCGGCTACTAGCAAACTGGGTTTTTGTCGTGAAATCAACATAAATCAGCGCCACGTACCAGATTTTTCCCCGTTTACCTTGCTTGTAGTTTGGTAATCGTAATTCATGAACTGTTTGGTCGCATTAGTGCCGAATCAATATAATCTAATATAAACTATATAAGGTTATCTTTTCAGTATAACTGTTCTATAATAACTACTCTCATGCTTGGTTCATGCTTCAATCGTAATTCGGATTACAATAGAAATCTATCTTAAAAGATTCGTAGAAAAAGAACGAACGCGAGCCACTTTTGTTGTAGCATTTTTTGTATGTAATTCTCGAAAGTATGAACGCGGCCAATCGTAAGAAAAATGTTGAAAAACAAAAAATTTTGTAGATCGATGTTGTACATAGGTGGGTGAGGCTTTTCTCCCTTTCTACGACAATTGTTGCAAACTGACCAATGGGCAGTTCTGTCAGAATCACCATATCATACATCTGCATGTGTGCACTAACTCGAGCTAGAAGAATTGTGGAAAATGCTTTCGGCATTTGGCAGGCTCACTATAGTGGCGCGTGCTTTGCAAGCCAATGAATCCACAACATCCACAACGGAGAGAGCAGAATATGTCGTGTTAGCTTGCAATGCACTACATAATTTTATGCGTGACTGTACCCGGGCGGGATCGCGTCGGTACTTTCCCGTCGGGTTTATTGATGTCGAGCAGAAGAATGGAGTAATTTGTAAAGGAGGGTGCCGAAAAATTATTGAATAAGGTGATAATGGTTGGCAAGCGTTTGATAACCGTCCTTCCAGACATCAAGTTAACATGACCAGAAATAATTTTTGTGATTACACTAAATTTTAAAAGGTTCTTACAGCATATCCACTCATATGAATAGCGTTATCGGCTGTGAGTGTAACATTTTTATGAAGTCCACTGTACTTTGTGAGCAAAAAAGGACGTGCTGAGTGCCGAGAAAGCAAGTGTTGGGCCTTAAAAAGGCTTCCAGTTATATTAGTAGCGCTCAAATCGGCTCAGTAATTTTTTGCGAGCTCTGTTTACATTATGCGCCATTTACTAGGTACAAACCTTTTACGCTGTTTAACTGCTAAAATGTGAACTATTTCGTGTGATATTATAGAATCCTCCTGCTTTCGCTTATTAATAATAAGAACAAGCGGGATACCGCCGCTAATCGCGCCTCTGCTGGGCTGGCTCAGATTTTAGTCGTGGTCAAAGTATGGCCGCTAAGTGTTGCAGTAAACAAAACTGGTACAAGATTGCAACAACATCGTACTCTAGGGATACGACTACGATCACTGAAATCGTAGTTCTCATTTTAAGACTGCGAATTGTTGTAGAAATTCTTGTTATGATGGAAATATGGAGCTAGCATAATTTATACTGAAGGATACAATGCAGTCATTTGCGTCCTTATGGTATTTTCGTCCCGTAATACGGACAGACAGGGATACACAGAACGGCTTACAAGAGTGAACAGCCCGTTGCAATACAGTACTTGATCGATAGAACTACGTAGTTTTATAGTGTGAATATCGCCAAAGCGCGATTAGTGTATACTGGATGCTGGCACAAGCTGTTAAATTCTGAATTGTATTGATCTGTTTTTGGCATTTGGGCGCTTTTGCCAATCAGACTCAGATCTGTCGTATTTGCCAATTATCACTTTCCCAGTTTTCAGCAGAATCCGAAAGCTTTTGGCTCTTAATCAGTGCGTTGCAAGAAATTACTGTATAACAATTCTTGTCCTTTTTTGCTGGCGCAAAAGTACTTTCCATTGCTGTGGTTTTTGCTTTGCAATATTAACGTTTCCGGTTCACATGTTACAACTCTGGCTAATATGCACTATCATTATTTTTACACTTGTATTCCGGCTTCATTCACCACGTACTGTGCATCGCTTACCCAGTCATGAAACTCAATTTTGTAGTAACTGGAAGCTTGTAGCTGCTCCTTATGTTTTAATAACTCTGTCAGATACTTAGATCAATGGCAGATACAAACCAACCGGCGCAAAATCCATCAAATCCCTTTCTGGATCTAACCAAAATAATATGGCGGCGCGTCATCCTCATTACTTACTTGATATCCGTAACTTTCGTCGTAGCTGTGTGTCGTATCGGCATCATAGGTGTCACTGCCATGGGCTGCTTCGATGCCAATTATTATTACTCAACATCAGACCCTGACCATTATGTAAGTCAGTGCATATATTTGAGCCTGCAGCCTACTGAGCCTACTCGTAGTGATACAAATATTATTTTATGACAGCGATATCGTACTTCCAAAGAATCCACCACGCTTCTGTTAACTATTCTTTGCTACTTCCCTGGCAGCGTCTACCTGTGTACCATCGTATGGGCACTGAAGGGATCCTGGCATTTGCTGTTGGATATTTATTCATTTCGCCAGACTCACAATCTCATTGACCTTCGAAGATTTACAAATGTCTCAGCGCAATGGCAGAAAATGTGCGGTAACCTGCACGGCAGCCTTCACTTTGAGAAATTAATTAAGTTTCAGGTAATCATCGGGGTATCCATAATCACGCCAGTAGGAGCAAGCTATTTCCTAGAGTATTTCAACCAGGAGGCGTATCACTTCGATACTCAGCGGAGAATGTGCATATCATTCTGCGTAATGGAGGCTCTGGCAGAATGTCTAGATCGCTACGTCGAACGGGAAGTGAAACGCTTGGAGCACGAAGTCATAGCGTCCTGGTTCCAAGCATGGACAAACCAAAAAATGACGCCGTATATTGCAAAACATCATGAGGCTTTAATTCAAGAGCTTACCTTGACCGCGAAAGCCTTTAAAGAATTCATTGTTTAAAAATTATGATAAATTGGGATCCCGTGACGGCTTATCGCATCATTTAAACACTTTTATGATACACCCGCACTCTAACGAAATGTTAGAGCTTTTCAAAATGTCCTTATTTTTCTTAATAAGTTATGGAGCATGCTCCGGATACCATCTTTTATCACTCAAATCTTCGACACCACTGTTCACACCAATTTTTGTCTAACATCAATGGACCAGCCGTTTTTGACAGTTGCATCGATGCAGACTAGTTATTATCACTGCTCGGCTGTTTTACTGAGGGATCCAACGTCTTAGGATCCTTAATGGGACAGATGAAATTGGTTGTCGCATTCCTTACGAATTTGTACGAATTACTAAAACACTTGGGTATCAGCGCGACAAAACTTCGCGGCGTGAGATCGGTGGGATCGGCCACGGCCAATCGGACGAAATCGTCGATCCACTGCATAAAGCCTCCCGGTTCCGAATTGGGTATGTCGGTGGCATCACCATACTCGACGTACGGTGGGCCGTACTGACACGCCAGCGAATAGGGATCGTTCGGCATTAAATGTACATTACGCAGCTGAGTTGTGATGGAGTCGTTGGAGTTCCCATGGTCAATGTAGATGACCGTAGAATTATCGATGTACAGAAATTTTAAGCCGCTCATTTTGGATAAATCTTTGCGGTCAACGCAACCAATAGGATACGTATTTAGAGAAATTAGAGGGTTGCGCGCTAAGCTCAGATGGACGAGATTCGAGGCGTCTGATGTGAACATTCCAATGTAGCTTTGCAGCTTGTTCCGGCCAAGATATAAATTAGTCAAAGCAGTCAGGCTGTAAAAAGCATGAAATGAAAGGAATACGAAACATAGCACAAACCTAATTAAATTTCTATAAAAGTATAAGATTCAGATCAGAAAAGTATAAGTATAAGTAGAAGTATCAGATAAAAGTATAAGTATAAGTATAAGTATCAGAAGTATAAGTATAAGTAAAAGTATAAGTATCAGATTCATCCGGCGCACCGGTATATAGTCAAATTACCACTCCTGATGACCTTTTCGTACCTGTTAAGAGAGCCTTGACCAATGTTGAGCATACCATTATTCGAGAGATCCAAAAATGTCAGATTCGGAAGATTAGTAAATTCTCCCACTTGGACACTGACAATAAAATTGCTGGACAGATTCAACCATCGTAGACTAAATAAATCGGAGAATGTATTCGGACCGATAGTCTGTATGGCATTTTCGCCTAGGTGCAGCTTCTCTAGATAAGGATATCCGGTTAATGAGTCGCGGGACAAATACTTAATCTGATTTTTTGACAAATCTAGAAATTTCAACGACTTTTTAGTCGCTTCCGGTATCGCTAACAACCTTTTGAGTATCCATGTCTTAAAATATCCAGTTTGCAAACTGAGCTGCTTCAGTCGGGGATTGCTGTAATTACCCAGGGTAGCGAAGGCCGAGTCGGTAAATTTCGGTGACTTCTGCATGGATTCCGAGCAAAAGTTCATGAGCAACACTTCCAGTGACTCTGGTAAGCCCTTAAAGAAATTCTCTGTGACCTTTTCAAATTTATTACAACTGAGGTCCAACTGCCTTAAACTGGAAAACTCGCTGATCCACGAACCGTTAAATATTTGTAAGCTAGCTTGGGATAGATCCAACGTGGTTAGATTGGGAAACTGTAACTCAGGAGGAAACGGTGACGGATACATTTCAGGACTCGACACAGCTATCAGTTCACTGTGAAATTTGTTTCCACTTAGTAATAATTCTTTTAATCCGATTGTTATATTGGCAAAAAACGCGGACTTTGGTAGCGCCATTAGGATATTGTTGGAAAGGTCAATCTTTACCAATGGTGCGATGAGCTGATCAAAAATGTCGATCCGGGCTAAATCCCGAAACATATTACCTGCCAGGTTTAAAGTGGTCAGCGCACCAAGACCTTGGAACAGACCGATTTGTTTCGGTAACACGGTATTGCTCAAATCCAGTTCTTCCAGCAAATCAAATCCCGTAAACATGTTCGTGGCCTTAAACAACTGCCCGAATTGATTCCCGCTAAACGAAAGCGTTTTCGTCGTATTGATACTGGCTAGCGCGTCTTTGGCGTCTTTTGAGGTTGGTAGATTATTGTTTGACAGATCGACGACAACGCTGTTATTGGCCAGATTCAGATTTTCGATGATCGTTTCCATTAGATTTTCTTGTACATACTGATGACTCCCGTTGAATGAATTGTTCGTAAAAATGAAATGTTTTAAAAGGCTTCGCGTCGTGAACAGTTGATCCGGAATGTCGCTGACACTGATCGTAACGACATTATCCGCAAAGGTCATCGATTCCAGATTGGGGAATATGTTGAGGAAATTGTCGCTGATGGTCGTGATGCTGTGCCCGACAAAAACGAACATTTTCACATTCTGTAAAGGCGTAACCTCTTGGAGATCGACAGAGAGCTGATTTATGCCGGTCTGTAGGAGAATTATTCTCTCGATCTCGGCGGGGAGAAGTTCAGCGTTGAACTGGGTCACACCGGGGGCTAGTTCGATCTTCAACGTCCGGATCTTGCTTTCTCGCAGTACGGGAAAATTAACCAGGTTGGTGAGGTTGAAAATATGGAGGCTGTTCATATTGTGACGGATGGGACGGAAGACACCGGACTCAAGTTCAATAATGCTGGGCGAATTCCAAATTAGCATGTTAAGTGTTTTATCAGGAAAATTAAGACTTTTTACCAACGCTATGAGATCGTTGAAGTTAACCGCTTCGCAGATGATGTCGTAATCATCCTCACGGTAACAGTCTAGCTGGCAGTCATGGTCTGAAAAACTGAATGCTAATCATAAGAGCCATAATACAATTACTGAAAAAACACAATCACTACAGTTAATTGTTTTGGTGAGCATTTTGATTATCATGAGAACTTACGCTATCCGCGCAAGTATTACAGTTCTGTGTGTTTATAAATGTTACACAGTGCTACCTGAAAAGTAATATTATGAAGGTGCTGTACAAAAAGGTGATGAAGGTGCTGTATCTATGCTTTTTGTTTTTGCATTTTTTAAAAAAAAAAGACGAACGAGAGAAACAAACTTCGTGGTGTTCTGCCGCAGAATCACCAGGGTGGTGCACATAGGTGTACGTATTGTGCTATAACCCTAGCTTATTGTTTTTACAACAACCCAGCCAAATACCTGGCAGCTTCAAGGAGAATTCAAAATTTTTTATTGTGTCATGGAAGCTCAATGAGCACCAGCCACCATGATCATGCGACCTCGCTGCACGTAGATAGTCGTATTATCAAGGAAATCATTGTATTGTAGCGATAGTATTTGTACGAACGATAAGACCACCCCGTTATGATTCATCGTGCCAACGCGTTATGAATTTGTGTCCATTTCACCGGCTACTTTTCCTTCTCATGAATTTCTAGAATTCAGTCTTGACACTTGCTTGCTACAGCTTGCATCTACTTGATTGCTCCTCTTGTTGAAACTCTTGCTTACAACCTTGTCGCGTTCTTGATTCCCTTGTCATTAAACATGCCTTGAGTTACGTTGTTGCGTTTGACCGCTTGGGATGAACTAGCGTCATCCCAATCGGAGCCACCTGTGTAATTGCGTTACATCTGTAAGAGCGTCCTCGGCCAGCATCGTTGCCGGCCGTGCCACCTTTCATACCAACAGCCGCATAATCGTGGTAAAGGCTGATCGCCACCCCACTAGAACAGCAGCCAGATAGGCTGTTGTTACAGTATGTAGACCAACTTTAACACTTTACCGACAAAGCAAGCCTCTGGCAGTGTTTATTTGCTTGTTTCTATCAAATTTTCAAACCCTCTGGGTTCCGTATTTCACGGGTTGCATTTTATACGGTTATTTGCATTGCCATTTCTTTACCAGTTAATTTTTTAAACGGCTGTATGTAAAATCGAATCTTGAAACTGAAAACCGTTTACCTCAACAAACATTCGTAGACTCATACATTCGACCAGTTTAGGAATTACTGGAACATAATATTAGTGACTACATAAGTAGCAGTTATTTAAGTATTACATTTTCTACGTTTTTATTCGTTTTGCGGATACATTTACTGGTCTGTCTGTTTTGGGCTCGGTTTTTTAACGTTATCAATTCTGTTTGTTTTAAAGAAATACAACATTAAATTCCACATACTAAGTACTAGTATATAAAAAGGTGGATAGGTGGATTAATGATTACGTACTTTCCGAATATCCAGAATCGCCAGCCAGTACAGCCGTACTGCCGTCGCTGGTGTCGTTATACAACGGTGGACAGATGTCATCACCAGCGACAATGGGCAGAATGGGACAATGCTGATACCAGATCAGTAATCCACTGATTACGTGAAGTACGGACCGCCTTTGGACGGCGATAGGTAATCGAGTCAGCATGGCCGTAGTGCAGGCTGGCTACTCGTTAGTTGACGCCAAAGTGACACACACTATCAAGGCGAAATGACTGGCCGGTGCCCAACCATCAATAAGGAATTATTCTGGTTGAAAGGAGTTTTCATTGAATTAGCTCTTTTGGAAAACAAAACGCTCAAAATCGAAAGATAAACCCGTAGTACTGGTAATATTGCAAACTTTTACCGCACCAGTAAGTCATGACTTTTGAGAACCAACATACGCCAACTCTCATAATTGCCGTCAGTTCGGCGCTGCATGTACACAGCAATCTGCAGCCACAAGGCATATTGCATGCCAGAAGCTGTGTAATAAAAATCCCTTGCATGGAATGGTCCTAACCGGTTAATTAATAACGCGTAGTAATTATGCTGAACAGTACTATAGACCAGTTTTACGGTACGGTACTGCAAATAAAATAAGTATAATTCAGATGCCGGTAAACTGGAAACAAATTTTGCTGGAAAACCTTTAGGCCTTGGGCAAACTAGTAATGAAACAGCGTTAAAGTGCAATAAAGTGGTCAATTGCGACGCCGTACGGGGGCTATAAAAACAGAGTACTCGTATTTGACGGGTACCAAAATTATAACAATGTACGTAGATCAAAAACAGTTATTTTTAAGCATCGTGGTGTTTTATTCATTACAACAGGTACGTGTATCATTGTAAGGTTACTAATAACTGCTAAAGCCTACTTAAGAAATATTGTGAATTTTAATAATTGAACTAAGTAGAGTTTATTCATTTTTGTCCTTTAATTGCCACTTGTGGTCTTCTAGAAAAATAAAAATTCTGACCAAGGGTACCAGCTGCATACTGATTGAAAAATAATCTTTATAAGGATTGGAAAGTATTTTTCCTGTAGGGATAAGCATTTTTCTATCTTGTAAATTCACAAAAATAAAGATAACTCAGAACAGTTTTGTGCAAAAACTTCTTTATATAGGTAAGTTACACATTATCTATACTTGGCACTCACAGTATAAAATACTGGAAGTGTACTACGAAAGTGAGAAAGTTTACACTATTTTCTTTAATTATATGTATTAGAGCGACCTCCCCATTTTGATCGATATCAGCAGAAACTGGACGCTTTTATTCTTTCCCTTGTGTGTGTAAAAAACACATGAACAAACACGGAAGGCACCACCATCGATATAAAAACGGCAACTGTAACGCAGCAGTATTTCGAATATACGGATTACAGAATACAGAGGGTGATTTCGCAATATGCTTCCAGCACGGACACAAATTTGTAGAAATTCTCTCCCTTGTTCTTTCCTTCACTACTTGTCGCTTAAAAATACTTCAATATGTGCTTTATAATTCATCATTAGTTGAATTCTATAAACGAAGTAAGTGTCACTCAAAAGTGATTTTAAAGCGGAACGCCCAGTTTTCCAAACTTAAACAAATTTTTGACGAGGAAATCTTTTTGCCAGTTTCCTTATTTTCTGAAATTTGATATAGACCATCGTAATCGGTGAGGCGCAAATGTAGCTTCTTTATTAGGACAGGAGATACGAAATTCCGTGCTGCCGCTTTTAAGTATCGTATTAACAAAAAATCAAAATTTGGTAAAAAACGAAAACGGATGATGTTTGTTTTCCGAAATTATTTACCGGGACAATAATGCAGTGCATGTGGTCCCTCCCAGTAATAAAACCACCGTAGATGTCTATACTAAAAAAGTCGCTTAAAAAACTTCTCAAAAAAAGCAATCTGGATTTGCAACCCGGGGAGGAACGCAAGGGAAGCAGTCAAAATGGCTGTCTTCCAGTTCAAGAAGCTAACACAACGTACCAGTGCCTAGAATCTCACGAATCCAGATGTTTTCTGAAAGCCACATGATGTAACAGTTCACGAAGTCTGGCACCCATAGAGTATGAATTGATGACGATTTTTTAGCAAATTTTTAATGGAAAGCATTGGAAAACGATTTGCAAATTGTTACAGTGTAGCGCACAGACCCTTGTCGGTTTGCAAAATCCTACCGTATTCTATATTGTTTTCTATTCCTTAAAATTAATTTGTTATGATCGCTAAGAGAAAGAGCTTTCAAACTTAACGGCTCTAAAAATAAAACATGCACGGTGAGGATGACAATAAATTCATAAAGAAAGTGGAAGCATATTGCAAAATCACCCTCTGTACATGCAATAACGATAACAAAAGTTGTAGTCATGTTTTTCCACAGACCATCTTCTAACTGTTATTGTCATCTGCAGGTTTTTTAGCGGTCGGATCGAACGTTTTGGGATCTTTGATGGGGCAGATGAAATTCGTCGTGGAATTCCTCACTTGTTTGTCATTGTACGCGATGCACTTCGGGATCATAGCCACGAATGTCCGCGTGGTCAAATCCGTCGGATCGAACACCGTCAGGCGCAGAAAATCATCCATCCATTCGCTGAACCCACCTGGTTCATGGTTATCCGGCGCGGTTCCGTCCGGTCCGTTCAGCGGTATCCCAAACTGGCAGTCAAAATTGTATGGGTCACGCGGCTCCGGTTTGGTAGCCCGCATCTTGGCGATCAGCTTCGCTCGACCGTCTTCGTTGCCGTGATCAATGTACAAGGAAACGGCTTTGTCGATGTAGAGGAACTGCAGATTTTCCAGTGGAATCAGGTCTTTGCGGTCCACACAGCCTGTTGGGTAAGTATATAGGGATATAAAGGGATTGCGCGCTAAACTCAGATGCCGCAGTTTCTTCCCACCATCGACAAACATTCCAATGTAACCACGAAGATTATTGCCGGCCAGGTATAAATGAGTCAGCTCCTTTAAACTGTTAAACCAAAACGGCAATTTAATAAACAACATAATCATAATTTAATTGCCCAGACGCAACCAACAAGACGGCGTGGAAATGTTTCAAGTGTAATATTTGTTTTATACATTGGTTCATTGCTTGCTTCATATTTTTTATTTACTACTGGAATAATATTAATTTCTTTCATTGGTATACTACTCCTTTTATACGCCCCTGGTGAACGAAGAAAAAGCTGCATACCGATGACCTTTCCTTAGTTTGCTTGCTTTGGGTAATGAGTATTCTAAGGTAAGTCTGCAGCTTTGAAGTAAAACCTAGAGGTCATAGCCTACACGTACCTATCAAGTGATCCCAGACCAAAATTTAACAGTCCGTTATTGGACAAATCCAGGAGTTGTAAATTATTTAGCCCGGCAAATTCCCCGACCTGTATGCTGACAATGTGATTGCCGGATATATTTAGCCAACGCAGATTACTTAAATCACTGAACATTTTCGGTCCGATAGTCTGGATGAAATTCTCTCCCAGATTCAATTTTTCCAGATAACTAAAACCCGTTAAACTCTTGCCATCCAGATATTTAATCTGGTTCTTTGAGAGATCTAGCCATTTTAATGACGTTTTCGTCACCGCCGGCAGTTGCCGCAAATATTTCAAAATCCATGTTTTGAAATAACCGGATTTGAGGACTAACTGCGAGAGCTTGCTCCGACTCCCATTACCCAGGGTCGTGAATGCCAGCTCGTGCACTTTGGGCGCAGCCTGCATACTTTCCGCGCAGAATTCCATAACCAACACCTCCAGAGAGGGTGTCAGATCCACAAAAAATTCTCTGGTGACTTGCTTGAATTTGTTGCAGCTGATATCCAACGTCCGCAGCACTGGGAAATTGGCTGTCCACGATCCTTTAAACGTCTTTAACCCCGTTTTGGACAAGTCCAATCGCGTCAGCTTCGGGAACGTGAATTCCAGTGGAACCGGCGCCGGATAACTGTTCTCATCGGGTACATCCAAAAGATCACTGTGGAATTTGTTACCCCTGAGAATGAGTTCCTGCAACGTTGCTGTTAAATTGGTGAAGGATTCGGATTTCGGTATAGCCATCATGATATTATCGGAAAGGTCAAGCGTCTCCAGTGGTGACGTCAGATTTTGGAAGATATCGATACGCGCCAGATCCCGGAAGCGGTTCCCACTGAGATCCAGCTTCCGTAGTACAGTGAGTTTACGGAACAATCCGACCTGTTTCGGCACGCCGGTGTTACTCAGATCGAGATCTTGCAAGAACTCAAAGCCCCGAAACATTTCCCCGGCTGAGAAAAACTGGTCGAATTGGTTACCGGCGAAAACTACTTTCCTGGTGGTGTTAATACTCGAAAACGCGGTTACAGCATCTTTTGTAATCTGCAGGTTATTACCGGCCAGATTGACCACGCTGCCGTTATCCACATTCAAATTTTCGATAATTGTCTCGAACAGCTGTTGCTGGACAAATGTCGAAGTGAATGTGTTGTTAACAGCGACAAATGTCTTCAGTAAACTCTTCGTGGTGAACAAGGAGTCCGGAATGCGCGCCATCGAGACAATATTATCGGTAAAGGTCAACGTTTCCAAGTTGGGAAATATGTCCATAAAGTCATTACTCAGTCCCGTGATGGTGTGGTGTGCAAAGGCAAAGAGTTTCATATTCTGCATGGGAATAACCTCTTGGAGATCCACCTGTAATTGGGTAATGCCGGTGGCCATCAGGACAATTTTCTCAATAGTGGCCGGAAGTAATTCCGCATTGAACTGCGTGACGCCGGGTGCCAGCTGGATTTTGAGGGTCCGTATCTGGCTTTCCCGTAGAACGGGGAAATTGATGAGATTGCTAACATTGTACAGATGAAGACTTTTCAGTTGCTTTTGAATCGGACTGAAGACGCCGGATTCTAGCTCGACAATGTCGGTTGAGCTCCATATGAAGAGATTGATGCCTTTGCTGTCCGGCAGGCTAACGTTCTTAATCATAGAGATGAGGTAGTTGAAACGGGTGTTCTCGCATATGATGTCGAATTCATCGTCGCGTGTGCAGTCCAGTTGACAGGAGCGAGCTAGACAAAAAATAAATGTTATCGATGTTTTTATTCATGGGTTTCAGTTACACGTACAAAGTTATATATTCAGACGATACGTACAAAGTTATATTAGTGAGGCGGCGAAACACGCACGAAATCGAAACTGGAAGTAGAGTACATATAGACTCTATATATATCTATAATATACAGTATGTATACAAGGTATACAAGCTATGTATACAAGGTGTGTATACAAGGTATATACAAGGTATATACCGTACAGTATAGCATATACCCACGATTCTGTATATTTTGCTTTGGCTAACGCGATCAGTTTAATTTATTACGGATTTCGATACATACAAAGCTTAATTGCGAACCGGTCAACCATAAAGGGATGTTGGAATATCTACCGGCATAACGGAGTGACTGCGTATCTCAATCAAAACCAAATTAGCAGGATAATCAGGAGAGTTACTATCCTAGATTCAATTAAACACCAATTTCTTAGAAAATTTCGGGTAGCAAAGAAGACTGCTGCTCAGCCGCCTAGTAAACATTTTCTGGGCGCGCTTCCGACTGCGATAACATCGGTAAATTACTTATTTTGAAATTTCTCCCTTTCTCTGAAACCTGTTAACGTGGCTTTGGGTTCGAATGTTGTTTGGGCTATTCAAATCCTGCCAGTTTGCATATATATTTCATATACAAATTAGCCGTATTCAAACAAATCTAACACTTTTTATTGATTATAAATTCACATGTGCACATTAATTTTTTTAACTGGATTACTATACTTCTAATGAAAGTGTATTTTTTATTTAGCACGGTAATCAGACTGGATTTGGCCATGACCAGAATATATTTATATTATATAAAGTACAAAGTACGTACGAGACGTACAAACGTACGTACATTGTACAAAGTGCGTACAAAGTACGTATCTATATGAGTAAATAAAGTACGTAATGTATGAGAACAGGTGAGAGTCGTTCCACTTGTTTTCTGTTTCAGCGTTTAAGTTTGGAGATTATGCGTGGTAATGCTATGTGTATTGTGCACAGTCCCTTCTCGTGTTAATTGCAATTGGGGCAAATTCTTTATTTGATTGTACATACTGACCATGAGTAGCGCTCATTGATGTGCATATTGAAAAATAAATAACATAACTTTATAATAATATAAGCTACATAGAGCGTACTAGCGCTGTAGCGCAGGAAATTTCCGGCGGACAGCTTATGGTTAAGAACTTAGGCCCTTCGTGTAATATAATTAATTACATATCCTTGTAAAATTGTTTTGACAAGGATGACAACAGCAGTCAAATGTCAAAATAGTAGGCTACAGGTGGGGCTTTTGGTGGGGCGGCACAACCGTACTCGATTTTGAAATGAGCAAGAGTGCCGCTGGTGGAGAAATCCTCAATCGAGTGGTAAAAGTATTGTAAAAATGCTGAAATACGATTTCCGTTAGGGGAACGTAAAATACAAAAAACCCACCGTAAATATGTCAAGCTAGCGCCTCAGCTGTAACTAAAAGCTATAAATGTTTGTAGCTTTTAATTGTAACTGACCAGGGCACTACATATTTCCGCCTCCAAATTCAAACAAATCTCATTTTTTGTATAAAGGTAGTAGACTACCGTGGTATATTTAAAAAATTATTTTCATCTGCAAAGGTCGATTAAGCGTGGTCTAACATAAATTAAATGAGTACATAGTACTGCATACTATTATTATGCAGTACGGACTTTACCAGAATAATATTATATTAATTTTGCGGCCACTGGACCAGCCGTGGGCCCTTCCAGGTTTTAAGCACCGACATAACTCCAAAAACGCTTCCGATAGTCCCATCTATACATTTTGAAAACTTCCTAACTAAATGCTTCCTAAATCCTAATAGTTCGTGAGCATATGGGCATACAACACAAACAGCTTGGAAATTAGTTATTGAATTTCTGAAATTTGATAATTCTGCTGCGATGGTCACCGCACACGCGCTGTAGTACGTACGTCGACGCTCGGCATGTGGAAGGATCCACGGGACGGGCAGTGCCCGCAAAAACGATATTGCGGCATAAAATGCAATTACGAGTACTTAATTAATACTACAATCTAATAGTATGTGTACTCTGTACTCAGCCAATTTATGTTAGATCACGCCCAAGTGACCTTTGAAGATGAAACTATTTTTTTAATCATACCACGGTAGTACACTACCTTTTACAAAAAACGAATTTTTTTTTAATTTGGAGGCGGAAGTAGTTCCCTGGTGAGCAAAAACTGTATTGCTGTGTCTGAGTAAACATGCAAAAGAACCAAATTATAAATTCCTTAAAAACTTATATCAGACCGACAAAAACTCACAGGAACGCATTTTTTTTCATTGGAGAGCCTAATGCCACTGCGTTCGAATCGATATGAGCAAAAGGCTACCTGCTATCTAAATAAGTATAGTTAAACAAAAAATATAGTAACCACTACAGGTATTTTGTAAATTTAAAGCTAAACTGATAGACAAAATAGCACAGCGATCCAATATTTGTCAAAAGTTGCGCTTCGGTTTCCCCAGGTGCGTAAAAGTACATAATTTCTTAGTTTTGCGATAAATGAACGATTACTTAAAAAGAACAGAAATACGTACTCTCTGAAAATCCCGAGCTGCCGGCTAAAAGGGCTTCGCTATCGTCATCATCGTCGCCATACAAATTCGGACATAACTTGTCCGCTGCCTCAGTCCACAAAGAGAAATACAAAGATATGATAAAGCACAAATAAAAGCGTCTTCCATGATCTCCACATGGTGAACACGGTATCCCATGTGGATAGTGTTCTGGCTAATTAATCCGCATCTGCTGGATATTTATAATGGCAAATTAGGACTACGTAGATGCATTCACTTTCACTCACAATAAGCAAATTAATACGGGACGATTACTTACACCTAACATGCCGTAATTTACGCGCATTATTGCCAGAATGGAATGATTTACGCGGCATGCTTGTTTTTCGAGGTTCCAACCAGTGAAAAAATAATAACCAGTGTTATAATCTCGTATATCAAGAGTCCGTGCGTTAAAATCACGTTGTGTCAAAGAATGGATGCCCCGAGCGCTTAATGGCTAAAGGGCATCCGCTGTCCATAAGAAAGGCGACTGATAAATTAGAAAACATGTACGGCAAGCAAAAGTGTAGGACTGGCATGTTGGTTGCGAAGCGGATGCGATATTATTGTTCCATAGTTAATTCTTATTAATACACACGAGCAGAGTTTGAGAATAACGATTGCCGTTTTCCTTACAATTAGTTACTTACTTATACTTTCGCTTCCCTTATTTTTCATTAATTGTATTGTACGGAGCGTTCGTATTAATCGTGACGTTTTTCCTGAAAACCGATACTGATTGCATGAGAACTTATTTGCATAATTAGGGAGAATTATCATTTTATGGTCTGGATGAAATTATCTAAACGGTTAAAGGATTTCAAGAGTATACAAAGAAAAGGGCGCATCAACTTATATTACAGTATACCACGCTGTATGATAATCCATATCTGTATGTATAAACATGAATTGCTTGCGATAAAAAAAAAACAGTAAAAAGCAGTTGTGCCGTGCTTTTGTATTAACATCAATTAGCCACCAAACATGTAGCATACCAAGATTTATTATTTGTCAACGCAGGCGTCATGATCTATGGTACAAAATCTAATGATTTAAGTTGTCAACATTGAGACCGTCCGGATTGGGAGGGTTAACGTCGTGTTTCTAGATCCAAGACAGCCACTGATGGCGTCGCTGTTAATGTTTGCATTATTATTCTGCAGATACTCTCGCACAATCAGCATGTACGTCAAGAAAATACCCATTAACTGCAAAATAAAAACCCAATATGAGGAGAAAGGTCACACTTGCCGGATTTTTTATTTGCATGTATACGCTTAACGTACCGAAACGGCAAAACCTTTGTCAATGTTGCAGAAGCCGGCAACTGTCAAACAACATGGCTGTTGTCTCATCGCGTGAATTCTGGCATATGTAACTTGCAGAGCCTCCTGTAATTTGAGCATTTTCCTGATGTCTGCCGTCATCTCCCATGCTCTCCCGTGCGCGATTTTGTCCATGTGGTCATGCAGACTGGCGACTAGGTTGCCAATCTGAATTTCAGCAGTCAATTTTTGATGATATTCATTGTAATGAAAACTGTAAGAGTAAGTGATATGCAGCTACCGGCAAATATTTACGTACCGAGCAGGTGAAGCGCATGGAAAAGTATATCGGAACGGCAATGGTAAGCGAGTACCACATGATGAGAATAGCCGGAAACAGTGGCGCTAGTTTTCTTCGTAGGTGGGAATTCTCGGGCGATATCATATCGAATGTCGGCGTAAAACAAATTATCGTCATGAACATGTTGAGAAAATGCACCGCCAAAATGTTGGAGAAACAAAACTCCAAACTTTCCCACAATTTCTTCACACACTGTAAGATATTATACACCGCCGCAACATCCGGTATTTTCTTGCATGCGTTGTTTGCACCTTCCGTGCATCTACACAAGCTTTCCACAGAAAGAGTGGCTGCAAAGGTCAGCATACAGAACATCGCAATGATAACTTGTTCCATCCAGACAAGCAGACCTTGGCTGATCAGCAAAAGCAGCTCATACAACCAAAACGGCTGACGACGAAACGGCCAGAATCTGGGCCCATCGCGAAGCACACCCGGACTGAGATAGGCGAACTCGGCCTCATGGGTTATAAAGGTCAACACAAACATTACACTACCCGCGCACAGCAGTATTCGTTCCAGTGAGACTATCTGTTTGGATTGTGCAGCACCGGTAGACGTCGCGTAAAGGTCATCCAGTAGCGTGTGGACAGATTGTCGCGCGTTGACGTGCGCTTGAAATCTTTTGCAGCTTCCATAGAACACACATACCGCTGCCCCGCAGAGCACGACCTTGCCAAACCATTTACACTCTCCGAGAAACCAGCGCAGGGTGAATTCATCGGCGGTACAGGCGTTAATTACAACCTGGATTATTTGACGCATGACACACAATGCGATGAATATCGCATATAGAATTTTTAGTATTCGCCTAGCAAAATGGCGGATCTGTTTAGAAGGGGATAGCTGTAGCGGCTGGCAGCTGGATACGGGTGTCAACGTATGCATGATTTGCCAACATAAGCCCAAATCCCAATGTTCTGAAGCTGGTGAGGTCATCGTATACTGTATGTTAAGACAATGTTGATTTCAAGTGTCTTGATTCTACAGGAAGCAGTAAAAAAAGGGCCTTTAAAAGCCGGAAAGCATCAGCTGCAACGCTGAGCAAACACCGGTAATAAAAAAATACATCATTGGATCATTCAATGTCAAGGCTGGCGCGCTCTACACTTTACAGTGCCATGGATTTTCGGTATACGTTTTCAAAAAATATACTCTGTACGTCCATGTTTTATTTTGTGAGGTACGTAATCCATATCCCGCGCAGCTGTATTAACATAGCACGCTGTTTAGTAAAGCATTAAATGTCATGCAGCTCCAAAGAGACATCTGAGCCATTCGCCCCTTAATGGTATTACAGTATGTTCATCTACTTCCACATAAGTTTACCGGCGGTATTACGAAGTACAGCTGATTGTGAGTTACTTCGAAGCTACAGCAGATAGTAGATTCGCAAATTATTATACTTACTTTTATTGCACAATTCTGCATAATACTGAGTTTGTACGGTTTTGTGAAATGACGCTGCTTTGAATGGGTTCTGTCCGGAGTGAAATAAAAAAATTAATGATACTGTAAGCGGAAATATGCTCGAAAGGATGACGATCAACGAAAATACTTACAGATAAGTATTGTGTTCCCTTTTAAGAATTACGGCATTTTCGCTGGCTAGAAAAGCGTCCTTGACAAACGAGAGCTACTTTCTATGACATTACAGAAAATCAGTTGGCGCACCACTACAGCATATCGGGGTTGAAAAAAGCTTTCAAGTAATCTCGTCTGGACTACTGACTGACAAAATCTCAATTTTTCAGACGTTATAACAGTCCCACTTATGCAGATATTCGGCATCGTGGGAATTATGCTTTGCTTCTCTTACAACACAACAACAACGCTCGCTTAACAACACATTGTGCATTGTTAAGTGCATTATCAATTCTAATGAAGATCAAACTGAAGTGACTGAACACGGTAATCAGTGTACATGCAGGTCTTTAATTGTGACCAACCGCGTACATAATCTAAAGTCTACAGAAATTCGTACATATATGTAACAAATCAAATCATCAATAATCGAGTATACAAAAAAAACAAAAGAAACTGTAAAGAATCACAGCGCCAAAAAATTTCATATAAGTTTCAAAAGAAAACGCATTTTTCCCCGAATCAAAGCCATTTTTTACATCTCATCTCTACACATAAAACCACCAGCTTTATAAACCGTACCAAAAGCTGCATCACCTTCTAGATGCCACAATCACGCAGTATAACAACAAACGCAGAAAAACCGTATCGCAAAAACGAAAACGTAATAAAACTTACAAATACGAACTCTCGGTAAAATTCCTCTTGGGAGGCAGCGGCGGCTTGCCGGTCTTGGCGCCATTTTCACCCTCATACCCGTTGATTGACGGCGGGCCATTATCACTGCCGGAAGCGGACTCCTTCCCCACATAATCCCGCCCATCCACCACATCAATGGCCCGCCCCCCGGACGGCGACTGCAGCTGGATCTTGGCCGTGGACGTCAGACTGCTGGTCTTCTCCTCCACGGAGCCCTGCTGCTGCACCACCCCACTCTTCACCGTCGTCTTATACTCTTATCACTGATGGCATCCCCGCTGGACATGCGCACCAACGGCGCCATCCCGGCACTACTCCCCGGGCGTGTCGCGTCACTCCCGGAGGTGTTCTTTCGCCGGGTGGCGGGTAGGGGCGACGGCGCTGTTTTAGGCACCCCGTAGTCCTTCGCCACACCGAACTCCGGGTGCGTGGTAATGGAGATGGACGGGCTGTAGGCCACCGGGTGCACCGTCGGCTCCAGGCCGGCTAATACCGGCGGACTCGGGTCATCGGCGTACTGCGAAATATCCGGGTACAGTTTACTGATCTCGGGGCGTTCCGCTTTGGGGGCGGAGGCGGGTGGTGGTGGAGTTGGTTCAGCCGGGACTGGTCGGGGGGCGGTGGTGTCGGGCGTGGTGGGGAGGTTCTCCGTGCGCCGCGGGATGTTGGGCGGGGCTGGGGCTTTTTTGGTTTTGGCGGGTGCGGTTGATTTCGGGGGTGGTTTAGGACTGGGTGGGCTACAAAAACACGGGATCCTTGTCATTAAGGACGATGCGGGAAAATGAAAAGCGACGCTTACTGGTCGGGCGGGGTGGTAGGACGGGGAGATCCGCCGGATTCCGATCCGCCCGAGAGATCAAGGGAGGAGGTGTCTTTTGCTGATAGAAATTTGGAGTTCGTACTTGTGCTTGGACTAGGATCGAAGTCTGTAAAGAAAAAGGACGAGGTTAAGAAAATTTCAGTTATCTACGTGAAAAATAAAACATTATTAATTTACTGTACTCAATCGCGAATTCTAAAATGGTGATTACCGCAGTATATTTCACAAGTTTCAATATTCATAATCTGGTTAAAAGCGCAGAAATTTATACAAAAAGTAAAATCTACTAATACGATCTAAAACGATTGAACAAAATATCGCAATAAGCAAGATTCTTTAAAAAATTTCCGAAAAAAACTTAATTTCTTATGCTGCCAAAACTTATGCACACAAACAGCTGGGATGAAAGGACGCGAGACTTACCACCAGGGAAGAAATCTTTTTGGTTCGTAATCAATGTTTCTACGATTGCGTGCTGCAAATTTGTAGCTGCCATATCAAATCCCGTCCTGCAAAACAATCCCGTAACCGTGAAATAGTGCAACGTGATATTATTATGCAGATATACAAAGCAGATACCATAGCCACAGAAAAATAAGTACAGCAATGAAATTTTCTAAATCATTAGCATACAAGTTGCGTACGGTGCGTGTTGTAAATAAATACCTATCGGCGTCCGTGTCCCAGAACAAATTGGGCGACATTACAATCGCCAGATTGCTGGGCGTCATTTTATTTCGATCCGATCGACTGGCTACAGCTGCCAAGAACTTCACAAGGTAACTAAAAACAACAATCAATAATAAAGAGTTATCCTTACTACTCATATTAACTAGATTGTTCGCAAAGTGGGCGAAACCGTTCCACTGACTACAAGATATACGCCTCTATGCAAACCTTAAAAAGTCAAGTATGTACGAGTGCATCAACTTGCAGTACTCGTATGTTATTAAAACTCAATTCAACAAACAATAAAATTTAATAAAGGTATTTTCAAAGAACCATTTTAATTGTCCTTATTGAACTGAACCATGACGCCTCTAATCAAATCCACTTTGTTACAAAAATGTATGAAGAAAAGTCATGCATACCCAGTTACCACAAAACATTCACATAAAAAAGTCTGCAGGTGTTATAGCGATTGCTCACCGTCAGAATGGTGTACTGTACATGTAAAACATACAACACATTTGTAATGCCAATACGTATTTCATTCATAAAGGGCAATATTTAACGGTTAACCCCATTTATGTTAACACCAACAATTTTGAAGTTTTTAATACATAACATCTTTTGGCCCTTTTATTATAATGGTAGTTGTAAAAGTAATCTTTACAATAACAAGTTACAACATTAGTACTGCACCTACGAGCATAATAAATATTTTCGTTTTGCGCTAGCCGAGAAGTAATAGGCATCGAAACAGACTGTTTGTTGGCAGCCAAAGCTTACCGAAATTATTCATTGTAGGTTTTGTTGGCATGCTATCTGATCTTGAGTTTAAGCAACTGCATGTAATTAAAAATGTAGTGTAATTAGAATAATATTAAAAAGAATGAAAGTTCTCAAATAAGTCAAATGGCAAGAGTTACCGAATTTTGTTAAAGTTTTCTTGTCATAAGTATGACAGCCTAACTAGTTTTCTCATAGTCAAACACAATGAAACTGGAGATGAACTCATTAGCATTTTATGTCGACAAAGCGTCTTATTTACCGGTTAAAACATGCGCCCACTTGGAATTACATCAGGTGAATAAGTACGTTAATAAGATAGTATCAGCCACTTGACTGTTTTGGTGAGAAATTCCGACTAAACAAATGTTGACGCTCAACTCGGTCGTGGCGACAAAGCGTTACACATACCTTAAGTTGTCGTAATTTTCCGCTGGTAACTTGCTAATAACACGCGTCAGTGCTTTACTGCGCTCATCGGGATCTTCGACCCTATATAACACAAATGATAAGTTTCCAAAAACACTGCCGCTGCCATTTACAAAAGAACTTAACCATCCGGAAAAAAGGTCATTTACATATATTTTCGATAAAAAAAAACCTTACGGGATCCAACTGCCAACACAATATTTCAAAAGTAAAAGGTTATTATGTTATCAATAATTCCACGCAAAAAATCCTTTCCTAATTTTGAATTACACTTATTACAGTACAATCTTATGCGAAAACTTTTCAAGCAAACCAACCGAATATGGGTATATGCGTAGAATGTCAACACCAAATTTTTTACCAAATTACTTTTTACAAAATACAACAAATTAAGGTAAAAGTGACTGTATACTTGATAGCACTCATCCACTCGGAATACAATACCCCACACGTCAGTGGGTCCGGAAGCTCGCGCAAGTATGATTTGAGGGTACTGGCCACATTGTGATGATCCGCTTCGCTGATTACAGTCGACTGCACGGGAGTGTCGTTACCCATATCGAAGACCGCTTTCATCATTTTCACTTTACTCGTACTGCCAGCCACACGGAACAAACCCTGGAAATGGGCAACGATAAAATTAATATGCAATTTAATTACACAACATATAAATCAGACTTCAATCAGCAACGAATTACGAATACAATAATTAATGAAATATCAGAGCTTCAGCATCCGGATAGCCATAGTTAAATGAGCTAAGCATGCGCGTTAAAATGATTAACCCTGAAGATTCCGAACAAACATTACTGTGGAAACATTCTTCCCAATCATTCACCCTATCAAAGACAACATTTTCGGAACGTTCGCTATTTTTAGTGCACGGACTGCATCTCGGACATCTCAATCAATTCAGTTACAAAACCGCTCACAGATACCGGCTCGCTTGTTGCAGCGATTAACCTATCTATTACCCCGAGCGCGATTCATTAATTATCGGCAAATGACATTGGAATCTCCAGCATTTCAACTAATTTTATCGCTAACCAAAATAACCAAAGCGGATGACGAATCAGGTTCATATTCACAGCTGACGGTGAGCATTGAATTGTCCAATTTTTAAATATTTTAATAAATGTCTGCCAGAGCCGGCCAATTGTTATGCAAACTAAATGGCGAATAAAATTACAGTACCATTACTGTACTAAAAATTGTACAATTACTGAAAAGTCAACTAATACAATACAAACCAGCAGAAGCGAAAACATTGAACTAAAATTTAATGCATTTAAAACTGTTTTCCTACCTCTTCGTTTAGCGAATTCTGATAGAGATATACTGCACAGAACTCGAGGACCGATGCAATCTTCCTCCGCGTCCGTCGCAGATCATCACGCAGCACAGTGTGAAACACCGGTCGTACGGTGGTGTCTGCAACAACAACAATAACATGAACACAGCGTTGTGACATCCATATGGACAATAGCGGCCTATGATGCGCCTGACAGCTTCCCGAACAGTCACCAACCGTGAATACTCTGCATTTCCGGCTGTAATGACTCAAATATCCGCAGCGCTTGTCGATGGTAATCGGTTTTCAGTTGAATGTGCTGCAACAACATGGACGACATGCCAAGAGATATGTCGGCCACTCTCTTTCGGGCACTGCTGAATGCAAATTGCCTACCTTCATCAGGATATCCGACATTTCGCCTTCACGGGACATCATCACGAAAATTTCCGTCTTCAGAACATCCTTCAAGATGCAACAATGCAATGCACTTATCAAATCGAACAACTTAAATATCGGCTAATCGCCCCGAAGTATAAAAAGCATGCAGTCTGTATGCAGTGCAAATTTTGTTCAGAAACTATGAACTGTAACACAATATCCCATTCTATCCAGATAAAACAGAAACGTCTTTTGCAGGATCAGAAAACAAATCAAAATCGCTGCGAACTAATAAATATTCAGAATTTACAAAGGAGCATTTCGATTTGCAATTAATATTTAGGATTTAGATGCACTAGAAGTCGTACACTTTGATTTTCAACACAAGTCAGTTGTCGCATATCTTTAATTTGATGTGTAAAGATCTATTATATTAAGTAGCATTTAACCGGTAAGGCACAATTTATTTCATACCTGGCTAATTTTAAACAAAAATTTGTAGGTTTAACTGATTTAAAATTACAAAAACCTTCCAGTTCAGGAAACATACAAACAGTCGTCAAATTTTAGCAAAGCTAATCATCGTTTCCGATTTGCATTATGTTTTTCCAAAGTTTCTTAAAATATTTTATACTGATCAAACTCACTCTCAAGTGTTCAGCTTGTTTGGTAATCTCATCTAGCTCATCCTTCATTTGCTGTATTTTGGCCGCATTGGTTTCCGTCGGGACAGACGATTGCCGTATGGCGCTGTTATATCTACGCGCGAAAAACAAGCCCCCGACCGTATTATTGGCAACACCATCCACAGTCAGTCGCACAGTCTTCCTTACTTGCGCTTTGCAGCATCCATTTCCTCCGATTTATTCTTCAACTCCTTTCTCCGACTGGCAATCTTTTTATACTCGCCCTATGTGCAAAAATAGTCAGTCAGTGTTGCAGTGCGTCTATCGATCGAGGCACGTGTCTAATTGCTGGAACCGCTACTTTTTCTCTACATATCAAGAAACGCACGGACCACGTCTCTCTATCTCTCTTCCTGTCCGATTAGTCAGCCCCATCGACGGATGGCGGAAAACGCAATACTAATGCCGTGTTGACCCGATTGACTACTACTGCGATCATTTTTGCAACATCAACAACAAGTCAATCACAAATCACATCCAAATTAAACAGTATTCAGCGATTTCCTATTCCATAATTATAAGAAATGCAAAACCATTTAGCCGTATAATGCGAAATAATCACTATCATTACGAAAAATTATGTTGCGAACTTACATCACTGACAGAGTGAGCCAGAATTAACATTAGTATTGTTTTGAACAGTTTTTCAGAACTACAACTTACAGAACAGAAACAGACTTGCAGTAAAATGTCTCACAATTTGCAAAATAAGATCTCCTAAACTATAAAAAAAGAAGCGATAATATTCTGATGCTATTAATTATGTGTAATTGTCAGAAACCGTAAGATATGTATTTTAGGATAATATTCCCGATGGAAAAATATATTCTCTGAGCGTATAAAACTAAAGTAGCCGTCGAAAGGAATCGCATAACGCCCGTCGGGAAAATCGGTTCAATAACTTCAATTTAACCTAATATTTGTGCATTTTTGTCGCTAAAAATAAAAGAAAATATTTGCAAAGAAAACATGCACGCTAAATTTCACATTATCACGTTACAAACGCGGAAAACTTAAAGTAAACCCATCAAAATGGCAAAGCAAACGGCGCTTCTATTATCCCCATACCTAGTGAAAACTGTCGCGCATCTGTTTATTGATTTTCGCTATAAAACGGTCCAGTCAAAACATTAAAAATCCGATAAAGCTATCACGTAGGATGAATAATACGAAAATTTGTCATAGTTTCGATCATATTTTTTTATCGAACACGATATCTTTTAACGCCACCATAATTTTAACCTGAGCGAATGCAACGATAAAACAACAGCTAAAATATTTTAAAAGTAATTTTAAGGAATAAGCAAACGGTCAAGCGTAAATAACTGTCTCAAAACAAGCACGAGCACGACAAGAAAAAATCCAATTATTCGGTTAATTAGACTTACGTCAAGGTCTGTAAGGGGCTTGATAACGTGCTCATCCACTTGAACTTCATAGGAAATCTGCTCTTTAGCCAGCAGCTCATCAATTTCCACCAGTGAAGTGAGTAGTTTGCTAGATGAATAGCAAAATGCACAACAAGTAGCAACACAAAAACTCGTTGTGTCTTCGCACAACATGCAACAAAAAGTCATACTTCAGATTATCAGCGTAATGCTCCGATAGCCTCTTGGCCAGGTCTTTGATGGCTTGTGCGAATATATATTCCGGTAGTTTTTTCTGCAAAAAAAACACCAAGAATGAGATGTTACAAAGTTAGATGTCACAAAAAATGCTTCATTTATCACGTGTAAGTTGTAACATCTTTGTCATGAAAATATAGTTTCTAACAGATCTGTATTTTCCAGGAGTCAATCATTAACTCTAACAAAACACATGTGAAAGTGACCGGAAATATGACCGGAAAGTGAAATTCATGTTCCTTTAATGTGTGTGTGCAAAAATGCAGTAAATGCCCTTGTACAGAGTAACAGAAACAGTAATTTTTACCATAACAGACGGGTCGTCAAGCGGTTAGTAGTGCCACAATTCAGGAGTTTTGCTCACGAATTTCAACAGAATTATTCCGTAATATCGCTACAGCACATTTTCTCATATCATTCGGTCAGGTAAAGTCGGAAAACTGATTAAAAGCAATCTACGGTGAGGTTTACAGCAGAAAAATTTGAACTCATACAGGAATAATATGCCAAAGTACAATATATACTGATGATGAGTGTAAAATGAAACAATTTGCAAACAACCACAAACTAGGGAAAGCAAACTGTATATACATTATGCAATACCTATAAATTACGATAAATTAAAATATTAACTATTGTACAAAGTCTGCCATTAACTTTGGGTGCTAATGCAATCCAGCTATTTTAAAATTTTGATATCATAATCTTTCTACTATTATTATGATTAAGATATCATAAAACAAGAACTATGGCCAATTAGATACTGCTACAAATTGCAACAGCAATGGATCAATGCCTTTTATCAAGGAGAAAGTGTGATTATTAAAATGTTTAGCCGATGTAATAATAATGTAATTGGCCTTAATGCTTGCAGTGGGTTTCCGCACAGCTTAACGGAAAAAATCAAATTAGCTCAAAGACATAAAAGCCCCAAGTTAAAACGCTGCCAGCCACCAGGAAGCCGTCTGTACACATCAATAGGATACGTAGGGAGCAAATTTGCGCGTCGATCGATCAACTGTTTTTACGAGCACACTCACTGCCACTGCGCATCTCGCCATCACACACATCCCGCGAAAAACTTCAACCCCACCACACTCTCCCCCACTCAAACACCGCACACACAACACTCCACACTGCAGAGCCTAATTTCCATTTGATAAAATACACAATAAATATTCCACCGAAAAAAACAAAAACGCCTAAACCAGCACAAATACGCTAGACGCACGTGCAGAGCGATTACAATCAAATTATTACCCAGCGCGATTACGGAGCCCAATTCCAAACTGCCAAAGGCCATTGCAGTGTTTACATTTACTGATACTTTTTTACTTCTATGAAAATCACTAATGATTTTTTTCTGCTCGTACCTGGCGTTTTTGCGCATCCCCGGCGGCGTAGTTGGGAATGCCTTCTTTCAGTTTTTTCATGTACGTCTGACATGTTTCCTGCATGGCCAGCAGAATGGTATTACACTCCTCCACATCTTTGTCCAGCAGCTCGCTTTTTTCGCCCCTAAACGTGCAAACCGATAAATCCCCCTCGGACGCAAACATAAACCGCATAATTATGCTATTATCACACCTTCCCAGACCCAGCTGAACCATGCGGTTCAGTTCCATCCGCAAGCGTCGATTCATGGTGGAAATTGATTACGAATTACGATACGAACACACAACAATCCAATAAATCCAAATTATCTGGTACAGGAATAAAAATAGCCCAAAGGGGCTAAGGACACCATCAAAATCAAACTATCGATTGCGGGATGGCGCGCTGGCAAGTTTAAACAAACGATTTTTGATACATTACGATAAAATCCGTAGCGATCACTTCTGTGCAAAGACCAGCGACGATAACACGCTCCATCGGCACAGTACGAGAAACTTTTCCCTGTATGACGCTACTGGACAATTTCACGCGCTACACTGCAATCAGATCGCCTTGTTGTGTGAAAATAGGTCAGAAAACACAGCTACCGAATTCATTTTTCGGCAATAGGTGATATGATTATGCATTTATGCTTGGTATCAAAGAATAGACGACAATCAAGTGGAAAATGAGGCAAAGTCGGCCCGACGCACAACCAATGATCATGTTCGCACAGACCGTATGTTTGGATGGTTGATTTTTTCATTTGCATACACCGCAACCGAGAATGAGCAACACCCGGCCAGCATACCTTCCCTGTACTAGGCCTCGTGATATAGGTTGTTAGTAACTTGTTACTGTCGGTACTTCTGCCCTTTAAATCTGCAGAACGTATACCGAAAATCCAAAATTGACAAGAAAAGATGTTTTTTGAATGCCACGAAAAACTTTGCACTATAAATTTTTTAGATTAAGAAAAACATTGAATGGTATTTTTAATCAATTTGTGGAGCAAACGAGGCGCAGATGGCAAGTGTGCGGTTGATTCGGCTAACCGAAATTAGACCGGCCCATAACGAAACCGCCCCCCACGCAACGCTTTCGTACGCATTTTACGAAAACACGCACTTGGCCACGCCCCTTACGCTGAAGCCACGGTATTTCACACAGGCCTGAGCCCTCAATCCTACCGCATCCGATCATGCCGTGACCGCGTGTAAACTCTGCCGAATCGCACTGACCGGAAAACTGAAACGCCGCTTCCCTGTTCCCACGCGCTTCCACCGGATATCCACCCAACTCGTCAGAAAGATATTCAATTTCCACTCTATCTTCCAATGATTTGAAATTTCAATTTTTCTTATTTTTTGGAAGAGTTAAAAAAATGATCCAGTCAAATCTCGCGGAATTTCAAGTGTAGGGGCAACACTACTGTAGTCTGTAGTCGCTGTACGTGTTGTCTGCTTACTCACCCCGAACTCATACTACTTACTTTCCGTCTGTCTGGCTCCAGATTTTTTCTCGGCATGAAAAGGCAAAGTCAAAGACCGAATAACGTCGCAGCAGCACGCGTGTAATCATGTTGTTTCAAATTTAAACTGATGGATGCTTTCTTGTTAACAAAAATTTTTCCCCTTTTCTTGATCGACACAGCGATCTTGTCTTTCTCATCTGAAAAGTGTAGGATTAGACACTTCCTTTCCGTGTTTCCATCAGAGTGTGTTTCGTGAGATTCAGTCACATTTTCGAGGAACGCAATATATATGCCCTTGTTATCGCCACTGACACACTGACTAAACTTGTCATCACCTGGCTGGGGTATTATCACGATTCATGATATTCCTGGTTGCGTCGGCCTCAATAATTTGACTGTTGTACGCAAATAACGGAACGGCACATGCGTAAACGCGTGCAGGTGAGAGAGCCAGCACGGGCCGATAGGGAAGCGAGCGAATGGGCTGGCTGCATGGCTCCGAGCAGATAATCCCACCACCGTTAATAAGAACGTCAACAAGCAATGACGTAGTTCCGTGGGCCTGTTTTAGACATGTTCCCCCGTTAATTATTCATCTGCGTTTTATATTTTGAGCCGTATATTGGATTTTTCTTCACGGGATTTTCGCCCCCCTTATTGTGTCGATGCGGTCGACGACGACGGTGTGCAGCAGTCAGTGCTCGGTGATCATCTGGCATTCTTATTGGAATTTGGTCTGTTTTTCTGCTTTTCACCTGGGACTGGGCGTCGTGCCGTTCTGAGCGCATGTTATGAAGTTGACTATGCCGTTGGATTCTTTGAGCCCCAAAGCTCCCATGTCGCCTAACGCCATCGTCCTTCCGCTCAATGGCCGATCGGGATCGGTTGTGGATACGGATCGGAATAAGTGGCTGCAGTCTTGGCATGCACCATTAAGAGAAGTAAGCTGGCTGGGGAAACTTGTAAAAATTAAATTAATTAATTAGTAAATTGATCTTTATTAAAAACTGATTAGCTTACTGATAAATTGTCTAAAACGATTTTGCATTTAAATTGTATAAGCTTGATCTTACAGTAAGCAGATATTGGTAGGCTCGTTTTACTGTAATAAATTTGCTTACATTGCAGATTGCTTGTAGCCTTTCTTGAAAAATATGGAAATTGGTTTCTTTGAGTAAAGGATATTTAATGCGGAATGATTATCATTAGTTAATCTGGCGTACCGACATTTCGGCATAGGGACATTTCGGCATTGGACACTTCGGCATAAGACATTTCGGCATAAGGACATTTCGGCATAGGGACATTTCGGCATACGGACATTTCGGCATAAAATCTAGTTAACTGATAATACCTAAGAGCAGAGCGGATAAATGAAAAGAGCAGAGCGGATAAATTAGAAGAAATTTTGTTATTGTAAAACTGTTTTTGTTGTAAAACTCATGCATGGTAACTGGCTTCTGCTAATAAAATGATGACCATGGTAAGAAACCTATAATATGCCAATGAATTGTACTCGATCTAAGAAAGTGAAGGGAAACGCACAGAATTTCAAAAAATTGAGTAAGTAGAAATCCTAAAACCTAGCAAACCAAAACATATCAAACATCCAAAAACCAAAAGCCTTATAGAAATAATGGAATGCAGGAAGACATAAGATGCAGTAGAAAACTTGAAAAATCGTATGTAAAAATTCGAGGATTTGATAAAACTAAGGAACTTTAGAAAAACCAAGAAGACCTAAAAATATATATAAACCTAAAAATCCTGAAAAACCAAAGAAACCTAAAAAACCTAAGTAAACCTATGAAAACCTAAGAAACCTAAGAAAACATAAGGAAGCCTAAGAAAGCCAAGAAAACATAGGAAGATCTAAGAATACACAGATCGCATTTTAGTGACGCTGTCCACAGGACGCAGGCCGAATTTAAATAGAAAACGTTAGAAAACAACAGTATTATGCAGAAATGTCCGTATGCCGAAATGTCCACATGCCGAAATGTCCTCATGCCGAAATGTCCTCATGCCGAAATGTCTTATGCCGAAATGTCCTATGCCGAAATGTCACTATGCCGAAATGGTCGGACACGGTTAAGGCGTACACGGTTAATCTAATTTGTTGATCTTTGCTAGTGTTTCCGAAACTTAGAAAGTAAATGTTTCGATCTTGAACGATTTTCATTTTTGGCAGTGCTTGGAGCACTGGGATCGTTCTAATTAGCCATTAATAATGAATACGCGGTAACGTTCCAGAGCGTCGTTTTCACGCATTCGAAATGTTTGCGGCTTTTTAAAAGCCATTACGCAGGACTGTTTTGACCGGCGCTCGTAAAAGCATTTCTGAAAACACTTTTCATGGGCATTGTGTTTTATTTTTTTGAATACTGTCCGGGAATTTTATCAGTTTTTGAGTCCCAACTGTATTTGTTTTGTTTTCCTAATGCTGGGTAATTTAAAAATTTGTAATTTCTGAAATTAGTAGCTGCTGAGCTAGTATTGTTTCACTGTTTCATGAGATGCCATCACTTCTGACAGTCGGATGAGTGCAATGACGAAAACACGCATACTTGCTGTTTGAAACCAGGCTACGCTTCGCTGCAAATGAACATACCGGAAAGCTCGTAGTCATCGTTCGAATTTTCTGACTCATCGCTAAAGACACATAGTTTAATCTTGCGGATCGCTGAAAATGGGGTGATCATGGTTTACGAGAACGCTTTAATTGACGGAAATTTTTGCATAACAGAATAGCGAAGCAGTTACGAAACATTATTAGCAAATGCTCAGTTTCGGTGCTTTTGTTCCTGCTAATTATTTTTCGACATACTTAACGGAATACTTAATTGTTACGTCTGGATCCGGTTGCGATCCAGTGAAGCGTTCAATAAACATAAATATACTCGGCGTATATTGTTGCGATGCACTTCGAAAATATAATCCAGATACAAAATATCGACGCAGCACTCTTAAATAATTATGTGATATTTATTGTTGTCATAATTTAATAACGTGGTGCTGACTGAATTTTCTTTTATTACATCGGTTAATTTGATCTAATTCTGTAATTAGATTTTATTTGATAATTATAGTCTACTCGTAGGGTATGTAGCGTATTTGGCGTAACTAGCCTTCGGTTACGAATTTTTTCGATGAAACTAGTACGCTGTTGTTGGGTATTGCTCTAATCTTACGCATCTTCGGCTTTCGTATTTGCTAATTAAGTGGTTTTGATTTTTGTTAGCGTGTTATTTGTACAGATTTGACGAAGATTTTTGCAGTTATTATCCAATTATCCGGTTAACAAAGATGGGATATGTCGAGCGACGCCGGAAGCTTTGATGTTTATTAGTGATCGTTTGGACTTTTTATTACAATTGTTATCAGCCGGTCAGCCTAGTAAAGTGGCCGATTTGGAGCACCGTGCCGAAAAAATCTTTCCCGATCTGAAGGAGGGTATTGATAGCAGTGTGCTGAAGAAAGATAAGAAAGCGAGGAAAACATGGAAGGGATTTCCCGGTGAGGACGTCAGAGTTGCCGTCCAGAAGCGATATTTTCCCGATGACAAAGAATTCCTCCTAACTAGTTTTGCCTGTGCGGTATTAGAAACGATCGCACAAGAGACGTTTCGGGTGAGATTACAAAATACAATCCGCATGAGATGGGCGTTTTCAACCTTTTACGACAGTTAATTCATATGTTGCCATTAAAAATAAAATAGGTCATTTGATTTTCTGATATTATCGAGTGGATTTTCTGGGCTCACGTGTTTTGTCTAATGAATTTTGGTCTTGCTCGAAATCTTTTTTTGGCAGTACGAGTAATATATTGTACGTTTATCAGTTCAATTTTCTAAGCGATGGTCGAAGCGAAGCAAGGTCAGTGCTGTATGAACGTTTGCCGTTCGCGATCGTTAAAATGCTTAATTGGATTGTTTTCGCTGCAACAGCCCTAGAGGGAATTTTTGGGTTTTCTCGTATTGCTCACGCAGCGTGATAGTTGATTGTGGTGATGTGTTTTAGCGTGTTGTTCACTACCTGGTCAAGCTTGGCCGAGCGGAAGTTCGAACGGAGGATATCAAAGTCACCACCGCAATTAGCCAGGTTGGTGACGTCGTTTTGATCTGCTTTCATCTCGATTTATTTTTACGTGCTGCAACTGTGATCATTTAAATCTCTTTTTCATTCCATGAATGAATATTGTGTAGACATAAACAGACTAAAGGCACAGTATGCGTTGTCGGGACTCGAGTCTTTATTTAGCAATAAGCGCTGTATGAAAATAGGTGTTTGTATCAGAATTTCCAGATCTATGACTCGTTCCTGTTGAAAGTCGCGCGTTTTTTTTGAATTTAAACATCTTGCTGTTTAAACATCTTTATCTTTTAATTTGAACAACTTGCGTTACACTGTTGGGTTTGCAATGCCGATGCTTTAGTATACCGTATCGTTCGATTTTGGTGTTTTGGTTTTGTTCCGCATCGGCATCAGCATACAAAAGCATTGGCTTTGCGTATTAGAGTAGTGTTATCAGGTTTACGGCCGTCTTTGCTCTGAATAAGGTTCAGTACCTTAGTTACTTGTCTCTATCTAGTTTATCAGTGCTATCAGTGCACGGATGTGAAAATTTAAATTAACTTTGAAAAATTGACTCTGCATTTTGGCAAAATTGTTCGCGTAAAGGCACTTGTACCACGTACGTACGGATGACGTAGTTTACACTTTTCACAGTCATCCGTACAAAATAGCCGCCTAGGGACGAGATGGTACCTGCGATAACAAAAGTCAGACAGGAGCTTTAAATATCATTTTAATGGGTAGTTACAGACTAGAAGCATGTAGAGTAAGTGGGATCGTGCGGATCATGCAGTACAGTAAGTGCTCAAGGTGCTGCATGTCTGCATCAGCTGTTTATCGTGTTATCACGATAGACAGTTGATTTTGGTGATCCCGGTTAGTTTATCTGATATCTTCACCAGGGTAGTAGGAGCATTTGCGCTGTCTAAATCTCACCGTGCAATGATCCCGTCTGGAGCGGCCTCTATTTGCATTCTTCTGTAGAAATTCTAGCTGTCTGGGATTGCTTCGTGCAGTGCCCTTTGTAAAATGTCAAGGTCACTAGAAATTGGGACCTTCGAATATTTACATAATGTTCGCCTGCGTAATGTCGTACAGGTATGATTATAGCGCTATGACGTAAGAAAATCTCACGCTAGTTTTTTTTTGTTTTGCATATGTTTTATTTCTGGTCATTTTTTTCATTGTGACGTGTGTCGTGACAGAGTCTGACCCAGCTGTTCGGCCTGCAAGACGAGGAGATGTCGTCGTTGCTGACGTCGGACGAGCGTCCGGTAATCAAAACCGACCTAACGTACGACGACATCGTCAAGGATCTGATCCAGGACGAGCGGGCCTACGCGCGTGAACTGCGGATGATCATCAAGGTGTTCCAGGATGTTTTCGCCCGCTACAACCTGGAATGCGAGGAGACGGGCCGTGAGCGGGATCGCATTACCGATGAAGAGCTGAAGGCCATCTTCCTCAAAGTGGATGAGGCGCTGGAGACGTCGCTCAATTTTCTCAGTCTGCTGGAGGATACGGTGGAGATGGACGGGCAGAGTGGGACGTTCAATGTGTGGGGGGCCTTTGAGGAGATGGCGGAAGCCGGGGAGTTTGGCGGCATGGAGGATTATGCTAAGCGGCTGCTGGATGCGCCGCATCAGTGGGGCGGCGCCGAGTCCTCCAGTCAGCTGACGTGTGATGGGGCTATCAAGGAAGTCCTGGCCAGGAAGCCGACGATGGAATATTTTTTTAAAGTAAGCTCGTGCTTGTCATTCGAGTTGTGGTTGTTGTAGCTTTTAATTGGTACTCGTATAATTATCTATCATCCGTGAACCGCGTTATAAATTTTGTGAGTGATTTATTATTTCTTAGTAGACCACTTTAATAATGTTTCTTATTGTGACTTTGTTGTAGCTTTTTACGTGAGTGTATTTCTAGCATATTGTGATTTTTGTTTTTCATTGTGATTTTTATTGTAGCTTTTCCGTTATTGCAGTTTAGCATAATTATTGGAATATGTGTTTTAGTTTTAACATTGGAATCGGCTTGATAACTTGGTTAGTTATTGTTATTATGGTACTTAATTAAAATTTTTATTCATAGGTTATTGGCGGATGGTTCGTTGACGCAGTACGATATGTCCTCCCGCGGCTACTGGTTAGCCCCGTTGCGCGGATTTCACAATACTATGACTGCTGCGAGGCTCTACGGGTAACTTTTATGGAATTAAGCTACCTTATACCTGATATGCTTATATTCTTACGCAGCTTTATACCTCAAAATTGTATTTTGAGATGTGCTCTCGGAATTTACAGACAAAGCAGAATGATGAAGAGGCCAACGGCGGTGACGCGGAACCGATTGTGGACGCATTGGGAATACTCGAACCCATCAGTGATAACACCAAGAGATTACTTTTATTACCGCACAATACTTTGAAAGCTCGCTGGGTGACGCAGTATTTGGCGCGAAGTCGTTCGAATCGTCAGTCGATGCTGGAGAGGGTGCAGGATGTTTTCAAGTCGGTTGAAGGCTTGGACATGAAGGACTGCACGCAGTTGCGCATGGAGCTGATTTATGGTTGGTGAAGTTGAATTTCTATTGTATTGTGTATTACCGCTTCCGTATTTGTTTGTGCATCTCATAGATTTCTAGTAACAAAAGATTTCTATAAGAACTATTCTGCAAGTATTGAATTACTATGCAACACTGCTTGTTTCCTTCGCTTCGGAAAGTTAGGCGTGTTCGAGCTGTTAACCTGAGACACTTGATAACTTTTTCAGGCAGTAAGGCATAGACTTTTTGATACAAAATTTGGTTCGGCAAATAGTTTTGTGGATATACTGTGCGGTTTATGGCGTATTTCTGTGCTCTGGAGGTTTTATTTTTCACCGGTTTTGTGCTTCATTTGTAGAAGGTGATGTATGGAAATGGAGAAACGGGGGTCGGACGGACCGGCGAATGTATCTCTTTGATAGCTGTGCCGTTCTATGCAAACCGAAACCCCAGAAAAAGCCAGGGCTGGCCCTGCCGGATTATAATCTCAAGGAGCGAATCCCCATCAGTCGACTGCAAGTGATCCCGCTGGAGGATAGCGGTGATATGCGGTTTGCTATCGAATTGAGATCTGGTGATCATCGGGAACCGGAAGTCATTCTCTGCATGAAGACGTGCGAAGAGCGGGAAATGTGGCTCAGCTGCTTTTATGGGCTACTGCTGAAGAGGTACAGTAAAAGCTGGATAGCACATCGAAATCGAAATTTTTCGGTAATTTGTATTCAACGCCATGCTGCTGTCTTTGTCTTTCTTCGAATCGTCATGTATCTGCTTCAACAAGTACTATTTTGCTTGTCCAATATTTACTGGATCCTGTGTTTGTATTTTTTTAAACGATTTTTTGCCGGTAGTCCACTGGAAAAGAAACTGGAAAAGGCTCTAGAGGATGAAGACAAAGAGCATCCGCTGCGGTTGCCTTTACCAGAGTTTTATCCGTTTTCCGAGCCAGACGGACCGGACAATATCGTTTTCGAGGAATCCTCCCCGGTGGACGGAATTCCCTGTATAAAGGGTGCCACGCTGCATAAGCTGATCGAGCGTTTGACCTACCATTTATATTTCGATCATAATTTCGTCCGAACCTTTCTCATAACGTTTCGCTCATTTACGGAGCCGGCGCGTCTCCTGGATTTGCTCATTGAACGCTTTAATATTCCCCAGCCGGCTGATGATAATGCCGCGCCGCTGACAGGTTTCAGTTCCATCCTATCGAAGAAACGCTTTCAGAAGGAATACTGTCAACCTGTCCAGTTCAGGTATTTTGACGTCATCGATTGTTAAAACAGCTGTTGTGAACCTGCGTGCGCACCGTGTTCTATCGTGTTCGTTGTGTAAAAAAAAGTGAATGATTGGATATTTTTGTTTCTGGTAGGGTTTTGAACGTAATGCGACAGTGGGTGGACAATCATTTCTTGGATTTTGAGAATGATCCACGAATATTGAAACGTCTGCGAGAGTTTCTAAAGAACGACTGCCAGAATTTTCAACGTCACCAAACTGGAAGAAAAAAGATCATCGATTCCATCGACAAAATTCTGAAGCGGAGGGTAATTTATTTTGCTGCGGTGACTCCAGATATGAAGTTGGTTTCGTAATTTTACTTTTAAAACATGAGTTTTATTTATAGGAATGCAAAAAAGATTCGCCTCGGGAATACGTCTTTCCAACTGCCCCTCCGGACATTGAACACCACTTGGATACCGATGAATACGGGATTAATTTAATGACGGTACGTCTGCTATAAAGTTTGCATAACGTTATGTCGGGCGATGAGAATCTACCTTTTTCGGCTGAGCTTGTCTTGTTACTGTTTAACACGATTACCGTAATTACTTGTTACAAAGTGACTAATATTTATCACTTTGCTTATTGGGTTCGTTCTGATACTTTCAAGATTAACGACACATTACAATATTATTATTGTTATTTTGCTACCCAGTTGCATCCAACGGAAGTTGCGCGACAGCTGACGCTAATGGAATTCGAAATCTATCGATCCATCAAACCATCGGAATTGGTACAGTGGAACAGTCGCAAAAATAAGGATGGTTCATCGCCCAACTTGGAGAAACTAATTCAGCTGTCCACTCGGGTACAACAAAATATAAATACAGTATATGTGTACTGAAGTAATGATAATTCGTATAGCATTAAAGCATTGAAATAATTATGTGATCTGTAGAAGTATGGATATTGTCTGATGTGATTGTGGGTGATCCACCAGTACACATCGGCGATGTGTACCGGTGGACCACCCAAAATCTAATCGTAGCAAAGTGTGGTTCAATAACATCTGTTATTTTGCAGATTACCTTGTACTTCGTGAAATACATTTTGATGACGGAAAATCTTGAAGAGCGTGTGGCCGTTATGGCCAGGATTATTGAAATTATGCAGGAATGTTTGAATCTCAACAATTTCAGTAGCGTGGTGGAAATTTTGTCTGCATTTAGCAATTCGTCCATACATCGATTGAACTGCACCAAAGTACAATTTTAACTGTGGACTGCTTGTAATAAATCGCACCGTTCATCTTATTTCATGTTGTTGTTTTTCTAGAGCAAGCTGAGCCCGAAATACAATAAAATACTGGAAGGAGCTGATAAATTGAGTGTATCAGAGAATCACGGAAAGGCATTTTTCGAACGCTTGCGCTCCATTGATCCTCCGTGTATTCCTTTCATGGGCATCTATCTGACGCAGTTACTGCATGCTGAAGAAGGCAATACTAATTTCATTGCTTCCCGCGACCAGACTGTGTTTCATGAACAGCTGATTAACTTCAATAAGCGTCGGAAGATCGCGGACATTGTGGCTGGCAATCTGCAGTATCAAAATCAGCCGTATTGCCGACGCCTGGAGCCTCACATTATGGTACGAGCAAATGTGTATAACGGTTTAGTTACTTCACAAGTTCACGACAATTATTAATTGCAAGGCATGTATGGTTTCATACTTTCATTTGCTTTTTCTTATTGGTTATTGGGATTATGACACACGACTCTTAGCATGCTACTATGGCAGATGTTTGCTGTATCCCCTCTGACGTATATTGGCGTATTTATTTTTTCTTCTGTATACTTTTGTTAATGCTTCTTTATGCTCTTGTGTTTCTTCATATAATTAATGCGCTGGGCCTTTTTGTCTGCCCGTTTTGCATTGTTGTTGCAGTAGGTATTACATATTTCTAGTTAAGTAATCTTGTGTGTGTATTAATTTTATTATATGTGCAGTTTCTGAAACATTAATCAGCATTAGACGAGACGCAATCCGTATTAGACGCAATCAGTATTAAGTGCAGCCATTACGTTTGCATTGCTGTGAAAAACAAATTGGGTTATAACAGATCTATTGTATAGTTCTGAATGTTCTTTGTGTAGGAATATTTGGAAAAATTGGATCCGTACGAGGACGTTGGTCAGATCAGCGAGAAAGAACTAGTTGATTTTCTCTACAACCAGTCGCAGAAAATCGAGCCCCGTAACTGTGAAACGCCTCCCTTTTTCGTAAGCTTGCGATACCAATTGTGTTGCTCTAATTGTTGTGAAGTACTTGACAATAATTGCGGTTTGTCGATTAGCCCAAGCGCTTTAATTTCCCCCTGGCACCTCCAAAACGCCGTCCCGGCAACTTGCCGACTCAAAAAGGCATGAGCCAGGCGACGTCCACCATGAGCATCCAGTCGTTCGCCACGTCGCCGATGGGACTGCGGACCGTGGAGGACAAAAGTGAGACGCCGTCCGCTGCCTCCTCACCCGCCACGCCGACCACGCCGCACAGCTTCGACATGGCCAACGGCAGTGGTTTGAACTGCAATACATTGACGCGGCCACCAGGTGCGTTATATAATGCAGGAACAATTTTATCTAATTTTCCCACTTTGTTTTCTCATTTTTTCCTGTCATTTTGTATTAGTGTTTACCTGTGTATTTGTGCACCTGCAGGTGGAGACCAAGAAGCCCCTCCGGTCCCGCCGCGGACGATCAAATCCCAAATGTCTCAGGTGCCGGTGACTGCCTCCAGCACCGACAGCCGCTCACCCAGATCTCAGCCGACACCCTTCTCGCACTTGCACTCCTTCCTGGCCGGCAACACCAGCCCGCGCTACGTCCCGCAGCACTTCACCTTCGACACGCCGCCCCAGCTGCCGCCCAAAACCGCTCCTCCCTACGGCTCCATGCCGCAGATCACCACGGACGGACCGTTCGATGAGCCGCCGCTGGAGGAGGCCCCGCCGTTGCCGCCGCGGGCCCACCACCATCCGGACACGTCGCCGCCGGGTCCACCGCCGCCGCTGCCGGAGAAGACGCGCCGGTCGCTGAATCCTCCCTTCAATCAGCAGCGGAAGCACAGTCAATAAGAGCTTGTGTATGTGTACTTTTGTTTCTCTTTTTGTTGGTTGTTTTTTGTGATCTTTTGGCCGTATTTGTCCCCGGACCCCCCAATAGCGAACCCGTGGTCTTTCCAACCCGACCTCTCCCGCCCTCCTTGGGATTAGGTGTGTGTTGTATGTGCGCATGCGGGTGCAGATTTTGTTGGTAGGTTTTTGACGTTTTAGATTTTACACAGAATACTTATCTCCCGGGCATTCTTCATTATACATCTACGGTGATTTAACTAGAATTTTTTGTAATTTTAATTTAACGGTTTTTTTTAAAAACGCATCCTGCATGTACATTTTTTGTTAATTGCTTTGAAGTTTTTTCTCTCGTGTTTTGGGATTGCTGGAGAATTTGTTCGCTGGTGATTTGGTCTAAATTTGGCTGTAATCGTAACTGTTCGGTGGAACACAGCGATGGTCGATTCTGAATGAAGAATTAATTTTTATATTTTCTTATGGAAGGGAATTTAATCAAAAGGTCTTTAGATCCCGAACCGAAAGAAGGCGAGAAGAATAAAGACATGGTTAGAAAATTTGCAATGATACGGACTTAATAAGTAGCGAAATACAGGTCGGTCGCGCCAAGTGTGGACAGTTGCACAAAGTAAATTTTAATATATTCCTGTAAGTAGTATTAACATTAACTTTGCACTTTTCTTGTGTAACTTTTCCTTGCGGACAAAATATTAATAAAACCGGAATCTTCTAACGTGTTCGTAGGGGGCGGGGTGGAGCTTAAGGAAGGAGGGTAGCGGGCGTTTTTCGGGTGTTTATAACTGCCCTTCTAAAAAATTCAAGAGGTGATCTTTTTGTAAGAACTTTTTTGAAAACTATTGAGTGACCCGAAAGGTGTTCTTTGTGGGTAAGCAAAAGAATCTTGCGCTATCCGTGCTCTTGGAAATTTCGAAAAAAGATATATCGCCCATAGACCTGTATGTTAAAAGCCACCTTCAAAAGAATGTGGTTGCCTGGAGCGCGGCTCGCGTTGGGTAAGATGTTAGCAATTTAAAGGAAGGTAGAAAAGTACCTTTGTAAGACCACTTAATCAGTTGGTAGTTCTCAACCACTCACAATTTTTAAAAGATTACTGACTGATCATGAATATTTCTTATTAAGCAGTGCGATTTTTGTGAAAAAATTGAAAGTTAAAATTCGACTCCCGATCCTTGCATATTGGCTTCTAATCCAGAAATATGACTAAAAAAGTTGCTGTAGATAAAGAACTATCATATGAGAATAACGAAAGCATTTTGGGGTTCAACGGTAACAGCTGGGAATTTTTTGTTACTGTCCACACTTGGCGCGACCGACCTGTATTTACTGCAGGACCGTGTAAAACAAAATTCGATCTTACGGCGTAATTGTTTTTCCCAAATTAGAATCTAATGGGTCGGCAGACTCGGCACTCACGTTGGTCAATTTGAACTCTGTTACAAAACTGACTTTAGACTTCAACGAATTTACTGTAATGGATTTTACGACACAGAACTATGAGCATTGTTGTGCAAGTTTAAGACACAAACAAAGAGTGCTCAGAGAATGCAGTATTAGTAAGAAGACAGACTGTAAATTTTCTTGGATTTTGAGAAAATGTAGAAGTGAAAAATCATTATGATTTCGTTGAATTTACCGCGCACGCAACATTGGCAATTGATAACAAATCCAGTACAACGTAAAGTAAACTGAGCAGGCTGAGCTTGGCCGTTGACCTAACCACCATACGCGCCTCTTGCATTGTTCACCAGTGGCTAGTATTGGCTGGCGCTGGCCGTACAGTACGTGTGCTTGCAGTTTGCGGTTGTACTAGTACGTCGAAGAATCTTTTTGGCTTTTCGCTCAGGATTTGATATCATATTTTGAGTTTTTGATTTATACATCCGTATAACTGCTGGTTGCGCTTGCACTGTCGTCCATTTTTTCAAACATGCATATCCGGGAACTAGAAATTCCGCTTCCGCCATCATCTGGTTTGCAAAGTGCCGCGGAATTTCTAGAAGGTTTGGGTGAAATTGTGGCCGCTTTTCCACCAGCACTGCAAGCAGTGGAACACAGTGCCGCGATGGACGAAACCGTGTCCTACACGGATCTGACGTATGCCGGGGCTGCGTATGCGACTGATTTCTCTTCCCCTCCGTATTCTCCCGTACTATCACAATATTCTCCTCGTGACTATGTGCCTGCCGGGAGGGAATCGGGGAGCGACGTTGAGCTAGTCGTGAATCAGTTTTCGGATTGTGGACACCAACAGGTATGCGCGCACGGCAAGCTCCCTGTACTAGCTGTTCTTTTTAGCGCGGGTTTTGTGGGAGAGTTATTAATCTGCAACCGGGTAACTTTGAATATGCGCTGCAATGGCTTACTGGGCTTTTTCGAGAATACGTTTTGCAGTCATCCAGTTGTTATTAATATAAGAAACACCATTAAAAGCAAAATTTCTACCTACAACCAATCAGTTTTTATGTACTGTTTTGACTGGATTGTAGTCTCTGGAAACAGTCTCCCGCGCCAGCAGCATCTTCAGCGGATGCGAAGTTACGCATTCGCCGTCGACAACTCCGCCGCCCAATGGGAACCGCCAGTACATCAGCGTCATCATGCACTCATCCAACTACACCACTGTGGATGGTCAGAATTACCTGGATGCCACCACGACACCCAGACCGACGCCGGTCTCCCAGCGAGGCCGCTCTCAGCGCAGCGCTGGTGCTGCTGCACATCCCAGCCGAAGCCTGCCGAAGACCGAGCAAGTTGAACAACTGGCGATGCAGCAGGCCCTGGCCGAGATGTCCACTACATGTACAGTGCTACGGATACCGCCAGGTTAGTCAAGATCGTTCGTTTGCTTTATTGTAAATTAATTTTAGATGTAAAATGTAGTACTTACAGTCTGCAGTGCTAGTTTCAACCATACGTTCGGAGCAAAATTTTGTGCAATTAAATCAACACATTATAATTTTACTACAAATTACATTTTCATTTTTTAGAAAAAATAGAGGTTAGTTCCATTGTAAATTATTTGTGATCCACTATTTGTGTACTTCCTTACTTTGTGTAAATTCACGTAATTCATGTACGGAAATTACAGCATTAATGTTCTGTACGAGTATTTACATAGAAACAACTTTTTTGTCATTTGTAAAATATGGTTACAGTTATTTGTTTGTTTGTTTAATGAGCTTAATGTGTACAACAATCAGGGATGTCCTAGCTGCACGAGGTTATAGACTAACATGGGAGAAAAAGGCTATTAATTTTGTAAAAAGCAATTTTTTTATTGCATATTTTTGTTTACTAGAGCCAAGTTCCTGGACAAACAGCCAAGCTCGTGCATGGTTGATTTGGACGTGTCAGCGTAATAATCTGTGCCATTCCATTGACTTTCGCAAATTCGATTTCGACGGTGCCCAGTTGGTCCGTCTGCAACAAGAGGACTTCAAGAGGCTGGCTCCGATTTGTGGCGAGTATCTCTGGTCGCTTTTCGGCATGTGGCGCTCAGGTAGGTTTACAAGTTTCGCATTTCTTAGTACTCGTAGATAAAGACTACTTACTCGTAGTTCTGTTTATCATAAGTATCTGCGAGTATCCTGCTTTGCACCACATTAATGCGAACTTCGAACCGGTGTTAATTATTAATGCTTATACATCGCCTAATGTGAAATAATTTGATTTATGGCAGATATTTATCGTACTTTATTGTTTAAGCGGCCAGAATTGCCGACATTAAACCAACTGTGGATAACGAGAAGCAGCAGGAGATGATAAACAACGATCCACGCTTGGAATCTAACCTTATCAACGGAACTGCTGGACAGCGGCAAATCGATTTCATGCCGGTTCCATGTTTGGAGCCTAACCGTGACGATGGGGCTGCTGGACAGCGGCAAATAGACTTCTTGCCGGTTCCACGTTTGATGCGTAACGTTGACGAGGGAGGCATTGGACAAGGGCAGTACGCTTACCCCGCAACCGGATGCATCCCTACTTTAAACTATCTGGCGACGTCTCCCGCCCCGAACGTTTTGGTCGTGCCAGTCCAACCAGTGTCCACCGGAAGTCCAGACTCTTGCGGAAACTCGTACCGAAGTGACAGAAGTTCGGACTGCGAAATGGTCAATCAAGGTATAGTTGAGCAATAGGGTATCATTACGTTGCGAGTTGATTATTCTTTTTCAATGAATGCTACCAAAGAAGTGTTTATATCAACGCGTAATGGCAAAATACGACACTGCGCTACTGTAATTACTTTGGAGTCATTGATTTTATCATATTCTCAGTTCTGCAATGCATTTTATAGGCTGCGGTGGAACCATTACTATGGACGACTCTATGGACGATGGGCGGTCAGAGGGTAGCAGCACTCGCCTATGGCAGTTTCTGAAGGAGCTCTTGTCGAAGCCGCAAGTTTATTCCTCAGCCATTCACTGGGTGGATCGTGAGCAGGGTAAACCAGCAAAATTCTGTTTTTTTACTGCTGGCTGTTTTTCCGAGTGTACAAGTGAAAACAGTATTAAATAGAGGGCTGTGCTCATTCTTTTCCTGTAGAGCATGTTTGAATCTTGTTCTTCACCGTTGGATTATTCTGAATTAACGTGTATTAATTTATACTGCTCGTAGGCATTTTCAAGATCGCAGATTCCATTCGGGTGGCACGCTGCTGGGGCCGACGGAAGAACTGTCCGGCGATGAATTACGACAAACTGAGCCGGTCCATTCGTCAGTACTACAAAAAGGGGATTATGAAAAAGACACAGCGCTCACAGAGACTGGTCTACCAATTCTGTCAGCCCTATGCAGTTTAGGAATGCCCATCTCTCTCCACTCCGTTACCTCGGAATTGGCCGAAAACACTCAGGATGTTTTTTGCTCAAGCTTTTTGTTTTTTGCTTAATGATTTTTGGTGATATTTTTGTCTGGTGAAACCTGGATACTGTTTGCCATTTTCCCTGTGTTAAATTAACCGTTGTAAAATCCGTATTTAATACATGTATAAATTATTTGGATACTTTCGTCGGATGTAAAGCGCATGGGATCACCGCAAGTGGTGAATTTGTCTTTACTGTCGCACGTCTATGTACATTTCGGGTTTAATGGGTCAATTTCGGTGCAGTTCAGTTTTTATCGATTTAAATGTATAGTGTGAAATGATGCTTTGATGTGGAGTGAGCATTTTGATTTATTTTCCAGTGTAAACTTTTTGTATCATTTGTTATTGGTGAATTAAAGATTTCTATGGTCTGATTGTAGTGCATGTTTCCCAGCATCGGATTCCTTCGAAACACGTTTCAAACAACGTGTGTGTGGTAGAAGTACACATGGATAAAGATAAATCAAATCCTCGTATATTTATGTGTCTATTCTGAAAAACAGCTCAGTGACATTATTTTACCAAGTTGTAGGCCTGGATAACACAAACTGAGGAAGAAAAGTACGAGTACATACAGAGGTACAGTTAAAAAGTGCGTTAGTAAACTGACTAACAGTAAGTATAAAAATACGTACTGCTTCCTTATTACACTGGTTAGTTCTTAATTTTTATTATTTTTAACGCTGGTTTATAACCATACACAGCTTGGGAAATTTCCAGTAAAGGATGAAAACAAAATCCGTTAGCGACGCCTGGCAACCGCTTTACTTTGACGTGGATCACCAAAAATTTTTATCATCAGTCTCACGTTTTGTAACCTCCAGAAACCGAAGCGAGAGAAATCGTGTTAAACCCATTTTCTTAATAGCCGTAACCTTTCACGATCCTTAACATGGACCACACCAAAACGGACCTCAAGGAGAAGACCGAGATCAAGGACGGTAAACTGCAGCATGAATTCAGCAAGGAAACGAAAGCGGGCGGGGAATCTGCCGATGGGAAGACCCACAAGGAACACACAAAGGAACACCATCAGGTGAAGGACGGAAAGGAGACCCATTCGTATGAATCGGAAAAGAAATAGCCGTCGGCGGAAGTAGCTGAGTAATACATTTATAATGAGCTGCTTAAAGTATTTAGTTAATATAGATATACCTTGGAAATGTATTCAACATAAACATGCATAATATATAACGACTCGTTAATTATTTGTGAAAGGTCACCGGTTGGAAATGAGTTGTTTTAACTGCTTTCGAGTAAACTAAAACCCGTCATTGTTCTGAACAGCAAACAATATGGTGAATGTATTGGAACTGAATAAAGTAAAATAAAACGCACTAATGAAAAATCTGGTGCTTCTGGGAGTTCTGGTCAACCAGTAAGTGGCGTACTAAGGTAAGCATGAGAATATCTGTAAAAATATTCCGGATGTATCGAGTCGACGAGTACTCTGTTATCAGCATGCGCACCTTCAAAATTAAAAATAATCCTGCAGCTCGATTATTTCAAACCGTACTCTAAGAAGCCGTTTTCAAACTTAGGTTTTGCTTGCGTTTTCAAACCTATTGTATCACGTAACCTATTATATTATCTGCACGTACTTACAAACATTCAAAGTTTCCGTAATCATCAGGCGTAAGCGGATGACAAATCAAAATGGCGAGATGAAACATCAGACAATCCATAAAACAAGTCACCAATAAAAAAAGTTATTTATCGAAGTTCGTTTCATAAATAGTATGGTAAAATACATTTTTTATCGAAGCTTTCAAACCAAATAACCCATTAAACAAATAAGTAAATAACCCATTAAATAAACAACCCAAAAAATTATTAGACATCTTGATAACAGTTGACCAGTCCAGGAAACTGTTGGCCCTTTACATGAAAATTCTCCCTTTACATAAAATTTAGGCTCACATCACATTCCATTGAAAATATCAAGAGTATTCGACAACCATTTTTCTGACAGAATGACTAACTTAATCCTAGAGATCGAGAAACCGTTTGTTTGCTTACTGTCTCCGCAGTGCCCGGAAGCACGTTCCTGTTAGGAGATGAACTCTTGTTCCTCGCCTCGCTCGAGTCATGGAGCGTCTTTCTCTGGGCAACCAAGATCGAAAATAGTCAATTAAGACGTGCGTTATGACTTGGATTCGTGGAGAAACGAAAAGAATCGATGGACTTCCGTGCATGAAAATTCGCACACCGAGCATGGTTGTCTCTCCACAGGTACCCGCAAAAGTGTGACATCGATGATTTCTCCATAAAAACCCGAATTGCCTTTTTCTAAATTTAAAGCATGAGAAACAGGCGTGTCATTTAATGCCAGATCATCGCGAGCTGTATTTCGCCTACTCTAATCCTTAGGAAGTCTTTATTTCAATAGCCAATAAAGCAAACATTCTACGGTGGGTTCTCTCCAAATTAGCAGATGTTCCAAGTGCTACAAGCCTGTTGATATGTTTGTGCCCACCATGGCTTGTCGTGTCCTTTTTTTGCCGGAAAACATAACGCCACGGTGTCCTGAACAACTCATTAGGGTTAGACGGTATTTCTGCTGACTGAAAGTTGGAGCCCCGGGAACATTGCACACGTCGTCGCCCTGATGGGCGCTCGAGTTCTGCCTGGAAACGCGGTACTGTATGTGCTTAGTATGGGATGTGACCTGTGTTGACGCTGTCGCTGTGTGCCAATGTCCAAGTTTCCAACCTGAAATCCACGTCAGTTACCGCGGATAGCGCTGACGCACATGCGGAGTACAAAAAAGTGCATCAGCACTCGTATCTAGCTGGAAGGTAGCTGATACGTTTTTGCACCGCTTCCTTTTGAGCCATGGCCGGGGAAAATTGGCTGCACTCTTAGCGAGAGAAATTGGCGAACGACTCCCACTCCACACGGGGAAATCTCTCTCTGGAAATTTGGCAATGCTATGCCTTTTCCGTACTCGGAACAACAGAAGGAACGTGTGTGCAGGAGACGCTTTGCATTGAATACCCCATGGGCCCATACGTGTTTACAGGAGTTCTTTGGAAGGTTTGATGAAATGTGTTACGTGCTGAAGTGATGATGTTATTTGTCGTACGGAATCGCTTTTTTCAGACCTGCTGTATTTAGAGAACTGCTGTTTTTAAACAGCCCATAAAATGCACTTTTTATACGTACTCGTATTTATTACAATATATTAGGTAGGTTTGACCTTTTGGACAAAGTAACCCGACACTACACTAGTCGGTAAACTTCTATACTCGTATTTTCATCTCTGTGTGTTCTACCAATCCTTCCCTGCCGAAGCAGTCACTGATGTGAAAGTATTTCATTGTGCTGAAAAAGTCCTGCCACGATTTTTAAAAATTGGGGTTTTTATTAGCTGCAGTCCATGAACATTAGTCAAAGGCGACGGTAGACCGCGCAATTTGTAAGGTGGCACGTGAAACTGCCGTACTTATTTCCAATGATCTCGTTCTTTGAAATCATTATTTAAACAAGCAAACAGAAATTTATTGACGGGGAGGTCCTTGTTGTTGTTGACCTTGTCCCCCTTGTTGCTGACCGCCTTGTTGGGGAGGTCCTTGCTGTTGTTGTTGTTGACCTTGTCCGCCTTGTTGCTGACCGCCTTGCTGCTGACCGCCTTGTTGGGGAGGTCCTTGTTGACCACCTTGTTGTTGTTGGCCGCCTTGTTGGGGAGGTCCTTGTTGACCACCTTGTTGTTGTTGGCCGCCTTGTTGGGGAGGTCCTTGCTGACCACCTTGTTGTTGTTGGCCGCCTTGTTGGGGAGGTCCTTGTTGACCACCTTGTTGTTGTTGGCCGCCTTGTTGGGGAGGTCCTTGTTGACCACCTTGTTGTTGTTGGCCGCCTTGTTGGGGAGGTCCTTGTTGACCACCTTGTTGTTGTTGGCCGCCTTGTTGGGGAGGTCCTTGTTGACCACCTTGTTGTTGCTGACCGCCTTGTTGGGGAGGTCCTTGTTGACCACCTTGTTGTTGTTGGCCGCCTTGTTGGGGAGGTCCTTGTTGACCACCTTGTTGTTGTTGGCCGTATTGTTGCTGGCCGCCTTGTTGGGGAGGTCCTTGTTGTTGTTGTTGGCCTTGTCCGCCTTGTTGCTGGCCGCCTTGTTGAGGAGGTCCTTGTTGACCACCTTGTTGCTGTTGGCCGCCTTGTTGCTGACGGCCCTGTTGAGGTCCTTGTTGACCTCCTTGTTGACCTTGGCCGCCTTGTTGGGGAGGTCCTTGTTGTTGTTGTTGGCCTCCTTGTTGCTGGCCGCCTTGTTGGGGAGGTCCTTGTTGACCACCTTGCTGTCCTTGGCCGCCTTGTTGCTGACCGCCTTGTTGGGGAGGTCCTTGCTGTCCTTGGCCGCCTTGTTGCTGACCGCCTTGTTGGGGAGGTCCTTGCTGTCCTTGGCCGCCTTGTTGCTGACCACCTTGTTGGGGAGGTCCTTGTTGCATTGGTGATGGACGTGCGTGCATAACGGCGACAAGGCCTAAAGAAGATTTGGTACTAGGTAACTGAAAATGATTGCATATCCTCAGCACCTGTTGAAGAAGAAGTGCGGCTGCGACGACTTAAAAACGGTTACGGAACACAAGTAAGCGCTGAAATCTAATTTTCATCGTGCTGATTTTCGGGCATGACCTATGTCAGTCGAACTGGCACAATTAAACAGAGCATCTGTGTACGATAAAGTGCATTAATTTTATAATTGCTAGCTAGCAGCGTATCAAGATCTTAATAAAAATAATATTATTAAAAAATAGTACAGGTACGTATATCCGCCCTTTCAGGCGATAGTAGTGCTCAATGTAAAAACTGAACCTTGTTCCAGGCAATTTATAAGTATACGAGTATTTCATATAATGCTTTTATTTATCGTTAGTATTCTGCATCTTCATACATCCCCGGTAGGTTAAGAATACCAATGTTCACGCTGCTATATTAATCGTAAGATGTATATTTTATTATACATACGATGTACGTAGAGTACTGTAGTATGCGGCGCTTTTACAATAAGTATTTAATAAGTACTGAGTACTCACCGGCCACAGCAAGGAAAACTAAAGTAGCCTTCATGGTAGCGGTTTTAAAGTAAATCAGCCGATTTAATCAAATTCTGTACCAGAAAGCTTTATTTTTGGTCAAGGCAGAAAACAAGTGATAGTAACTCAGAACTGCTGGGTGCTTATATAGGAAGACCGTTTTTCGTTAAGCGACCTTAACCGGATGTCCATCGTCTGAGAGGTATTGGAACCCTTTCTAGAAAACCATCCTACGCTGCAGTTTTGAACTTTCCAAAAGCTACGTACGCATATAATTATCAATTTTCGCAGGTAATGCACACCTGGACATCCTGCTATTCGGAGAACTTTTGCTCAACACAGCAGAAAGTTGAGCCCGTGTCGTTCATTACGAAATCCTGTAGCCATGCTTTCCGTTGAAGTGGCGGCATGTGGCACTTGAAGCGTGTCATTCCTTGCTTGTGAATTAGTGTACTCCAACAGCCAAAGACAGGGAAACCTAACCTTGCAACGTTATAACTTTACGTATACTATATGGATAGGAATGATCGTAACATCGACTGCCGTTTCCAGTTATAATCTCCATACTGTAATACTGGAAGGCGCTTACGATCAGGTATTCCGAATTTTTTCTGGAAAACCATCATGTCATCGTGATATAGTCGCAAACCCATTCTGTTCTCATCGAGCGAGCAATTAATGTTTTTATAAGGTCAAATGCAGTTTTTGGCATATTTTGTTTAGTGTGTGTACCAGAGCACGTTTATACTAGAAAATGAATGGTTTTTTCATAAAAATCTGGGAAAGTGGATCATTCTGCGAACAGTTCTCACGATGCATCTGATTCAGATGGTGTGTTTGTGCGCTCGTCGACGCTACTGTTAAAAAAAGCGGTTTGAAATAGTAACCCGGTTTGAAATATAATCCACGTTGTAATGTGGAGGATGATTTGCTTCGTGTTAAAACTTTGTCAGGAGTAGGTGGACAGCTTAAATGGTAGTAATTATGACACCACTTGAACATCATGAGCTAATATTTACCCTGATTTAACTTTTTAACCGTAAAATCTCTAACAAGCGCTTAGCCACGGCTGGAACTGTTCGTAGCTTTCGAAAATTACAACAAGGTGTGCATTTTTATTTGGGGAATCTATGAAACAGCACATTAACGAGAAGATTTCGTGCAACATAACTACTAGTTAAGATGTAGCATGGGCACAGTAAAGCTGATCTATAAACTGCGCGCCAGCCGATGCTACCAACAGAAAGCACTGTTAAAAGCATTTGACGATATCATTCGCCAAGGCTTGACTAGCATTACCAATGTCAACATTACTGAAGACATATGGATGCAGGCATCTCTCCCGATAATAGAAGGCGGTCTCGAATTCGAAGCGTCGAAAAGCTTGCCCTTCCGGCCTTTCTGGCCTCTGCTTATTCGGTGGCTCCATTAACATCGGAAATTATCGAGTTCCAACCACAGATCTACTGTCGTGATGCCGCTGCAGAATGGCAAGAAATAACCCAACAAGACCTCCCACACCATGACGCGCGATCGGTCCAGAAGGTATGGGACAATCCTATTGTCCAAAACACCGTTGAACGGGTACGAACGGCAGCTGGGAACGACATATCCGAACAGGCAAGACTGAACGGTGTTAGTACGAAAGAAAATGGCGCATGGTTGGGTGCGCTTCCGGCTGCCTCCCTTGGAAACCTCCTTACAGACTCAGCTGTACGAATCGCCGTTGGTTTACGGCTTGGAGCACCGATCATTACCCCACACCGCTGTGTATGCGGTGAGTGGGCGGATGCCCGCGGCTACCACGGCTTAAGCTGCAAGAAAAGCCGCGAACGAATCCCTACGCATAAATGCCTGAACGCCATTGTGAAGCGCAGCCTCGCATCGGCCGGCTTTGAAAGCGAACTAGAGCCACAAGGTATCTTCCAACAGACAGCAAGCGCCCAGGCGGCGTTACTTTGACACCATGGGAGAGAGGACGGATGTTGGCATGGGACGCAACGTGCGTCAACACAATGGCCATATCGCACATCGTCGCGACATCCGCACGAGCGGGAGCAGCAGCAGCACAGGCCGAGCAGGGCAAGATCGAGAAATATCGCGATATCGGCCAGGACTACCTATTCCGTGCTCTGGGCTTTGAGACGCTCGGACCGCCTGACCGGAAGCTGTCCGAACAATAACGGAATTCGGACAGAAAATACGTCAGGAAATCGGCGAAAAACGAGCCACGGAATATCTTCGCCAACGGATCAGCATCGAAATACAGCGAGGAAATGCGGCATCGATCATGGGGACGGCGCCAATGGGAGCGAATTTAGACCAAATTTTCTCTGTGATTAGGCCGCCGCTGTCGATTGATGCTTAACGAGTGATAGTTTCCGAAGCTTTTGTTAAAAGTACTCGTGTAGTAATTTGTAATAGTGAAATGAGTAGATACAAAATCGCATACAGTAAACAGCATAAACTGCTCTAGTAGACAGACTGTAGACTACTAGTACTGCAATACTTTATTTCGTAAAGCCTTGGCCTTGTCCAAATGCAAAACGTCTCTTGCACTCAAGAAAATATGTCACGCGTTGCTTAATACCGCGAATTTATGCAATATGAATACTGATCGGCTGTTTCAAGAAACTGACCACGAGTAGATCGTTTCTTTTGTGTTCTTTCAAAAAGAAAAGCATTTTACCAGAACAGCAATGTTAGACTGGGTTCTCTCAATCCCTTGCCCCATGGTTAAAAAGCAAGGGTATAAAATATGAAATTATTCCGCAAATAGCCATTTGTAGGCTTCTACTGGCTTCCGATAAGGTGGCTGTGGCGTTAGCTTCCTGAGATGTCTTGGCGATGTGAGAAGTGGCTGCGCCAGATTGTACATGTGTGTGTACTTCTATTGCAATTTTTTTTACTGGGTATTTTCCCATTTTCAGACAAACAGCAATGAAAACAAGTCAAACAACTGACAGTTAGCTTGATTTTACAACATTCGCGAACCACTGAAACACTGAAGACAGGTTACAAAAATAGAGGAGCAAGAAGTCAGAATCCAGAGATGCCCAATGCCACACCAACGAACTCACAAACAACACGGTTTTAAAGCTGTGTACGAGTATATCATGCTATAATACCTGATTTGCATCAATATACTGTAGATATTCGATATTCAAAGTATTAAGAAATCGGTGCAACGAACGCAGGGTTTTTTTATGAATTCAATTTGACTGTTCGAATTTTGTAATGCAACCGTAATCTGGCGATAAAAAAACACAAGAATTACGTAATGAACCGCACAATATGAATCGCACTATTACTTAGTGCCGCATAATTCCGTCAAAATTAAATCACATAGCATATAACCAAATGTCCTCGGAGATCAGACTTAATTTGCTGGAAGCTCAGAATCTTTTCGACTTTTGGCCCTTAATATCGGTAGATTTTCAAATTATGCATGTGTGATATATCTGTAGCCGAAATACGAGCCGCAGCGCGAGTATACTAGCTCGTTCTTGTCATCCACAATGGCGCCGCTGTTGAAATGTGTAGCGGCATTCAGTTTACTGAGTGCGGTTTCGTCTCAACTGTATTGCCCGGACATTCCTCTAAATCCTCCAGGATTCACAATTGATCCCACAAAAGTGAGCATAAATATATCTTTATACTGTAGATGTTGGACACTTTATAGAAATATATGGCCATAGTGCAAGTCCCAATATCACAAGTCACTACCATGAAGATTAAAAATGTAAATCTTGGAGAAGTGCATTTGGGTGATAAAACGCATGTTCCATATGATTCCAGAGCTACGCGTGCGAGTGCTTTTATTAACTTCAAATTATCAAGTTTTCAGCGCTGTATCATTTCTGTTGTACGCTTACAATATGCAAATTAATTAAGTTTATTTTCTTGATTTCTAACAGGTTGCTGGAATATGGTACGAGTACACGTACCGCAACGGCCCAGTGGGGAACGATCCCCCGGCCACCAATGTATTCATGAATGTGACCATACTCGGACCACGTCCTAATACACCAACCGGCACATCGTACTACATCACCTGGATATACAATTTTTTCGCTCACGTACCCACTCAGAGTGATCCACTGCAGTGCATCGTATTTCCTCAACAGGGAAATCTGTCCTCGGATGGTACGCGACAAGTGGTTGTTCAAATTGGCGGGCCCACTGCGCCGCTTGGTAAGTCAAATAACACATGACTAATATTGCACATGCAACAGTGCTGATCGATATTTTATTCGGTGACGCAAATACTGCTAACCTAATTTAGGTACATTACGAGTAGTAGTCAATTTTGCTAATCATTCTTCATCTTCTGTATATGTACTTATATGCCGGTTATGATATCCAGGATATGTTAAATTCTAGTAACTTTTATTTCACTGTCCTGCTAATTCGTAATAACTGCATCTTCATGCTAACTTCATGCAAGCTAATTCCAAGATTTATTGTTTTGATTTGGTTTGCTTTGCAGCCACCTTCAAGTACACCACGTTGTACACGGACTATACCCTCGTACAGTTGTGGTACTTTTGCGCATCTCCGAATGCGGATGGTCAGCGTTGTGATCAGCCATTTTTATTTACGTACACGAGAATCAAGCCGCCAATGCTGACGGCTGACCAGAAAACCTACATTGAAAATCTGGCCAATACCTATTTTGCCAAGATCTGTCGCGGTTTCAAGGACATGAGCATGACGACGTGGGATCTGACAACGACCTTTCCGACCTGCAACACCGGTGCCAGTAATACCCCGCCGCTCTCTGCGGCTTTTCTAGCATCCTTCCCGCCTGGCGTTAAGCCAGCGCGATAAAGCAGAACATTTAATTCTGACGGAAGAATCTCTGGACAAATCGATCAGGTTCTGACGTAGCATCGGATCTTCACTGTGTTCCAAAGTGATTTTTATTTTATTATTGGATATTCCTTTTTGTGGTACAAAAATCCCTTTTTTCTATAACGTGAAATGAGCGATATTGCGATAACAAAAGCAGTTTCGAAAATTGTTTTCATAATTCCTGAAATTACAAATTACGACAAGGACAAGGCCCATTAAGAAAATAAAATCTGAATGAAAAAAACCATGACCGGATGTCACCAGTTGCAAAGATTATTGACCATACGTTGCTTGCACACGGTTGCATCCATTATCGCACGTACAGCAGCTGGGCGGTATGCGCATTGTTAATGGGGCTTGCAAATACATTTCCTGACTCTTTTTGCCACTTGCTCCTGAACCTGTTCCGGCTCTTGTTTCTTGGTTTCGGGTAACCATAAAACAACGATAACGATGTAGAAAATGCTCAGAACGGTGAAGAATATAAAGACGTATCCATGGATCTTTCCCTGTAATAGCTCAGCTAAAAATGTTGCTCTCAACGAACACGTTGATCAGCTGCAATGTAATAAATTCCAATACCTGCAATAGAGGAAATGCGACGACCACCAGAGCGCCACACGTCCAGTGAACCAACAATTCCACACTATTGGCGATAGTTTTGTCTTTTTCATGAAACATCTCCGCAATCATAAACGACGGGATTGTTCCTTAAAGCAGCCACCCGTAAAAAACTGTGTAATCACTATCAGCCGTTTTAATATTGGTATTTAGAAAAACATACCAGGTCCACAAGAATACACAATCAAGTACACGAACAGCACAGCCATGCTAACGAAGGGTGCCCAGTCCGCTTGGATACTCGAGAATTCCTTCGGATTCTGAGACTTCTCGCTTGCCGTCTGCAGAATAATTTATTGTTCTCTGATTGGTGCACAATTCAGCGTTCGTAGTTCATACTTCATGCAGCACTATGAAGGTCGTTAGGAGAGCGGTTGTCAGTGCAGTGCCACAGAGTCCAGTTAACAGTAAAGGTCGTCGTCCGAGTTTTTCCACTAGAAGCGCCGTCAACAATGTCGCAATGACCATTGTCGCTCCCACGCCCACTGTTCCGTACAGTGGTGACGTGCCGGTCAATCCAGCCGATTCGAAAATAGCCGTGGAGAAGAAATACGCCTATGAAAATCCAAAGTAATTAAATTAAAATTTTGACTGATCATTAAATCACTACCGGATGGTGCAGATAACCACCCGTATATTAACAGTGCAATGCACGTTGCCTGTCGAAATAGATTTCTCATTTTAATTGGGTTGTACTACAGTACTGTAGTTCACTACTTCTTACGGTCTTACCGCATTGATACCGGTCAGTTGACGGCAGCTAATCACCACGAATCCCACAAGAACGACAATTCTAAGCGTCGGATCGTGCATCATGTCGGTAAATTTCCACTTTGGTTGCTGTTCGGCTTGTTTTTCTTTCTCCCTCATTTCTCGTAGTTCTTCTTCGATCTTCGATGGTGAATGCCTAAGTTGTCGCACAACTGCAGTAAGAACAGAAAAGACTTATGGAAAGGCGACGCTGCCAAAGTGTTGGTAAAAAAGTGATTTTAAGCGCCATACAGTAAGTCTTCCTTCGGCTTCACTGCAGCCGCCATTGCGCTACTTAAGTAGAAGAATCATAGCAAATGTTAATTTACTCGAATGTATCTGATCTGCATTCGTACCAAGTACTAACTATTTATCTGCACTATTGTATGATTAAATCCCCTAAGCTTTTGAAATCGTTATTACAGTATAATGCAGTTCTTATAAAAAAGACTGCAGTTGTAAAAGGGAAGTTCTACGATGTTACAAGTAGAACTGGACTGAGAATTAACCAGCTCACTTTCTATAAGTTCACAATTTTAAAAATAATTTCAACGACCATTGTAACATATGTTGAGATAATGAAAACGGCATATCGCTGGTTACGTTATAGCAAACATTAAAAGCCATCTTTGCAAACGCAGTAGTACTGCAGCTGTAAGAAACGAGAAGACAAATGACAAGACACCACCGACCTGCTTCCGCTTCGCCCTCATGACCTTCGGCTTCGGATAGATATTTAGGATCTTCCGGGCACATTGGCAGGACTAGCAACTGCAGGGTGGCGGGAATCACCACGAATCCGACCAAGTACGGCCAAGTGGTCGGCCCGCCAAGGATTGATGGAAGTCCGAGGACAAACGCCAGGAGTGTCCCGCACACATCGAATAGCCGCTGAAGCGCACCAAAAGCACCGGCTAAGGAAGGGGGCACAAGGCCCATAAAGTACACTGGGGCCACGGCAGTGGAGACACCTGCCGATAAATTAACGTAAACGTTTTACTTTAACCACTGGTGTATTCTTTAATTTAATGCACACATATACCGATATCTTACAATACACTCATAGCATTACCACGCATAATCTCCAAACTTAAACGTTGAAACAAAAAACAAGTCAAGCGACTCTCTCGCCCGTTCTCAAATACAATTTCTTTCCAATCTCCTTTAACGTAACAATGCCAGTCTCACACCAAGTGCCAAAAGTCTCGCATGCAAAGGCGACAAAGTGACAGCGATCAATGAGAGACTTGTATATTCCAATCTTCTCCCTGGAAGCCAGCTCAGCGGCCGCGCCGGCACACTTTGAGGTCGCGTCGACGTACGAATCCGCCATCGTATCTTTACAGGTCACGTCCCATACTAAAGGCTGCCCGCGGTACCACTTCCAGCGCGTGGCTCCATCCGGACGCTTTCCATTTTCGCGCAAAAAGCCAATAGGCTCTGGATACGATTCAATCCGGGCATTACATAACGCTCGCAAGATAATATCGTTAATACCGTTATGTCGTCCCCCTTCTACCAATGCTATGAGTGTATTGTGCACAGTCCCTTCTCATGTAAATTGGGACAAATTCTTCATTTGAATATAATTGTTGAGCGATGCTCGCTTTGTACATATTGAGAAATAAAATCACAATCTTACAATATATCGTACAACTGATCCATGTACGAGTATAAAATCCTTGAAGATAAAAACGTACAAACGATGTTATGTTATGTTACAGTAATTAAAGACAACTACAGAGAAAACTGCTTCCGCAACCGAGTACCGTGACATACCGGCATTAATCCCAACAAAAATTCTTCCAATTATAAAAGCCGCATACGACGAGGTTGGGTAGGCAATTCCTTGTAAAATCCCACCAACAATGGCTCCAGCGTTGTTTGTCACTAACGTCCATTTTCTGATTTCAGTTTAATTCATTAACATAAACGAGCCAAAGAAATAAATTATAAGAGCTGTACAATCGACGAAGGTTAATGCAAATTTCGCAATACTTTTTACACAATCTCGAATTAGGTAATGCAACTGATCAGAGATACGCCACAAAGCCGTCGATCTCACGAAGCCATGTTCCACCCATCTGAATAAAAAACCATTGAAACAATTACCTGCCAAGAAGGTCAACTCGATAATGGCTTAGTATTGCTCCCAGGATGCCCCCACAACAAAAAGCCAGATTTACACCAATCCACATCATACGCAGTTTGACATTCTTTTCCATCTCCTCTGAATGTTCTGTAGAATTTAGTGTCCGACACCATCGCTCCTCTTCGCGTGTGGCATTAACCCACGACGCATTTAAACCCGAGTGGCTGCTGATGTAACGAGCCTTCTCGCATTCGGTACTTCTGATCCATTCGCTCAGCACCTATCAAGTGACCTTATGGCTAATATGTAATATATCCACAAAATCCTCAATGTATTTACTCGTACTTTTGGAAGATCATCCATTCAGCGCATATTAACACGGTAACAACTGCGAAACGTTGTGAAACTGTTGTTAAAAAATGAATACTGCTAATTAACTACCTTACAGTAGGTACTGAAAATTTAAGCATTAGATTGATTATTCTGCGCTTGATTATTAGAACGATTATTCTGCGCCGCGCTAGTTCTGCGCCATGTGTACTGTCTATACCCATATATGAAATCTTTGGAAAAAATGTATGCTAAAAAATTCAGAACTCGATTGTATGAATTCTGTAACTCACTTTTTGGGGAACATTGATAACTCCTGTGTTGTAGCCGATAAGGAATGGCGATCCAAAACCGGCAGACAATACCGTTACCATTAGCAGAAAGGTCACTTCCTATAGCAGGCGCAACGCAATATACTACAGATATATTACTAAATAGTGCAATAAAAATCAAGTAACAGCGCACCTTCAGCTCTTTCCTGAAATGCTGAAGACGTTGAAAAAAGCTTTTATGGGCACTGTGACCAGATGGGGTACTGGTACGTCTAGTAGTTCCATTGGTCTCTTCCATGATGGCACGAAAGACGTACTGGGGATATTTCGAGCTCATTACCATGTACGGTCTAGAAAAAGGTCATGCAAAATAATCATTAAGTTGGCCGTATAAAGTAGTTCTGAAAGTACTGTGATTCACAGCACGCTAACTTATAAATATGTACCAGCCGTGTAGCTTCTTGTAGCAGTAAAAAAGGTGCTAAAAACCGTTTCGATTAATATGAAAGAGTACAACTTTCCATTGGAAAAAAATAATCAGCTGGGTGCCTGATTTCAAATGCGGCCTTTTAAGGCTGTTATTGGCCAACAAACGATGCATACATCGTATTAATTCTGTTGCTCGCGTGTGCTGTAACCGATCGACGACGGGGTTTGCCGGGTATTTTAATGGGAAAACAATGATATACACAATGAATACAATGAATCAACAACGAAAAACACAATGATCTAACAACAAGCACAAACGCCCCCCATGGGGAATATTGAACACGATGAAAGAAAACACAATGAACCAATAACAAGCAAACACCCCTTCCACAGCCCTTCCCAGGAAAAAAGGGATAGGGTGGGTGGGAAAATCGCGTTCGACGTGAACTACATCAAAAATCTTTGCAAATGAACACTGAGATGTAAAGCTGCTAAAGGCAGCATGAAACCAGAGCAATCTCAAGGAATACCATCTGACCACCCAGATGGCCAGCAATAAATCTCAACCGCGACAGCACATTAATGTCAAAGGCGAGACAAAATCATGCCGCTCGCCAGAATTAACATTCATTATCTCCGATAATTCCTTTTAATTCTGTTGCTCGCGTGTGCTGTAACCGATCGACGACGGGGTTTGCCGGGTATTTTAATGGGAAAACAATGATATACACAATGAATACAATGAATCAACAACGAAAAACACAATGATCTAACAACAAGCACAAACGCCCCAAACAAACCCCCAAACAGGAACATAAGAATATCCAATCAATGACCAACGTGGCAGCTGCAGCACTGATACGGAAACTGTAGAAAGGAAGGCAATGCTGGTAACAGACGACGCAAACTGCGCTTAAAATAATTCCGAAATCACGGTGACCGATTATAAAGCAGAGAAATGTGCATCAGCGCCAAATGTCAATTGACACACAATAACAGGAATATAGAATAAATAAGTACAGAAACTGTACAAGTGACGAATCAGCAGGATTAAAATATACTGCACAACCATAAGAGAATTGGTCAGTTTTGGAAAGTAGGATTATACGGGAAACTTGATGATCGCAAAACCGTAAATGACGAAACTTATCGTCATGACTTATCAATGAGCGATAACGCAAATTCAGACACAATGGATTCAGATACGCTGTGTGACAATGAAGAAACCGCAATGCGGGTTTCAGTAAAACACAGATGATATCCAGGGATATAGGCCAACAAAGAATTCAACGGGAACCAATCGCTGATTTCTGTAAGTGCAACATGGGAATATTTGTTCCCATACCGGTATTAACGGACGATAAATTAAACACTTCAGCTTCATTAATGAACCACGGAACACAACGTGGAAAATGTAGGAACTGCAGAAAGCGGCTCAGTGCCCCGGAATATATTTTCGGCATGGACACAGAAATGTGATGCTGGATTACATGTCTGAAGGTAAAATTTGAAGAACTAAATGGGAATAACGTTGGCGTGCGAGATCCGGTTTGGTGATCGGCATATCCACTGCTTTCCATCTCGTCCCATTGCGAATCAGCTAATCCGAGGCGTTAGATACAGTAGGATCAAAAAGAAATTTGAGAACACCAAAACGAATCGGATACGGTTAAGTCTCTGGGATGATAACGTAAAACGATCAAAAGTCATGTTTGATGTGAAAATCCCACGGAAGCAATACAACACAAAATTAGCTGAGCAAAGATGCAAAGTAGTCAGAACGCAAACAACTGAAATCAGAATTTTACGCACCCGGCAAGTTGCCGGACTGAAAGAACAGAGCAGCCGCTGACACGCTGGCAGTCGCAAGTGAAAAGTGGAAATATAATATATACTATAATATAATATATACTGTAATAGTTCGACGTTCGACGTGAATAGCCAATAGGCTCAATACATGGTGATGGACTGTATAAGCAGAATTATGGGACGCAAATAATATCTCGCGAACAAGACGAGAACGCACTTGATATCCAACAAATGTCCAGATCGATCAGCAGGATTACAGAACAAAACTGTTTAATGACGAGAGAACTGGTCAATTTTAGAATTATGAATCACTGTATAAAGCGATTAGGAGAACCTTATGACTGTCATCAGGCGGCAAGTTACGTAACTGAACAGTATGGTCATCACTAAGGAATGAAGGGAACTGAGATGCAAGCAGAAGGCAATGCATATTGTACACCCGAATAAGAAGCCATCAAAGGGAACCGAAACGACAACAAAGGAATCATGATGCGGGTTTCCACTAAACACATGTGACCAACGGATATAAGCATTAAGCAATTATGAGGCATCAAGCGGAACCAAACGACAAAATCATTGAAACACAATGAGACACAATGAAATAAAATTAAACAGATAAGAACTGCGGTGCCGCCGAATATGCCGCCGAAACGTTTTCTGCGTAGACACGGAAATGTGATGCTGGTTAACGCATTTTACGGTAAAATCTGGAAATACTAACCAAAGGCCACCAGAAAATATTGGTAATAAGTATCCATCGATAAATACAAGACAGATATATTACGGGACACACCGTTAATGGCACCAGTGAAATTAATTCAAGAGAAGCGTAAAGTAAAGAAAAAGAATAATATTGAATATGAACAGAGATGTAATAAATAACAGGAAAACGAAAACAGGGATAATAAAATACGATTATAGCAACAGTGGAAATGAGGATACAATAAATAACAGCAGTAACAATAAATGACAATGAATAACACATATAAGACTGCAAGAGTAAAGAGCGTGAACAAATGAATCCAGCAATATTCCAGACTGAAAGAACAGCGCAATCGCCCATGTGGTGGTAGTCACAAATTTACTCCGATTTCGAATTATAGAGACACCGTTTACTGAAACTTCAATGAAGAGAACTTAAACAGGACGCTCTAAAGTAACAACAAGAGCAGGGATGTAAGGATAACAGAAATAAGGATATACAAACAATAAGAACCGGGATGCAACAAACAACAGGAATAGAAATAACAGGGAGAAAGAATAAGAATCGCAATAATTATCACACGGATAACAAATATCAGGGATGACAAATAGAGAAATAAATAACAGGGTAACGAAGATAAAAATAATTCGGATAACAATGGGGATAACAATAACAGGACGAATAAAAATTATAACAACAAACAATAGTAAAACGGGAAGATAATACAGCAATTATAACAATAACGATCATGACCACAGCAAGAGCCACGGGACATAATAATAACAATAGTGTTTTAAATAAAAATAAGAAAGGTAAAATAATAATAACTTTAATATTACCAATAACAACAAATAATGATAAAATAACAATAATAATAATAATAATACATAAATAATATATATAAAAATAAGGTAAAATTTTGTACACAAATATCAAATATGTATAAGATATAGTATGCATACAATACGATAGAATACAATGCAGTAATAAAACGTAATAATACATCATAATGTAGTACAGTTTAATAATACAATATAATAATACGATAAAATAACACAATACAATAATATATTATAATACATATACCAATAATACTGTATTATATATTATAATACACATAACAATATTTACACGCACAATAGGTACACAATATACACAATAAATTGTCAATAATAAAAATGATAATGAAGTCTATAAATAACAAAATATACAATAATATAAAATATATTAATAATAAAACATAATATATCATAAAATCTATCAATAATTTGTTTGACATACCTTTTATTAGAAATGTGTAAAACCATACACGGTATGTAATAATAGTATGACAGATCTATACATATTAAGATCAATCCCTTGAAGATTGTGATATAATGATACAAGCAATATAATAATAATATGACAATGATATTGATAATATTATATATAATAACAATATATATAATAACAATATTAATGATGATATATATAATAATAATATTTATAATAATAATAACCAATAATAAAATTTATGTTGTAATGCATATCACAAATATGTAAGCCTACAACATGTATACAATATAAAAATAATTTAATATATAATACTAATATCTATGTACAAATATAAAATCTATGTAATAGATCAGGAGCACACTAGCTCGTATTATATAGGAATGACCTAATGGAAATAACAAATGTTGACGTGCGAGATGGCCGTCCACGTTCTAGAATGGTAGCCAGAATGCAAGCAAATGAAGTTAGGCGTTTTGTGCACCCGGCAATATGCCGGGCTGAAAGAACAGGGCAACCGCCAATATGGTGATAGTCACAAATAAAAAGCAAATATATTATGCAAATGGAAATTATTACTAATCCTCGATAAAGAAAACGTAAATAGGGACCTCCAAAAATTGATGTACGAAACACAAGCGGCTATATACAAATCATGAGAGACACGACGTAATAATTGTCGACAAGATATGCCGCGGACGAGATTACGCCATAACATAATGCAGGAGCATATGGCAGTAGCAAATACGCTAAAGCACAGCAACATGGAATTTCTTCCAGAAATTTTTACAAATCAACCACTTGGTGAAATCAAGAACTTATCTGTCTGTAACTATCTATACGTGAGTACAGCAGAACAGCATGGAAGTTTAAACGCGAAAAATCGCAAAAAATCGGCCGCAGAAAAAAAAAAAAAAGCAGCAGAAAATCGCGTTCGACGTGAACTACATCAAAAATCTTTGCAAATGAACACTGAGATGTAAAGCTGCTAAAGGCAGCATGAAACCAGAGCAATCTCAAGGAATACCATCTGACCACCCAGATGGCCAGCAATAAATCTCAACCGCGACAGCACATTAATGTCAAAGGCGAGACAAAATCATGCCGCTCGCCAGAATTAACATTCATTATCTCCGATAATTCCTTATAATTCTTTAAATTTCCATAGTGCACGTGCTGCGCTGCGGTTTTCAGCGAGCCATGTAGCGAAGAGGTTCTGTATTTAAATAAATTAAAGGTTTTTTAACCCTTAATTTATTCTAAAAATGGAAAAACCATTACGTATAATGGTTACTTGCAAATTTGCTATTCAAGTTGTTTGACGCAATGAATGTGCAAGGTGGTATGCAGTCCCCAGGGTTAATACCAACGCTGTTTTGATTCAGCATTCATTTATAAAAAAGTTTTGGTTTCTGTATGATTAACAAAGTTAGGCACAATATACTCAGAAGAACCTTCTAAACATTTTGGCAAGTCGAGGGGCAATCAAAAGGCTCCTGTATTTTTGCTTTCCGAAGGTCAAACCCTGTCCGGCGCTAGTACAGATGTTAATAACCAGGTCAACGGTGGTGCATACGTTTCAATGTACTTTTTAAATGCTTTGGTATAACCATCTCTTACAATTTATGAGCGCAGTGATACATTTTACCATGAAAAGATCCGCTAGCACGAGTGCAGCTTAAACTATCTGTAGAGACTGTACTCAACGATCCGGTCTCAAAAACATAGATGTTTGAGAACCAGACCGTTTGAAAATTGGCTTAAAATGTGTGCAATTGACATGGCTTGGGCAAATGCCGCTTCAGCAAATTAACGGCAGAAAACAAACCGAGAGGGAAAATAAAATTAATTAAATCGTTTTTGCATGGTGTGGATGCTTATGGACGATAGTTTCTTAATTTTTGCTGCCTTGCACATTTTATTGTAAAGATTGTTGTAATTTGTAATCAGGAAAGCAATTGTGGATTCTTCACATGTGCGATCACATGGTATAATAGGCATGAGTATGAAATGTCGGGTATAATGACGCCAGGTATATGTATGTAACGCGCGTCATAAAACACGCGAAGAAACCGCAATTGCTTTCCTGATTACCACAATTCTGACGATAATTAAAAAGAGCCTGGCTTCAGAAGTTTAGAATCCAACGTCCACGATCACAGGAAATCTACCTAGCAAACGCGTTTAATAAATATTGTTTTCCCTCTCGATTTGCTTGCTGTCTTTAATTTATTGTCGTGACCTTTCTAAAAGGCCAGGTCATTTTAAATTACAGATTATCAAGTTAGCTACAAGGCCCCTGGAGATAGATTCCAGGAAACCGGTGGCGAAAGAGAACAGAGCAGTTGACACGCACTAACTGTTGCTCCGGTTAATAACAGCCCGTATTTTTAGAACATATTAATTTTCTTATTGACTACACGCCCAGTAAACAGTTCTTTATTAAATTTTCTTTCATTAAAGTGTTAAAGTGATCAGTCTTGTTTCGCAGGTGTTTTGTTTAAAAAAGTTATGTGATGGCCACTTACCAATTAAGATCGTATCCCTATTGGCCACCAGTTCCTGCGTCTTGGATACCGAATTTCGCGGACACGATATCTCAAACAGCCAATCACGCACAACCAGAAAGCCGTACATCGCCGAATGAAAAAAAACTGGACAAGGAGTATCAAACCGAGACAACAATCCCGACAATCTACAGTAGAGTAGAAAGCGCAGGAGCCGAGAAAGCGGAGATGCGCAAGAGTTAGAAGGAGAGTCACAATTAGCTCACCGAATACGATCATTCGAGACTGTTAAAGCGTAAACCGACAAACGATTCTTTGTCTTTTATTCAAAACTTCCTTGGTTGCCATTATTTGTCAGTCACCTCGTCGGAAATAGTTATGCTAGTCGTTAGGTAACGAAGGTACTGATAAGTCTGGCTTGGAATTAAAAATGCACTTGTCGAGTTTTTGTCGACACAGTGGACTCAAGTCGGCATTTGTTTGTTGACATCAGCGTGACTCGACACCCCGAGTGGTCTGCGCCGTACTCTCGCCCGTATACAAGCCGCGACAGTGACCAGGCATCCGTCGTGCCTTCTTGACTTCCATTGCTGAGTCCATCTGGGTAGCCGTTGCGTGTATCATGATTTGCACTTACTGTTTACGAGAAGCACTCAACACGGTGACAATAACAGTTAACAAACCGATACATACTCGGGAAAATACGCCGATACTGTCACTGCGCATTATGCAGAAAGAACTTGTATTTTCGCCATCGAATATAATATACAGCACTGCAGGGATGTAGGAAACAAAGGTCTTCGGTACGTGAAGGAAATGTAGAACAAGCCGGGTGCCAATTGAAGCAAAAAACCGGAAAAGAAGGGAACATGATGGTGAGGTTCGCTCCAGTTTCCGAAACCAAACAGGCCGTTCATGTGATTTTCTTAAACGTACCAGCCCAACACTACATCCATATGTATACACCATGAGATCACAGGCCGAACAATCGGAAGCCGAAGTAGGCACATTTCAGGACTTTGCATTTTGTGCTGAGATTAACCGCCCAGTGTCGCCTATGACGTTTTAACGCAAAAAGGCATGTTGTACTGGTTGAATACTTGGTGTGGATTATTATACATATTTGGTTTGATTGAACAGTCGAAGCACAGTCTGATATATATGCATATATACATATGTGCAATATATTATACTCCACTTAATTATGATAAGGTCACTACACATGTTTTGCCGCTGATATTGTGGTTCTTCGTTCATTTAATTCCCGGCGGTTTACTACAGAATTCCTGCCAGACTTTTTATCTATATCGTACCTATGTTCAGACTACAGAAATGAAGCAAAATGGAATACAACCGGGTCGGTAGTCGCAAATTTACAATCGCTGTAATAAATTATACATTAAAACATCTTTTCGATCCAAAACAGAGCCTACAAAGACATATATTACTGTGTGAATATCAAGAATTTAACAGCGAAGCAAATATTTATCAAAAAGTTGGGCATGCGCGAAATCGGTTGCGGAAGAATTCGACCTCGAGCGACAATGGCGGAGTTGAATGGGCGCACGCACCGGGCATTGTGGAGAAATGATTTTTCCCCGTACCGTGTATCGTTTAATCTTTTTCACTCCCCTCCATAGTATGCGCACGATAATAGGGTCAATACAGCGGTACCGCTGCCGGCTCTGATCTAACGAGCGGTTCACGTGGTGCCAACTGCGTCACCGGCGTTTATGCGCAGCCATCCGGCATCCGCCGCACAATTAATAAATGGGAATATAGAAAACTCCGAGAGAGAGAGCAAAAACATGAAAACATAACAATGGAGCAATATGCTAGCTGGCCGCCATAGTCATATAGGATAGAGCGATAATTTGTCACAAAACACCGTATACACCGCTTCCTCCCGTGGAAAAAGCGGCAAGCGGAAAGAGATTTGTCCGGGAGAGAGCGCAGTGCGCGAGCGCGTCCCATTTTTTAACGATAATGTTGCCGGCTGCGCGCGTCGTATATTGTCAAGTTGAATCTGGGAAGCACTTGATCAATTTTGGTCGGTTGCCGTACTGCAGGGAGACGCGCCGGCGGATGGTGATGAGTAATCACAATCGGACGAATCGGTCCTGGACATGCTTTTATCATCACTCATCTGGAAAAAAACACAGACGATGAACGCAATGACTTTGAATGCGCATTAAATACCGGTTGGCAACAACAAGTTGGATCGTGTACGAGTACATATGTGCGTATACTTTCACGTGATAGTGCATGATTAATTATTGGTAATTTCCCCACTATTACGCAGTTGCTGTCCAACACGCCAGCTCGCTACACGCCAATCGTCCGGAATGGACAGATTAACTTGATTACGGCCCGGCGACATTATTAGCTTCGTCGGAACTGATGCTTTATGGGAAAATTGGGATTAATGAGCGACATGGCTCGTTACTCTTCTGTAAGGCGCAGCACCGAGCTCTGTACAAATGTACGCTTCAACTACCGTAATCAAACAATTTTTAGCGGATTTTCTAGAAATTCCGACCGCATAATGCAGCTAATCAGATGTAGAACGGTGTGGGTAGCGAGAATTTAAAGGTCATGCAAAAACCAGCTTACACAGATTATACCATATTAAAACTTATTACGTAGATAAATTTATCTGCAATCGGTGCATAATACAGGGTACCCTGCAGTGGTCGAGGTGTGCTTAATTTTAACCAAAATGTGGTTTATAATATCGTCACAGGTCATATGGTAAAAGCAGAGAACTGTCGTCAGGACTGCGTATTGCAAGAAACTGGAAAAATCTTTGCATTAAGCACAAAAACAACTGTGGGCTGAATACAGTTTACGGGACTTTGTTTCTTCCACATAAGCACACTGGTATTCTTTTTTGTTTATACGGGCAGAGATACGGCCTCCGATCCAGGTGACCGTACATACTGTAACAAATGATGCAATTTGTGTAAGTATAATTAGAGACGCCATCCGGTGCTCTTGGCAGTTGGCAGTATACATCTTACATAAAAATTATTTTTTTACGTTTTGTTATTTTGTTAATTTAAAAAGATTACTATCTTTTTAGAGAAACGTAAGATCGAAGCGACACATTCAGTATTTCTAAGCGCTAAACGTTTGATAAAGGTCAGCACCATTTAGACACTTCCGCCCTTGTTTCTGACCATTTGGAAACGTAAAATCCCTGCGGTTTCAGAGAATTATTCTCTGCCTTCGTGCAGCCTAAAAGTAATTAGAATTTTAAAAAAGCCCTGACTTGTGGGCATCGGTTATGGCGCAGTCAGCGCAATTAAGGCACTACTCCGCAAATGTGCGAGATTGAGCAAACGAAGATCTGGAACTGCTTTTGAGTAATTAAAAATATCGAACAGTATACAGCCATAGAAAAGTACGACAAAATACAATACGAAGCACATTAAAAATGTACATCTATTGAAAATTCTGCAGAAGTACTTTTAAATGGATGAATACAGCAGATTTTGTGTGTTTATCCTTGAAGGGATTAATTTCTTAGCATCACAAGAGAAAAATAGGAAGAATACTTTTTAATTTCCGGGATCAGATTCGGGGAAGTGGAAAGAAAATTCAGTGTCTAAGCGCTATGTCAAAGCTCTCCGTAGTCAGATATCAAAAGAGCCCAGTTGAGTTCCTGGGAGCTTAGTGGACATATTTCAGTGTTGAATATCGCTGCGGAAATGCAAGCCGCCGCGGAGCATATCGGTTTCCCAGTGAGTTGAATGAACAGCAACCCTGGAGCGGCATTCATATCTCCTAATTCATGATCCTTATAATAATTAAGGAAGAAGTTCAAGTAGCATGTCTAGCGCTTCTTTTCCGGATCTTACACTGTATAAGGCCATGCGAGAACTGTGCAAAAAAATATTTGATCGCCATGACATAATTACGTATTGGATTGTGTTCAGGCCATATGCCGGCATTTTGCTCTAAATCTCTACTTTACATGTACAAAAATTTGAAAAATCCAAGTTGTACCATAAGGCATTATGCGCCTCGTATTTTTGCGTTCACAAAGCTTTACTGTTAGACGATATGGGCGTGAACTGACAGCTCTACGACTTAAACAATTAAACGTCGAAAACATTAATTTACATTCTTTGTATAAAGTAAAGTCGTTATGGAGAGGCCGCATTTTGATAGAGACAGCAAAGCGACTGCATACCGTCCACAGCAACTCGCGATAAATTTAGTAATCGCGGATTCATATCAAATAAATATCAAAGATTTTATGTGGTTCTTCTTTGTAAATTATGGATTCCAAATCACTAAACACAGTTAAGGGAAGACATTCAAGACAGTCACAATTTTCTATTTAACGTCGAAATACTTGAATCTGTAATTGTAAACATTTCTCTGTGCTCGATATATTGTCCATCACTCGTAATTAATCCATGCTGACATCTTACGATTAGAACGGAGAATGCTACCACCCGAAATCGATTGTTTATTATTTACGCAAGCGTACGTGGTACTTTGCGGCTATACTAAATTTTATTTTTAAATTCATAGCTGCGCGCATTGCGACTATGCTGGTCAGTGAATCCCTTTCATATGTTACTAAACTGTTAATTAACAGAAGGAAAACCCTTTAATAATTATCTTGTTTAAGCACAAAGCTAACAACAAGTACTAGAACAAATTTCATAATGAAGTAAAATTCATTAATTAACATATAATGATCGGTGTGCTCTTAAATTTTTGTAAAAGAACGAATATACCTAATTTTCATCTGTTTAAAGAACAATAATGTTTACAATATTATGGCAGATATATGTAGATGTTCGTAAAATTATGTGTTTACGCAGCACTATATAGGTTTACTTTGGTTTGTCAATACAATACGGAATGCATATACAGATAGATATTTATCGCTTCTGTTGACAGATAATTACATGGCGTATATTCTTTTGTATGAGTACATATCTTTCATGCATCTTGGTGCAAGTGTGCGTAAATGCAGGCAACTATCCTGGATGCGACGACTGATTTCGCATAAACAGAAGATGCAGTAATCAGTGCACTTCATGGAAAGACATAAATTCGCTATATTATCGTATTTGCCTGACAAGCTACGGTATGATTAAATTAATTAAAAATTGTGGGCATTTTGGAGCGTGGCGAGAGATTATACATCTGCGGGCATCGCGTGACATTGCCATGAAATTCTCACAATTATACGTGCATGCCGTTGTGAAAGGATACGCTGGAGTATGGAAGGGGATTTTAAAAATAGTCGCAACTAGCGCGGGCAACCTTGGATTGCTGCAACCGAGGATAAGGATGCGGCAACGCGATGAGCCGCACGGACATAATCACTGCATAAGAGTCATCATGGAGAATGTTCTATTAAGCATAACCATGTTGGCATGTGTAATTTATTTTTCCACAGATCTCCGCCGCTTCCGTACACGATGCAGTATATAGATCGCACCATGCACTGACGAATTCCTTAGGATAGTTCAAGGTTAAATATGCACAAGCGCATTTAACCATGCGGTTTGTGTAAGTTGTCCATGAGAAAATAAACAGTTTAGATCACTCAAAAATTAGCCAAAGTCCGCTGCTCTATTTCCCTGTCTACGCAGTATTGTAGACAAATTAATACTCTGAAAATTAAATGAAGAACCGATCGCGAACTGTTCGAGTACTCGTTGCGTCTGCATAGGTTAGTAAAACAAAAAGTCAAAATAGGCATTAATTAAGTTTGCAGGGGACTAATTTACACTCGCGTTGCTAACTGCAGTGCAAATACAGCTAATAAGTATGCACATCTCTGTTTACCATCAAAAATACGAAAAACCTTCGGAGTAATGTAATTAGCGCTGATTCAGCGTCCACACGTACTGCAAGAGCACTACCAGCTGCAGAAAACTGTTAATTATTACGAGCATTCCGCAATACACAAACGGTACATGCGGCGCACACACAGGCAGTGTGCGCGATTCAATACACGTACATAATATGTGTTTACCTGGCCGTCTTGTTTATCTCTGAAGACGAACTTCTTCCGCTTGGATTTCTGCTGATCAATGATCATCTGCAGGACATCGTTCTCCGCCTCCACTGCGTCCTTCTTCGTCGGCACCGGCTCCGAGATGGGCTCCTCCGTCACCTGAATCACCGGGATCGCTGCATCGGTCGTCATGGTCCCCCGTTCGTGACCTTTCACATGGACGGACTACAGACCAGTCAAAAACCAATGCTAACTCAACCTCGATCAGAAGCCTTATTTTCAGAAAATTAAATGTAACATGCACAATGATATTTTAACCAGATCGGACTACCGTGGTAGTGTAATATTAACGAGGCAATTACACGATCATACTCGCATTATAATACAACGATATAAGTTGGCTCTGATCACGCAGGCAGTACATGTGCATGTGCAACCGGATAAGACACACACGCCACTATCGCCAAAATGCCTTTTAAAAATGCAACATTAACAGTACCACCGCGACAGCAATCCTTCCTGGCTTTTAAATATTATAAGCCGCAGCCGCTCGCGCTCCGCTTTAAAGCGTTGCCGCGATGCCGCCGCCGTGCGACGCAGCAGGGCCCAGCGCAAAGGTCGAGAGAGATAGTTACGTACGTCAATCAAATTAGCGAGAAGGACGAATAAAACCGTATGCTATACTGCACCGCCACGGGATTAATGTGGCGCACAACGGAAATCCCTGTTGCAATTAGTGGCAACACTGGGCTTTGTGTGTTTAGCTCGATGCTCGCTATGGACGCGGCGCGCAGGAAACACATGGGACAGCGTTTCCGCCCACGTTGACCGGGCTTAATTGTCAGAGAGTAACCGGTGCTGTTAAGGGATTGTCAATGCTAATTGATTTTTTAATATGTTAAAAGAATCCGGCCTTTGTATGCAAGGCGGCGACTTCTCCGGCTGAACCGACTCTATCTAATGTATTGTACTCTGTAGTAATATAAATATATCGCGGCACTTTGCACAAGTATATATGCCTCTGATTTGCCACGTTTATATTGGAAACACCTATCAGTTCAACATTGTGTAAAACCAGATGTTCTGATTTTGTCTTCTCGTAAAGAATAATTAATCTTTACACGTTCTGCGGATAAATAAAGCAAAAAAAAAAGAAAAATTATCGCTTGAGGTAATACATAAATATTAAAACAAACATTTGTTGTTGACTGGAAGATCAGGTGATCCAATAAATTGCACTAACGGCAGTTGTTCGTGGTGATATGGCGTATATGAAACTTTTTCCGAACTGGTTGTACAAATATTATATACTCGAATTCATTCTGGAATTTCTTGTTTCAGTTATCATTTTAAGTTTTTCTTAACCCTATGACGAGGTTCAAATACAGCGGCGGATAAATTTATTACTACGTACATACATGATGCATCCATAAAAATTTATTGCGTTTTACGAATTACAGGAAAATTACTTGTTGTATCAAACATATAATAAGGATTAAACGTAGTTACGTCATGCACTAACAACAATACCCGCATTCTACGTCATTTTAATTGACATTAGACGCGAACAGCGTCTTCCTGAAAATGCGGTTGACCTCACAATCAAATGCAATAAGCAAAATTACTCTAATATAAGATTTCACCTGCTTATAAGTAAATTACTACCAATTTCACCCTTATCTGCGACTATATCCGCATAATCATCGACAAATTACAAATTGAATTATCCCGGACATTTTTAAATTTTAATCTTAGAAAGTAGTTATAAATGAAAGTAGTTATAAATGCGTAGGAGATGGAAAATATCACGCGCATTATGACATGCATAAATAGTTGTGTGTCGTGGTCACCGTATAATTCACATCGCCATTTTACGTAGAAATTCCAAAGACTGAAATAACGAGCGTCAAGGTAAAAATTGTATATTGATTGGCGATTTGGCGTTATACCGGTTATAAAGAGCGGAGTTGCCGGAATATCACCTGCCATAATAACAGTAGGGGATGCATTAATTTGATCACAGAAGCGCACCTGGACGCCCATACAACAAGTCCGATTTAACTAGACCATTCACACACGTCACCGATAAATTTAGAACTTGAAAACTAACTGGTAAGTAGCTGATTATAAATACACACGCACAATATGTGTAAGATATTGCATTACAGATATCATTATGCGGTATGCAGCGCGCGAGGATGAATCGCACAACAATGGACACCACACCACACTTCCGCATTTACTGCATAGAAGTGTGCATACAAGACCAAAGCCGCTTTGGTCTTGTTAAATAACGATGAATTAATACTTAAGAAGGATTAATTCAAAGTGTTTTCTACTAATTCTTGTTTAATTTGTATTTATTTACTTGTACCGTTGTACGCACTTCTTTTGTACTTTCTACTTTTGTAATGCATTTCGCAAAACAACTGAACTGCATGCGGAAAGTACAGATACTGAGATATATTCGTATGTATCATAATAAAATATATTATATACCAGTAAGCAATAATGCAGGAATTAATTAAACGGCAAGTTTATGCATAACTTGCCGTTTAATTAATTCCTGCATTTTTGCTTAATCGTCACAAACTGTAGTTTGTTGTCGAAATGATCATTTTCGATTTTTGTTCAAGCATGAGGTTGATTTTTAGGGTACCGTTTTCTACCAAAAAGCTCTAATTTCCTGAAAAGTTAACGCACGGTAAGTCGTTTGTATTGCGTGCCGGCGGCTCTCCAGCAAGAATGGCACAGCCAAGGTGGCACAGCCATCCGTTATAACGTCAAGAATCTGAACAATGGTACGGAAGTACAACCGCATAAGGGACTTAGGGTTACCTAGCCAAACCAAAGTCGCCCCTTGTCCAGGGAAGTTGAGCGTAAATAATGAGAAATAATTTTTCCTTGTGGCGTCAAAAACGGCACAGCTCATCCTTCAATTCATGGCCATGGTCCGAAGTCCGAACAGCATTTCGCAATATTTGTTTCCCGGTTTTCAGAAAAAAACACAACAATACTAACAATACTATCGCGATCATATATATATACGTGCGAGTGTATGGCAGTATGCTCCATAATCTTAAATCTTCCTTAAACCCGTCCCGAAATAAAATTGGGTAAAGGATCCGAATACCACCTTTTACTACATTTGGCATATGTACTACATCTTATGCCGTTTTTTAGACTCCTAATGTCACCTTAATTTGCTACACCACTTTTGACTCCGCATATCATCATTTGATTTAATTTATTTAAAAACGTACATTTTGTTCTCTTTAAAGCAAAATATTTTGAATTTTAAACGCTAAAAATGTTTTGCCGGCAGTTTTCGAACACTGCTGTTATTACTGTGCTGCTGTGTACAGTCAAAATTGTGTGTACTACAGTACAAGTAAATTACGCACTTTACCTTTTTTTAATACTACCTTCGTTGCACAGATTTGAAACGTAAAAAGGCGATAAATGAAATTCTTGCGATCAGCTAATTTAAACACGAAATATTTGTACATTCTTCGTTCTGTCTTTGCAATCGACTGCACCCAGGAGTCCAGGACAGACACGGCCGGATACTGATTTCTTCATTGAATTTCCATATTGAAATAATTTGGATCAGGATACTGATTTGTACGAATATTTGTTTGGTTATCATACCCGTATTTCATAACTTTAAGATTCTTGAACCAAATTATAAGATATCGTAAGAGCATTTTGGAACTTATTATTTAATATAAAGCTGTGCTTCAACACTACAGTCTATCTGTACATAGGGTATGTCACGATAAGTGCTTCACTGCTTACCGTTAAAATACATAATCTAAACACCAGATTTGGATTTCGCCAGCACATTCAACAATGTTCACCTACAAAAGTCACAGCTAGAAAGTTAATTATCAAAGACTTCCAGGTTCTCATATACTTCTCATATATTCTCATATATTAATTTAGTTTATACTGGTATACGAGTAGACTCCAAAGGTCAAAATCGGGGGAGCGCAATTTGAGCTAGCACATGTGGCATTGTTTATACTAAATAGCGTCAATAGATTGTACCACGAATGTTAAATACCATATTATATTAATTTTGATTTTATATTTTATATTCAATTACAGTGTTTAAATAGTTTATGAACTATGTGCGGTATGAAACGCGGATGAGCTTTGTATCTATACTTACAGATACGATACTGTATCGTATCTGTAAGTATAGATACAGTACGAGACTACGATTACTGTAGTATGCAATACCCTCGATCTCGTGCTAGATTATAGTTGACAAGAAGTTTTCATTTAGATTTAGAAGTTAACATTCATCGCTGTTATCTGGGAAACTGACTAACCATAAAGTAGCAATTAAATACGATTTAGATAACTACGTCATATAATGATGTAATGATGTCTTATTGCTGTCATCACAGGAGTAAGATGGAATAATATACGCTGCTTTTCAAAAAAATATAAATATGTTTTTTTCATTATATGCAAACGACGATCACGCAGGTTATCTATTTTGGCATTGCATAATCATATAAATGCAAGTACGCCAATTACGTACTATAATTATCTATACTTTTTTAACAGTGAACCGATTTATATGGTACACGCTGTTGTACACTGTACATAAATGTTAAAAAAGAACAGTATTAGTACTTATTATAAATCGAAAGACAGTCTAGTATTCGGAGCTAATACCGAATACTAGACTGTTATCTATACTTTGTGTTTTTTATATGTGATTACCGTGTTTTTGCCATTAATTTGCACTATTAATTAATTTGCCATTAATTTGCACTATTAATTAATTAATGTTTTTGCCATTAATTTGCACTATTGGAAGTTATGCCTAACAACAACTAATCACCACATTACTTAATTTTTAAATAAAACTTTTGAAGAAAATTCCGTAATTTTACGATCGCGTTACAAATAAGAATGACATGCGTTTTAATTTCATATGCTGTATACATTCTAGTGACACTACGTACATAACAGGTTATGAAAGCTCCAAAAAACTGAGCTCTTTTAGACGTTTTAAAATTACCAAATAAAAAAATGTCCAGTGGAGGCAATAATTTAGTTTATGTATTACAATCTGAAAACAATGTAATACTGCTTTCCAAGAAATGTATACTCGTATGTCCATTATGAAGAGAAATGTACAAAAGTTGTTACCTTTATTAACCTAATTCAGATTAATGTTGAGAAGTGCAGCCGGAGTGACTGCCGGACTATTATAATTATTTAAGTATAAATACAATTTACGAAATACAGTTAGGCGGCTTATGACGTCGACGTCGACTCGTACAGAGTATATACCGCCATACCGGTAGTTATGTCCTTATATCGTAAGTACTCCCAACTTTATGCGTTTTTTGAATTGTTTCGTACTAACTTTACATAATTTTACAATAATTTTATTTTATATGTACTCTACATAATTTTATATTTCCTCTATATGTATGAAAGCAGCGCTTCTGGCAGACGGGAAGTAGGGGGAAGGTATTTGAAATTAAACTTTAAAATTGACGAACTTGAAGGCTTGACCAGCTCGGTTGTATGTCGATTTTTTATTGTATTTGTAACGATAAAATTGTACGTAAACATTTCCTGCGATGCACGACATGCCAGTCTTTAGTATTAACTATAACATCACTTGCCTTCTTGTTTTTGTTTTATTTTTTCAGTAAAAAGTATGCATGCTTGAGATAGCTAAACAATGTTTGTTTAATTTTGAAAGGAATTATTTTCGAAATTTAAACAAATGCACTGTTGTTGCACAACTTGCACTTGAGCTAACAGTCAGTCAAACAAAAATTCCAGAAAAATTAAGTAATTAAATCATTAAAATTTTAAATCTCTCATTGGTCTTTTAACTACTTATTTTATTTTAGTTTCGCCACAAAAATGAAATTATTTCTGGAGGATCAAGGGCTTTTGTTAGCAGGTCAGGTAAATATGGATACTGCCGTATGGTAAAACGAAATTAACCGGTAAAATAACGATTTTTCCTGCACTCGTTGCAGGCTTGTAGCATCAAGTACGGCCCCGCCTTTTTCAAAAGGGTCAAAAAAGATTGGCGCTGATACTATTGAGAACGGATTTTTCCGGCGTTGATTGGTTCCCGCGCCTTCTTCTAACGAATCCGATAAGCCGCTAATAATTTTCTCTATCGCCCACTAAAATCGCTAGTGACGCACTGTTGCTGCACAGCAGCAAGCAGAGGCAAACGACCGTATCACGAAACGGGCGCAAGGAAAACGGAGCAAAGCCGTTATACAAGCCAGCTTGACTGCAAGGCAACTTGAGAGCAAGACTGCAGTAGACAAGCAGTTTTTCTATACAGCACGCAGCAGCAAGCAGCAGCAGCCAGCCAGCCACAGCGGTTTAGCCGTGTATTTCTAGCAGCCATTTTGCACACAGCGCGATTAACAGCAGCACGCAGTTGCAGTTGTTGAGTTGATTTCACGTGGAAAATCCATTGCTTTTCTTCGTGCTTTTAATTTTTCGTCTTTTTATTTCAAAAAGGTACCCAGTTGACTGCCGTTTTTATCCTTGAAGTCAGTAGTGATCGGTTTTCCTCACTTAAACCTGAATTTTCTCTCCTACAGAAGCCGCAGTGAAAATGCCGAAAGTCGCAGGCGAGAAGGGAAAGCGCTCCAAAAAGGACGCGAATGCCCCCAAACGCAACCTGTATGCGACTTTTTCCTTCTGGTTTTCATCAAACAATTTATTTTGCGTGATTAATTAATAGCTGTCATGGCTAATGCGGGATTTTTTTCTACAGATCCGCGTATTTCCTGTTCTGTGCCGAGGAACGCGATCGGGTGAAATCACAAAATCCCAACCTTAGCCTCGGAGATACCGCCAAAGAACTGGGACGCCGATGGGCCGCCGCTGACCAGGCCACTAAGCAAAAGTTCGAGAAGTTGGCCGCCAAAGATAAGGAGCGCTATGAACGGGTAAGCACTGACATTTCAGTTCCTCAAGGTCTTGAGCGCGCATTTTTCTTAATGCGCACCGCTGAGCTGGTATTTGCGGGTAAATTTTATTCAAAAATATTCATAGAATTATCTTAAAAATTCTTTGGACCGACCACTTTTGAGAAAATCGCAAAATTTCATAGCGGAAAGTTGTTTCCTCGGTTGCGCTGTAAACGCCATGTTTGCCGTTGCTGTGGTGCAGTGCGGTTAAGGCACGCTGTAGTGCGTGTTATTGCCATGACTGGCATGGCCGACATATTACAGAGTGTACATTTGCATCCGCGTCATATGGCAGATGGAATTTCCGTTTTCATTTGAACACTTAACGAATATTTCATTATTATTTTGTGGACCAATTGTTTCTACAACATCTGTACTTAGCAAAATAGTGAATACCAAAAGTTGAAAGTAAAGAATACAGTTTTTAGTTGAAAACTCGCGTGTATTAAACTTGGCGCATGTGCATAAAATCGCTGTACCAGTACTCTGTTATTACCGGCAAACGAAGAAAGGGAGTTACACTGGTCAATTCAAGTTGCATTATTGGCAGTTGAGAGTAATCAGAACTTCCGCGAGTTTTATTTTGTTTTTTATTTTATTAATACACCTTGTATAATATATTCGTCAGTAGGAACTATTAGTTTTTTGTACTATTTCATAACAGAATATTGTGTTAATAATTTCATCAAAAACTGGCAGTTATAGCCGCCGATAATGTGAGCGTTGCGTATTGTAAGCTGTTGCCAGTAGACGCCAGCCGCTTGACCAATGCGTGTTGTTTGGTACAGGAGAAGGCCGCCTACAAGGGAGGAGCAGGCAAAGCCGGCGCTGCCGCCAAGGGAAAGCCAGCGGCCAAGGGAAAGCCGGGTAAGAAGGCCCAGAAGGAGTCAGACGAGGATGATGACGACGATGAGGATGACGACTAAACTCATTCCCTAAACGGATGCACCACGACGACGCCCATTTGCACCTGCTTGTTCTCGTATATTCTTTTTTTCCTACACTGAAGTCGTGGTCGGCGTTTAATTTTCGTTGTATTTTTTCCTCTCCGCAACAAGTGTCTCAGTGGGTACGGCGCGCAGCAGCAGCATCGAGCGTTTCGGGGGTTTTAAAAAAATCACATTTCTCTCAGACACACGCGACAGGATTGTATTAATGGCGGTGGAGTATCTTGTGTCACTGTTCTTAATTGTTTAATTTGTGGATGGCGGGTGTGCAGCGGCGCCGGCTGCCGCCTGTGCGATTACTTTGATTTTTTTGCCATTTTTGTGTATACATTTGCGCTTTAATCGTATTGCACTTCTGTTGGCCTCTTTGTCCAAGTGTGCTCGTTGTTCAATTTACCACTGATGACAGTCTGATTAAAACGGGATGAAAACCGGAGACCGGCCGCATTATTGGTAATGGTAGACAGTGAACTGCTGTAAATTTAATTACGACTGGAAGATTCATTAATTGACCAGGAGCATTCATTGGATTTATGCTGAGATGCAACCGACTCATAACTGCAGCTTTTACTGTAGTAATCAGTAATTACAAATTTAATAACAAATTCAGATATTCTCGCAAGTCGCGATACAATTTTGACGTTTTGCAGTATTCGCTAAAACAGGTACTATACTCGTAGTAACGCAAAGATTTGCGGCCTCGTAACTTATTGAAAGATTTGTATCAAAAATGATATGGTAGCACTTGTTATTTTCATATTTTTGAATTTTATTCACTTTTATGACAAGGGAGAAGATACAAGAATATCGTAAAGAATAAGATGCAGTGTCAGGAATAAATAATTGCTTTGAACTGATTGCGTAATCATGAACCGAAGCTGTAAACAAACGCGAAGCCCAAGGCGGCTGCCTGAACAAACACAAGGATCGCGTTTCAAGCGCAGTCGCATATTTCGAAGACTCAGTTTCTGGTATTTTTTGTTGTTACAGGTTACTTTAAGTACTTTATTCTGTCTTCTAAATCAGTTACGATATTGTTATTAGTCGTATTTGTTTGGAATCTCTGCATTTAAGACCTCTGAACAGTTATCAGTTATTAGGAGTTGCTGATCGCGAAGACTTGCGAATCCGTCTCACATGGCCAAAAGCGCCGTAAACGCCGAAGAGCTCGGCGTGGAAATTGACATCGGCAATCTCCTCTTATCCGATCCGCGACCACTTGCACCAGTCTCCGAGTGCGTTTGACGGCATATTTATCTGGCACAGCGTTGTACTTGGTCTAACTAGAGTATGATTGCAGTGGAGAATCCACGGACGCCGTCATTGAGCGCGAGATGGCCAAATTGAGCCAGATGCTGGTGGAGCGCATCTGGGGTCTTCCGCTGGAGCGCCTCGAGGACGCCATCGTCGCTGCGGTGAATACTGTCACTCATACATTCTTTTAGGCTGTTAGACATCTAGTAGCATGTTTTCCTTGCAGCTCCCAGCTCCCACCACGATCCTGCCGCGTGAAAAACCTGTAAGTTTGGGCTTGGTAGTTTGTACTGTGGCGTTTGTGAGCGGAAATCCTTGGTAGATTCCCAAAGCGAAAGCTGTGACGAAATGGGAGCGGTATGCCCGGGAGAAGGGCATTAAGAAGACCAAGAAGTCCCGGATGGTGTACGATGAGGCCACGAAGGAATGGAAGCCGCGATGGGGATATAAACGCGCTAAAAATCCCGATGGGGACTGGGTGGTAGAAGTGCCTGATCAAGCAGGTACTTACTACACAGCAGTAAATTTCCTTTCGGTACACCGTTCCCGTAAATCATTTTGCTTCTTATATTCATTCACATCAACAAAAATTATTGTATTATCATTGTATTTCTTTACAAATCATGATATGTTTCAAGTTTAGAGTGAAGTAGTCATTAATTTTGTTAATGGGGTTCTTTGATTCCTTTACTCTGCAGTTAATTATACTACGCGTGGTGCACGTAATATGATTCGTATTTTTCATACATTTAGTTCAAACTTCATACATAATCAAGAATTAAATGTGTTTTTATGTTATGGCATTACAGTTGATTGCGGTTTCAAGTAAAATGCTTCCTGCCTTATTAATATGTATATAATGCTATATGCAGACGCCAGTTATAAAGCATGTGTAGGTGCTTCCGGTGAGTTATAGTTTGCAAGACAGCCGAACCAGGGATATATCAGATGTCCTCGTTTTGGTTAGTAGCGGCGCAGATGTGCTTAGAATATACTGTATGTATTTCGGCGTGTTTTGCTTACTGTATTTGGTTTTTTGTGGCGGTCTGTTATGTTTTGCATAGTCATAACAGACTCATAAGTACATAACTTATAATAATCCACTTGAGATTTGATTTTGTTTCTCCGTCCGGAGCGGATGCGTCATTAAGGTCGACAGTCTTTTTGGTTATTCAGTTGTTGTTAAGCATAGTATTATTTCTAAATGAATGATCGATGAAAATCAAGATAAACTGTAAACCTGGAATGCCTGGCCTTAAAATTGAAAACTCCAAGGATTTGCTGTGATTGTGACTGTGATGTACCGGTACTGGATGTACAGTTACATGTTTATGAATTTTCGTAATGGGTGTTATTTATGTGTTTGCAGATGGTATGAATGATCCTTTCGAGGAGCGCCAGACCGCCAAGAAGGAGCGAGTAGCTAAGAACGAACTGCAGCGTCTCAAAAACATTGCGCGAGCTCACAAAACGAAAAGTATGAGACATTTGCATTGTCTGTTAAAAGTTGTTACTTGCCTTGATTTCTGTTTTTTTTATCGGTTTGAAGTTCCTGCTGGAGGAATACTGCCCGCAACGGAAGGCCGCAGTATTTCGAAGGACGAAATCGGCCATGCGGCATCGTTTGCTCGATCGGCTACCGCCTCTGCTGGTGTCTTCACTGAGACCCTGCGGAAAGAAAAACCTCCGAAAAATACTGGGAAAAAGCGCAAGGTAATTATCCTGGTCTTACTATTGTACAAATAGTATGTGAATGGATTACGTATCGTATCGATGATCGGTTTAACTTTTGGCGATACAGAATTTTCCCTCTTCTCGATTACTTAAGTAAGTACTCAGTTCGTGTTTTTGTTATAAGATCGTAGCCATAGCCATTCCTGCTATGTCGTAACAAAATACGATGTACCTTGTAAAGGGTCGCGTGTTACTGTATAACTGGCAGACTGGTTTCAGAGTATCACTTTAATTAATAGTAGCAGTAATTCAAAGTTAGTATGAACTTTTATGGCATGTAGGTAAAACGAACGTGATAACCAGTAGCGTGTTGTTGCTCAAGTTTGTATATGTGTAACATTATGTGCACTTATTGTTTAGCAGAACTCTTATGTGTTAGATTACAATCTTTACACTTTATAGTAGCACATTAGCACTAATAATTCTGTTAAAGATGTTGTGCTTTTTTAGACAATCTGGGGTGCCTAAAATTCTGTTACGTAAAAAGCAGCAAGTACATAGTTTGTGGTGTTAGCCGGTTGGCTGCCAGCTTTGTTTTTAGCGTGCAGTTGATATACACTTTGCAGTCCGTGAACGTTTTCTTGGTGTTACAGTTTGAAAGCAATTTCGGTGATGGACAAACTGAGAAGAATCGCATGATCGGCATTCTCGATGGGATTAGCAGTAAAAAACCTCGAATGGATGTGGAGACAGCTGTGAAGCGTGTCGAGAGGCGTTCACAGTACGTCTTTGATTTTCCATGTGGATTTCAGAGAATCATTCTTGGTTTCATTGCTTTATCCCAATAGAAAACCGAAGCGAGATTCCAGACCGCACAATGAAGACGAAGGCCGGCCCAGTGGAGGACGGTTCGGAGGGAAGAGTCAGCGCGGAGGGAAGTTCGGCCCGTCGCGAGGTGGATTTTCGCAGTCGCGCGGTGGGCATTCACGATCGCGGGGTGGACATTCAGGTGGAGATCGCCGCCCGAAAGGAAAAGAGTCGGGATTTAACAAGCGCGGGAAAGGCCCGCGGCGATGAGAGTTTTTATGGGATGCATTTTATGTTTTACTAACGGTGCTGTTCTGCAGAGCGTTCGGTTCTGCTGGATTGATAAAGTTAGATTATTTTCGGAATAACAAATTTTTGATTGAGAATATCGACTGGTGGACTGCATTGTAATTGAACGTACAATGTGCGAATAAAATGCCTTTGCTGGTTTGGGAGAATGTTTGGGTAGATGGTTGTTACTTATTTTTGAGTGCGTGTCTAACAAAGCGAGCCGAAATCAAAATTTCAAAAGCGTGCGGTATGAACTCGAATAATCGATATATTTGTTATCTATCTTTTACGATTCGTTGGTCAAGCAAGCTTTGACACTTAGTAGTACAAGTGTGCAATTATCTAAAGTGATACTGTTTCTCTGGTGAGCGTGAGCTACTTTAATAATTTTTTATTTCGAGCTCTACGCGTATTTCTACAAGTGCTGGTGTGATTTCTTGCTGATACCGTAAACCATCTTCGATTCACAACCCCATGTTACTGGAAAACAAAGCTAACGAATTTAAGCAAGTGAATACTTATACAAGCAGATCATTTGTAATAACTGACTACAGTAAGTATTTCTTTATTAAGCAGTTAAAAAAAAGAAACCAAAGATAGTATGATGAGCGATTAAAGTAAACATTCCACAACCAGTACAGTAGCATTTTTCTTTAAAACGATAATGAAATTATACCATGATCCTCCATAAACGCCAGCGATCATCTCACAGCTCACGACTTTTGCGTCGGCCAGCTCACTTTCCCTCCATTGCGCGTGTTCACCGCGAAACCACGGATTCCGATCAACGCCCGCTTTGCGCCGGGCTATGGGGATTCGTCTCCAAATCCGATTCGTCATCGCTGTAATGCCGCCGCTTGCCGCGGCCACCTTGCGATCGGGCTGCACTCACACCGCTCCCCTGGGCGGTTTTTTTATGCAACGGTTTAGCCGCGCTGTCGACCGTCTCTCGCGCCATGGGACGGTGTGGTTTCGCTGGTTTAACCGCTTTCCGGGGGCTGGCACGGTGATGACCCATCTTCGATTCATCCGACATGGAATCCCGTCGCAGCTGCCCCGGACCTCGGGAGTAATCCGTCCGACGATCGGCCATCATCAGACGAGCGGCCAAGCGGCTCAGCACGGCTTCTTTCTGCTGGGAACGGACCTTCTGACCGTGATTGTGTTCGTCGTCATCATCGTCGTCCTCACTGGGCGCTTCCGACGTATCTTCGGCCGGCGGGCGGCTCCGCATCCACTTCCACGTCGCTAGACTCGTCATCGTCCGTCTGCTTTGAGGACTCGCTGTTGTTATTATCTTTGGCGGATTTCTCTTCGTCGGAATCCGATAAGATGGACGAGTCAGCGAAGGTGCTAGGGTTGGGTGAGGCGCGACGCCTTGCAGCTGCAGTCTCAGCCTTCTTACGACCTTCGAATTCGGTGCGCCATTTCTTCTTCATGCGTTCAAGGTATTCTGATCCCCGAACAATCGATATCGACGGATCACTAAACAGCAAAACACCATTCATGCAAATGGTGCGAAAACCGTTACATTACTTAAACATAATAAGTTATTTGACCATAATTTTAACCCTGTTGAATACACAAATCAGTGATTTTGATACAAGTAAAGCAAGCGTACAATGCGGCACACACATACGTACTTGGTAATATCGGTACAAATGTCAGCAATGATGTTGGCGTGCATAGAAATCTGCAGTGCATTTCCATAGTACTTTTCGCAGTTGCTGGCGATCTGTTCGAAGTCGAATATCAGGGCTGCTTTATGTCTGCAAGATCGACTGAGTTCAATATAATTATGTAATTTACCAAGCAAGAGAAACTATTTTTAAATTAGCAATTACCTATAAAACTGCTGCGACAAGCGTTGCCGGATAGTATTCAAATCTGCAGGATACGCTATCGCCATCATGTAATCCGGATAGCGCTCCAGGTCAATCGGGGCGATGAACGATTCCGGTCCTGCAGCACGGACACGGTGTGCAGTTGTTCCAGAATGCTGTTCATTTCCGTGGCAGGATCGCAGTTATTCCAGTCAGCCGGTGTTGGTTGGTAGGCCATGCTACGCAGTTCGGCGGCGGTCACAATGGTACCGTCTTCTAGTGATCTGTCTTCTTCTGCAGAAAGAACGAAAGATAGGTATCCATAACGAAGATTCCTTGAATTTACCGTAATCTACTGCACCCCACAAAACGTTATGTACACGGTAGAATTCTTTAAAGCGTTGTGCATTAATTTAATGCCCCCTCCTACATTTCTTTCACTGCGTGACAGATGCAGTATCCCATCGCGCACGGACCCACCTGACGTAATTAAATAGAGCTCCCATGGACTAATCGGTTCAGCATCTTCTGATCCGTCCCACCTGAAGACCGGTAAGTCAATCCTAACGACTGATACACAAAGCGCAATCCGCCATTTCTAGCCGTACCTGACTTTAAGCATGTGGTACATGCCGGGTGCCTCGGGCATCACGGAGTCAATGGTGCCTTTGTACCAACGAAGTTCGCCTTTGTCCCAAAACAGACTTCTCACGCGGTCTCCTTCTTGCCACATTTCAGTCTGACACCGCAGCACATGGTGCTCCGGCACAAGAAAATCTTCGATATCAGGCATTTCGTGAAAGCTATTAAAATACTAACATTCAAAACAGAAACAATTTGTCTGCGACTGTGCGCTAAACTGACAAGAACGCAGACAGTAGTCATAGTACCGTAAACTGGCGTAAAATATCCGATTTTGTACCTGATCTTGAACGTCCTCCCATTCGGTGGAGTGAGTCTGCGTTTCACTTTAATCTCGGCTAGGTGGTGGATCGTGGGAGCGCCCTGTGCCGGCAGCTTGACAATGACGTTGACAAACTTTAGAGCAACAATTTCCAGCTTTTCCACTTCCTAAAAAATGGACAGCACTCATAAAATATTAAAAAACTTTTTCCCACCACTTTCCTTTTGGGCGGAGTAAAAGATACAATAAAAGCAACCCAGGATTATTAATAAAAAAAGTCAGCAACAGAATAAGTATTAAAACAGAGAACTTGAAATGTTAAAAATTACGCCAAACAGAGCTAAGCCTAACACATGTAACGCCCCAGTCCAGTCAGTATAACTACTGTACACGTAAGCAACGGTAAGTTCATGACACAGTGCATCAATCAATAAGTAAATTTAGGCGTGTTGATTTCACACTACCACTAAGGATTTTAAGGGAATTACGTAAGTAATCATACACAATGGTAAGGTTTAAAATCAGAACGAACAATCTGCAAAAACAGGACCACTCTGTTGCACAGGAACAAAATTGCTGTACCATAAAATTCCAGTGCGGTTTAGGCATTCCTTTGAATAATTTGGATGAAACGCCGTCGTCCGCTAACTGATTAACATACTTCTCATGTGCCTCCTGATAATAGTACACCACATCCCCGATCTGCGGAAAGTACGGGAACGGTTTGGGTACGGTCTCCGTCAGCCACTTGGGAAAGGAATTATCCACCGGCAGCTGCATTGACGTCTTCATGGGCTTTCGCACCGCTTCGGATCCAGACTTGCTTCGATTAGGCTGCGACGCTATCACGCTCTTTTTCGATGGGTGTTTCTTCTTCCTCTGCATCGCCGTGTTCTCGTGTAAAGACATTCCTTGGTCCACCGTGCGCGTACCATAATATCTCCGTAGCAGCTGCACGACGTTGCAGTTTAACGCAGAGATCTTAACCCGTCCATTTCTTTCGAAATCCTGAACGAACGAATCGGGAACTCCCAGTTCCTGGAGAAGGATCCAGATATCCCGATAAACCCGGTTACTCGGATCCGTGGATGTTGACATTTTTACGTTTCACAGTAGATTCCGTTGTGGAAAGAGATTAGTATTCACTATTCAGTTTACACAGTACTGCATGTGCTATGAAAACTGCACAACGACAGTTTACAATTATTAAACAAGAAAGAGCCTGAAATCTTGGAATGTGTAAATAGCGGATCGGAATACAAACGAAATGCCCAGAACGGCCAGAAGTGCCAGAATCTGATGATAACGATCTGGTGATTTTTCAGTTTTCTTGATCGGCTTGTCAGCTGTCAGCGGGTACAGTACAAGCCTATACTCGTATAGAATCTACAGTACCTACAGTACGTACTGCACGTACAGAGCGGTTTACCGGCTATAGCTAGCGAATAGCGATGTGGCCTGTCAGCTCACCCGTATTCTGACCATGAGTCAGATACACGGTGGACACTGGATTCTAATAATTAGGACTGTCAAATATCAGCAGCCCGCGTGTATCAGCGGCACGACTGCTGCGCACGTATCGGTTACTCATTTTTCCGCTATGACTAAGAGAAAAAAAGTGAAACGTGTTCCCATCACTGATAACGGATACACTCGTAGAAATAAACACCAAATCTGACAGCACCGTGAATTCTGCAATAAATCTGCCTTCAATGCCATTCCCTACCATGGATAACGCAACACAACAAGCGCAAACTTGTTAAGAAAAATAATCCCACATAGCTTAATGACATGTAATTAATTTTTTTCATGTGTAATAAATTTGCTAATTAGGTGCTAAAAAAACCCAGGTGCGAAATTACTAATTCGGGGCAGATTCGCTAATTAATTAGCTGCTAATTGTGCTAATTAGGCGTGAATGACTCTAGTTAGTTCATCAAATTTTCGCTCAGTTACTAATTATAAGGTTAATTAATTAAACCTTATTATCTTAAAACTTAATGACGAACTACAGTAAGTACAGCGTAATTACATGCAGTTTAATGCAGCCTGGATCACTACGAACGTTTATTAGCAGCGCAAGATAATTTTAAAGAGTTGACAAGCGGTCATGAATGTGAGCGCGAATTATAAAACCAAGCTCAACAGCTCGGTTTTCTAATTCAGCAACTGATTCTCCATCTGACCAATGCGCGCGGCGTTATCAGTGAATCTGTCTGACTCACAAATCAGTGCGTGAGTTGTTGCGCACTCGAGAGTTTTGACCTAGATACAATTCGCATCAGAGTCCCAATACGTAGCATATTTGACAGCAACTAATGATTAACTTTAATACTCGTATTAAAGACGACAAGTAAATAAGTTATAAGTAAATTATAAAAAAGGAATAATTCATCATCAAATAAATAACTAAATCATTTATTACAGTAATCATAACTTCATAAGCGTAGACTGCGTAGTATAGTACTGTACTCGCATAATGTATAAGTGCTGCTGTTACGATGGCGCACGCACCCATGACCTTTACAACCACAATGTAATTATTATTATATTATATAATTATATAGTATCTATTTCTGTACTATATAGTATATACATAATGGCATTATGGCATAGGTGAGTGACACAGTAAAGTTCACTGAAGTAAGCAAGTGGATGATTTGGCTACGCAAACGATGAGTCTTTCTTACTGTAGCCGCGCGATGACATTGCACCACTTTCAGATCCGGGCGCTGCCTGCCCCCGATCGGACAGCGCACACGTTACGTAGAATGTGCTGCAGCGTGTATGACGATTTCCGTATACCAGACTCTGTGGTGCAAACTTATCGCGCGGCTACAGTATACTTTCATTGAATCTACAAAACAGACAATCTTCTTGTTGCATATGAGAAAAAGCAGATCAAACCAAGTTCTTATAAAGCCAAACGGCACAATCAGCCGAACGGCCTGAAAAACAGGCCCAAGGCTCACTTATAACATCCGACGACAATATCTCTATCATTACGAAAGAACAGACAACAACCTGCAGACAATTTAATGAATGAATGAACAATTCAAACATTCCAGAAAACCCTCATCCCTGCAGCAATTTTCTCCATAAATACCCTTAAAACTGATTATATTAACAAATGCCATCAAAATTACACTGGCACATATCAGCACAGCTCTCACGACATGTAAATTTGCGGCCGTTTCACTTTGCGTCCACTAAGCGTCTCCGTCCACACCACGGGCGCCAAAAAGCTCCCGATCTGCACCGGGTTTCTGAGATTCTCCTCCAGATCAGATTCCGCATAGCTTAAATGCATAGTGGACGCTGAGCGCTTTCCCAGTCGCTGCAACACCGGCTTCTCCACCGTCTTCCGCTTACCGCCGCCGCAAATCGACTGCTTCCAACCTACGCCGCATTCCTTCGCCGAATGACTGCACAACGGTTTATCCACGCTGCCGCCGCTCTTCGGTCGCGCCGATTCGGTCGCACACCTGCGGCTGACGCGGTGATGGGCAGTCTCCGATACATCCGACGCGGTTTCAATTCGCAGGTGTCGCAGACACGACTGAAAAGCATTGTCGCTAAAACGCCGCGGGACGGCTTTCCTCCGCTGGGGACGGACTTTCCGGCCGCGATTGCATTCGCCGTCATCTTCATCATCCTCACCGGGCGCTTCCGACATCTCCTCGCTCGGCGGCTCCGTGTCCATTTCATCTTCGCTGGACTCGTCATCGCCCGGCTGCAGTGAGAAATCTTTGTCGTTATCATCATCAGCGGATTTCTCTTCGTCGGAATCCGATAGGATGGACGAATCCATCAAGGAGTTAACGCTGGCTACGCCGCGACAGTCTGCAGTCTTATGGGCTGCGAACGCGGTGCGCCATTTCATCCTTATGCGTTCAATGTACGCAGATCCCAGAACGAGCAGCGCCGATTGATTACTAAACACAATTCACGCAAATGGTACTCGAGCAACTAGTACTTCTCGTAAGACAAGCGCTACGTTTAAATTCTCTTAAAATTAACTAACCTGGTTAAACAACAGTAAAGAAACCTGATGACCTCTTGACGACGATGACGTTTTAATCGTTTATTTTTTAACGATTTTCTACAATACTGCACACGCCTACTTGACAATATCGGTACAAACATCCACAATAATGTTGGCCTGCATGGTAACTGGTGCGTTCCCATTGTACTTCTCGCAGTTGATGGCAATCTGCCGAAAGTCAAAAATAAGGGCGGCTTTATGTCTGCAAAGATTTCTGAAGTTAACGATAATTTACCGCGCCAACGAAACCATAACAAGAATTACCGATAGAACTGCAGCGACAAGCGTTGCCTGATCGTCTTGAGATCTACAGGATACGCGATCTTCTTCACGTAATCCGGATAATGCACCAGGTTAACCGGGGCGGCAAACGGTTGCGCTTCCGGCAGCGATGACACGGTGTGCAGCAGTCCCAGAATGCGCCTCGTTTCCCGAGCGGGATCGCGATTGTTCCAGTCGGTCGGTGTTGGTTGGTAGGCCATGCTGCGCAGTTCAGCGGCGGTAACAACGCAACCGTCCGCTACTGATTCGTCTTCTTCTGCGGAAAGCAAAACTGAACGAAAGGCAACCTTAATCTATGTACATTAATAGACTTTTAGCACTAAATTCTGTTTTTGCTATCCAGGCTCATTCCACAAAATTTAACTTTTACACTTGTCAAACGCAAGACAAATTAATTTATTGCAATATTCAATCGTGCACAGACCCACCTGGCGTAATTAAATGAAGATACCATGGACTAATCGGTTCGATAGATTTCGATACATCGCACCTGGAAAGCCAATAAATCATTTCCGATCATTGGCACTCAAAGCGCAATCCGGCATTTGCGGTCGTATGTACCTGACGTTGAGCATGTGGTACATGCCGGGCGCATCGGGCGTCACAGAGTCAATGGTGCCCTTGAATCCATAGAGTTTGTTATTCCCCAAAATAAGACACCTCACGCGGGCTCCTTCTTGCCACACTGTATTCTGGCTCCGCAGCACACGGTGCTCCAGCACCAGAAAATCTTCCATTCCGTCAAAACTTCCGCAAAAACTGTGCAATAAATAAAAACGCAGAATATCGCTTTTCCGTATAAAGAAAGCACAGTCCGACAACTGCAGCCGTACGTACACGTTGAGCATGTGGTACATGCCGAGGCGAAAAAACTAGTAAAAGCGTGTGCGATTCTGTACCTGATCGTGAACGTACTTCCATTCGGTGGCGTGCCTTTGCGTTTCATCTCAATTTCAGCTAAATGGTGGATCATGGGAACGCCGCCCTGTGTCGAGAGCCCCACACTGACGTTGACGAACTTTAAAGCAACAATTTCCAGCTCTTCCACTTCCTGTAAAATCAAAACATAATATAGAAGCGTCCGTTAGTTCTCAAAGAAACTGTTGACACTTTTCTTTGCGTTTCGCACGCATTACGGTTTTACAGTAAAAGCAATCCTGCCATTCATAAATAAACAGCAACAGGGTGAAAAAGTGAAATGCTAAAACATTTTCGCCCAAGTGCCAAAGTGAAAATTACCGGCTCCGGTCAATACAAAAAGTAAAAGGTGCAGTAATACTTGCAGCAAATCATTAAAAATAATTATATAAGCAAGTCTATTTGATATTAAAGAACTTAAGCGAGATTCTAGTTACATTTACGAGTTGCAAATAATTACACAGTAAGGTTAAAATCATACCGAATAATATCATGTAAAAAAGACCAACCAGTACGCAGGAAAATATAGCATTAATGTACCGATACCTTTAAATTCCAGCTCGCATTCGGCATTCCCTTAAATAATTTAGACGAAATGCCGAGGCCGATCAACCGTCTCACATACTTCTTGTGTCCCTCCTGATAATAGTACACCACATCACCAATCTGCGGAAAGTACGGGAACGGTTTCGGTACGGTCTCCGTCAGCCACTTGGGAAAGGATTTATCCACCGGCGGTTGCAACGGTGTCTTCCCGCGCTTCTGCACCACCGGGACTTCCGACTTGCTCCGATTCGGCTGTGAGAAGATCACAGCCTTTCTCACAGACTTTTCCTTCTGCTGCATCCCCGTGATTTCGGGTGAAGACATTGCCTGGTCCACGATGAATCGCAATGCACGGTCGGATGGCAACTGGACGTCGGGGTCGACGGTTTGCGTTACCGCATTGGACACCGCCCGCGTGGGCGGTTCCTTGCGCTCCTCGCCGTACTTTTCCGTGCTATCAGCGTTCACCGGGACGGACCGGTTCACGGACACCGCAACGCTACCGTCATGTCCAGCGTTGGCCTGATCAACAATGGCTAGCTGATCAGCTGCGCTGTGAGTAGGTAGTGTCCGCAGCAACCGCTTGGCCACCAGCATCCACAGAGCGCGTGCCGTACAATCGGCGTAACATCTGTGCGATGTTGCCGTTTAACGCAGAGATCTTATTCCGCCCGTCTCTTTCAAAATTCTGAACGAACAAATCGGGAGCTCCCAGTTCCTGGAGAAGGATCCAGATGTCCCGATAAATCCCGTTACTCGGATCCGTGGACATTCTTAATTTTAGCGGTAGATTCAATTACCAGTACAAGTAAACGATTATAATTAAGTAGTTTATAGTTAAGTACAGTAGTAAAACTGCACAACAAAAGTGTATATTTAAACAAAAAAGAGCCTGAAACGGTGAAACCTCGGTAAGTAATGCAAAAATGGCAGGAAACTAGCAGATCGGAATAAAAACGAGATGCCCAGGCCCCAGATATCGATCTGGTTGATTCGATCAGGCGTAAGAATTGTAGATTCTACAGGTGGATAGAAACAGAATCTACCTGCACTGGTCCTGCAGGCTGCAGCACGTACACGTTTTTACTATACAGTACGTACTGTACATGCAGTGTACCATAGCTGGCGATGTTGAAATTTGGAAGCACAAGGGTTTAGTCTTTAGCGAAGACACTTTCCGCCATGATGGCATTATATGAGCGAATCCGGAGCTCCCAGTTCCTGGAGAAGGATCCAGATGTCCCGGTAAATCCCGCTACTCGGATCCGATGAGTTTATATAAGTTTATGCTAGCTAGATAATTTCAGTCGTCAAAAAAATTTACTATCTTTTGCGTTTTGTTTGTCAAGTACAAGCACTGAGATGTGTCTGCACTTTCTACAGCAAATTGTTGAAACTGTAATAATAGTTTTACCGCAATACTGACATGTTTGTAAAACACTGAAACTTATATTCATAATTTTTATTTCGAGCTCTACGCGTTTTACCCTTGACAATAAATATGGATACCGTAAACCAAGTTGGTCATATTTATTGACTTTGTTCATATTTATATTCATATCTATAATACTGGAGTCGAGCGGTCGAACGTGAAAGGTAAGAATCAACGATCTGCTGTTAGAGGGTGGCGCTGAAATTTGCAAAGCGCACCCATGACCTTTGCAGTTACTGAACAACACAAATGAGCGAGTGGATTTGGCTTCGTAGGCGATGGGTTTCATAACTTTTGTTGAATCTACAAAACTGACATAGTCTTCCTTTCCTCATTTGAGAAAAAGGAGATCAAACAAGTTTTTACACTCACAGTCAGTAAAATGGCGTGAAAAACAGACCCAACGAATGTTAGCAACTGAGCAACTCGACTTGTAAAAAGCGACTACAGTATCTACTGTTAAGAAACACAAAAAAAACAACACGAACGCACTACAATGCACGTTTTAGACGTTATAATTACATACTTTGTACAACATTCATCTCGGCAGCAATTTTTCCATAAATGCCATCAAATTATACATAGCATCACAGCGCTCACGACTTGTACACTTCCGGCCGCTTCACTTTGCGTCCACTAAGCGTTTCCGTCCACACCATGGACCCCACACGGCGTCCGCTCTGTTCCGGGCTACTGTGATCCGTCTCCAGATCCGATTCCGCATAGCTGAAATGCAGAGTGGACGTTGAGCGCTTTCGCAGCCGCTGCATCGTCGGCTCCTCCACTGTCTTCCGCTTGCCGTCTCTGCGTATACCACCTGCGTTCTCCCGCGTTGTACGATTGCACAAGGGTTTAGCCGCATCGCCGCTCTTTCGACGCGCGGATTTATCCGCTTTCCGGCGGCTGTCACTAGGGTGCTCAATCTCCGACTCATCCGATGTGGAATCCCGTCGCCTTCCCGGACGCGGCTGAAAAGCGCTGCCGTTCCAACGCTCCGGCACGGCTGTCTTCCGCTGGGGACGGGCTTTCCGACCGTGATTGTATCCGCCGTTATCGTCCTCACTGGATGCTTCCGACATCTCTCCGGTCGGCGGCTCTGTGTCCGTTTCCTCGTCGCTAGACTCGCCATCGCCCGGCTGCAGTGAGAAATCGCTGTCCTTATCGTCATCAGCGGATTTTTCTTCGTCCGAATCCGATACGGATGAATCAGCAAACGTGTTAACGTTCGTTTTGGCGCGACAGCCTGCTGGCTCCGATTTCTTACGGGCTTCGAATTCGGTACGCCATTCCATTCTTATGCGTTCGATGTACGCAGATCCCAGAAGGAGTAACGACGACGGATTACTAAACACAATTCACGCAAATAGCGAGAACTCATCAGAAAAGAGTCACGTCGAAATCAAAATTTTAAAAAAGTAGATAACCCGATTAAAAAACCATTAATTTTGTTAAGACAAGGCCCACACCTACTTGACAATATCAGTACAGATGGCAACAATGATGTTGGCGTGCATGGAAATCGGCGCATTGAGATAGAATTTTTCGCAGTTACTGGCGATCTGTTTGATGTCGAATAACAGGGCGGCTTTATGTCTACAAAAAAAGACTGACCCGTGTTAATCTAAGACATAATTTAACAAGCAAGAGAAACCAACAGCTGCTATTACCGATAGAACTGCTGCGACAAGCGCTGCTTAATCGTCTTTAGATCAACAGGATACGCGATCTTCTTCACGTAATCCGGATAACGCTCCAGGCCAACCGGGGCGGCGAACTGTTCCGCTTCCTTCAGCGATAACACGCTGTGCAGCAATCTCAGAATGCGCCGCCTTTCGGTAGCGGGATCTTGGTTGTTCCAGTCAGCCGGTGTTGGCTTGTAAGCCTGCATGCTGTGCAGTTCAGCGGCGGTAGCGACATCACCGTCCTCTACTGATTCGTCCTCCTCTGCCGGAACATAATTGTAATCAGAACATTTCACAGTAATTTCTGTTTACCGGGACTATACCGGTGGCACGAGCATAAAATTCTCTGTGTTTTATAAATGCTGGGCATTACACGATACACGAGACAAACTGAACTCCTCTGCTACACTTTTCTAGAAGCATGACAAATGCCATATCCATTCGTACACACGGATCTACCTGGCGTAATTAAACGGAGATTCCATGGACTAATTTTTTCGACATATACCGATACATCGCACCTGGAAAATTGATGAATCAAATATGTCACAAAATTAAATCATGTCATAAATCAAATCATTTCGAACGATCGGACCACTGAAAGCAAAAAGCCCAATCCGTCATTTCTAGCCGTACCTGACTTTAAGCATGTGGTACATGCCGGGAGCATCGGGCATCACCGAATCAATGGTGCCCTTGAACCAGCACAGCTCGCATGTGTCCAAAAGCAGATTTTTCACACGGGCTCCTTCGTGCCACCTTTTATTTTGATTCCGCAGCACACGGTGTTCGAGCACGAGAAAATCTTCGATATGCGGCACTGAGTGAAAACTGTGCAATACAAGCACAGATAATTAGAGCTTTAACTTTCCATAATAATTCAAGAGGAAAGCATTCGTCTGATATATAAGTGCAGCGAAAATGCAATACTGTTATTGCTGTACTCAGTACGTGGGATTTTATACTCACCTGATCTTGAAGGTTTTTCCATTCGGCGCAGTACCTTTGCGTTTCATCTCAATTTCGGCTATGTGGTGGATCGTGGGAACGCTCTGTGCCGGCAGCTTCACACTAATGTTGACGAATTTTAGGGCAACAATCTGCAACACTTCCACTTCCTAAAAAAAGACGACTTGCAAAAAAAATTCTGAAAACTCTCGTTTGGGGCATAATAAAGATCTGAATGAAAGCAATCCAAACATTATCTAGTAATAAAAACAACATCATCAGCAAACAACAATTACTACCCAACGCATATACATCCGTTTTTCACGAAAAAAAGCGCCACAGTGCATCAGAAAAATAAAAGTCCATAAACAAATTTAAGAGAGCCATTTTACTGACATCAGCGATTCATAGGTAATTATTCTTAGAATAACAATAAGAATAAGATTTACTGTACTTGTACGGTTATCCGTTATACAGTACCTTAAGATTCCAGTGCGCTTTAGGCATTCCCTTAAATGATTTGGATGAAACGCCCTGTTTTATCAACCGTCTCACATACTTCTGGTGTCCTTTCTGATAATAGTACACCACATCCCCAATCTGCGGAAAATATGGAAACGGTTTGGGTACGGTCTCCGTCAGCCACTTGGGAAAGGATGCCTGCACGGGCAGCTGCAACGGCGTCTTCCCGCGCTTTTGCACAGCTTTGATGTCCGGTTTGCTCCGACCAGACGTTGGCGATATCGCCCTCGTTTCCACTGGATTTCCTTTCTGCAGCATCACCTCATACGTGTCCTCGGGTAAAGACATTGCCTGGTCCACGACGAAGCGCACTTCGCGCTCAGATGTCGACGGGGCGTCAGCGTCGACGGTTTGCGTTACCGCATCGGATACCGCTCGCGTGGGCTGTTCCTTGCCCTCCGCGTCGTCCTTCTCCTTGCGATTACCGCTGACCGAAACAGAGTGGTTGACTTCCACCGTAACGCTACCGTCCTGTGACTCCTGTCCAGCGTTGGTTCCTGCCATTGCCTGTCCAACAATAGGTGGCTGATTAGGTGCGCTAAGCGTTGGTAGTGCTTGTGCAACAAGTCCGCCGCCATCCGCAATCTCCGGATCTTCCGTAACGATCGCCTGGACACCAGCATCCACCGTGCGCATGCCGTACACTCGGCGCAACGTCTGCACGACATTGCAGTTTAACGCAGAGACCTTATTTCGTCCATCTCTTTCAAAATCCTGCACGAACGGATCGGGGACTCCCAGTTCCTGGAGAAGGATCCAGATGTCCCGATAAACCCGGTTATTCGGATCCGTTGACGTGCACATTCTAAATTTTAGCTATAAATTCAATTACAAAAACATAATTCGGCTTACGTACACGGTAGTAAAAATTTCGCAATGACAGTTTACAGTTAAACAAAGAAGAGTATGAAATTTCGCAGTGGGCAAAATAGCAAATCGGAATAAAAACGAGATGCCCACGCCCAGAAACGTGCCAGATAACGATCTGCCACTGATTTTCAATGCCAGTTTTCTTGCTCAGCTTGTCGCAGTAAGTACTCTGTAAGTGCAGGTGTAAGTAAAGCGCAGGTTCTACAGATTTACCCGCAGTACTCGTATACGTACACACTGTACGTACCAGCTACCGGCTAGCGATGTGGTCGGCTGACCATAATAAAATAATAATACCTATATAGTTATCATAAAAATATGTAAGAGGCGGATTCTCATAATTTAATACAGTATTGAAGAAGACTTCTTTAAGTAGTCAATTGAATAAATAAATCATTTACTGTATTACAATAATCATAGCTTTATAGGGACAGAAAAGTCTGTAATTATATAGATATAATTCCTTTATTTAACACCATATGTGTAGGTGTATAGAACAAAGCCGTGCAAAATTAATTTTGATTTGCAATTATTACGTCAACTCGTACCGTACACTGGCTACAATGGTGTTTTTATTAGCGCAAGCCAGGCTACAATTATTTACTTGTATTCGGTTGAAATACCGGTATAACTTGGATTTCGCGATTAGCTTTGATTGTGATGCTAACTCCTTGCATCTACTTGTTTTCCCATCAGTCTCCTTTTTTCATATTTAGATCCGTCTCAATGTTTATGTTGCAGTATTAAAGTTGCTAGTAACTTGCTACCTTGCGGCGCCATGATGCTGTTATTCGAAACGGGAGTGTGCAGTACGTACAGTGCAGTACTTTAACTAAAATTTATATTGCAGTTTACAGTTGGTATAGTACGATACCGCGTTAACACTGTATTTAACAGTTTGCCGTAGCTGATAAAGATCAAGATGCAAAAAATCGAGACTGTACCGGCGTATGAACTCTACTTGGTGTACTTGTATCCAGAGATCTGATTGTGAGAGATGCACTGCGCCGCCTTCGTGTGGCAGATGTTGGCGTTCGCTCGCGATCATCGACTCTTTTTATGCTCGTATCCTTTACACAGTAATTTTATACTCTTGTACATTTGTAAGTGTCCTCAAAGTCAAACGTTAGCCTATATTCGCTTACCATTTTGCATCCTGTTTTTTCTCTGGATTGTAAATTTGTGTCCTATGCGGTTTCATCTGTTTTGTTTTCCGGATCCCAACGATGCAGTCATGTTATTATCCGCGACTATAAGGCCGTGAGGGTTATTTTTTTCTTAACTGTGTGGACTCTGCGTACGCGGCTGCATCAGTAAAATCTGTGCATGTTTATTCACGTTTGAGTATGCGATTAATGATGGCGGCCATTTCCCTCCGGAAGTCTCTCCGCTTCTCCCGGATGCTGCGGATCCTTTCTTTGGCCCAGATCAGCCTCGGCTTGCTCCTGTTGGTTGTGGAGATCGTCGGTAAACTCCATACACACTTATACAGATTGTGCAGTGTTCGTTGATCTGTCTGGTTCTTGTCATTCTAATTTTAGCAGAAGCGGCTTTGCGCCAGTATATCAGTTATTTGCGCTTCTGTACATTGATCTTGCGGAACAAACTAGGCTGTTAGAGAAACATTCATATTTACTGTTTACGTAACTATGTTTAGCTGCACCAATCTGTCATATCTCCAATATTCACTAAGCCGATTTCAACAAAAAAAACTGACCGTCTTGTCATCATAGGCTAAAGAATTGACATACATTGTAAAAAACTTACATAAAGCGCGATTAAGATATGACGTTTTGGTTTCTTGCAAAAATATAATAAAGAAAAGTAAAAACAAATAAATCGATAAAAAGGTTGAAGAAAGATAAATTATATCGTTGCATAATTATTGAATTACTATTGCTTTGTACTTCTGACACAATTTATAATGTTATGTCTTAATTAAATTCTGTTATGTATAATAGTATGTCTTGATAATTCTGTTATTTATAACTATTCTGTTATTTATCATTTTCATAATGTTTAAAATTCTAACTAAAATTGTTTCAAATTATAGCGTTGTGTATTAATGTTGTACACTACACTTTCGTGTAGGTATCGTCGTGATTATGTTGGCGGCGGAAGACCTAGCCGAATGGCACATGCTGACCATTCTCCTCTTCTGCGGTATCCTCATCGCCTCCGGGGGGCTGGGTATCCGCATGACCACCCCCGTGGCGCCCAGTGCCGCCTTCACCACGGAGAAATCCCTCCGCGTGCAGTCGCGCTGCATGGTGGCCTTCCTCGTGCTCAACATCATCGCCGTCATCCTCTCCACGGCGGCCATCGTGGCCAACGCACTGCACCTGGCCGCGTCCAACCAAGACTATTTCCTACTGCAGCTGAACCACATCGATCCGCGGCGTGCCGCCATCCATGTCAGCGGACTGGTGTGCTACGCCATCTTTTTCCTCCTCTGCTTGACCGCCGCGGTCCTCATCAGTCCCAGTGTGTGCTGTGCGGAAGCGCCGTCATTGGCGCTGCAACTGGGCGATCGAGATCCTCTGGAAGCGACGTCGAAATTTTCCACGCTGGATGAGAAGTTTGTCCGGGAGAAACGCTCCAAAAGCAATCTGAAGGTGGTGGATCATATTCGCAGTAATAATCTGGCGGTGGCCGCCAGCGGATCGGCGATGGATGAGGGCCGGGGGAGTACGGTGAATTCGCAGAGTACGATGGTCAGTGATCAATCGTCGGTCAGTTTGACCGGGTATGTCCGCCGCACGCCGTCAGCGCCCAGCTTGGATTCCGATTCCACGCCCAGTCAGTCCATTCTCAAAGAGCTGGATGCCATTCTGCGACAGCATGATGTCGATGCCGGTGGTGAAATAATATGTGATGAGGAGAAATGAACGTTTTTTCGAAATTTCATGTACCGACGGGTTCGGGTCTTATAGTACGTTTATCAAAGCTTTTTATATGTAGCCGTTATAAATATGATTTTGCATAACTTTTTGGAGGATTTTTATTTATTATCTACTATTGCCGCTGATTGCGGATAATTTATTTACTTCATTATATTTTGATGTTTTTTTGATATGCAGTGTAATGGTGTCGATTTAATGTCAATGTTATGAAAACTGCTGCCTAATGCGTACCAAGTGAGCTTAACAATTTGCGTATGGATAGTGGATACCCCGTTGTTTGCGTTTTATTTGGCATAATAATTAAGTATTAAAGCGACCTAATAATATTGCATTGATTCCCATTGACGGTTTTGACTTTTCTCATGGTCAGCTGAAATTCCCAACTATCGCTGCTAGTTGGCAGTATTGTACTTACTTATCGTTGTGCTGGTACATGAGGTTTTAAAAAGGCTGCGTTTTATGCGCTCCCCTTCTACTTTGCACTAAAATCTTGTATGTACCTCTTAGGAATGCACCTCTATGTTGTTAACTTGTAATAATTCGTTATGCATACCGGAAGAAAAACTGTAAATACAAAAATATCGGAGAGATATTTTTGTATTTACAAAACAAAAATACCACTTACTTATATAAAAACTGTCTTTCAGACAGTAAAATAATTTATAATGCATCCATAGAAGTATATAGGGCATTAATATGATCACGATCCAATGTCACTTTAGAAGGTTAAAGGTCACGTTACCAGTAAGTATAATTATGACAGCAGTAAAATAGTTTATCTGCAATATGCAAATTAATAGAAATTACAACTTGAGTATCTATGTTGAAAGGCCATCAATGTCAACATTTTATCGTTTCGATGCTTCTATTGTGACATATGCGCAACAGATTCTATAAAAACAATTTACTGTTGTATACCGTATTTGAATGCCATCTTTGGATTACATCTAACAATGCTTAAAATACTATTTCTGTCAGTTTACGTACCATTTTTAAATATCGTTTCTATCCTTTTTTGTCTTTTATATACTCGCCAGTCACTGCTAAGGCGGCAACTAATTAATCCGCTAAATTTTTGTTCTTAAATTGCTCTCATGAAACTTACCAGGTTATAGCAGCTTAAAATCAAATTAACTGAAAAATAAAGCTGCAACGATTATACGTAGCATACAATTTCAAGTTTAAAATATCTGTAGTATTGTGACGCGGTGGTGTCACCTTTAATTTCCAAAGATTAGTCGCGCAATTGTAGGCAGAGTAGAAACTTACGTTTTCGTAATTTGGGCTTCCATGCATAAGTGCGCAAATCAAAACAATAAGGCATTTCGATTGCAGAATTAGCATGTGCCGTATGACGGACACATCGAACGGTGGGAAACACGAAGACCGGCGCGACCTATGGAAAGGCCATGCCGTTTTCGATGATGGGAAAGATTCTCATGCCTTTTATGGGCCTCGTAATTTGTTATCACTCAAAGATTTTAAATCGTTTAAATTAAGCAGCACACTTTAACCGCCGACTGGCGAGAAGATCATGCGTTTCTTCAATTTATGATCTTGCAACTTTTATGGACGCATTTGTGCTTGATTGCTTCGAATGCATTGTACTGCAAGTTGCCGAACGTAATAACGTTATGTATGTTAACCAAGAGCACAACACAAGCGAAGTACAATTGTATACTAGTAACATACTTATATACTCGTATTACTAAAAAAAATAAGTAATTATAAAAGTAGGTGTAATACACACATATGTAGATGCAGAACGTAGTAGCTGCATACAAATTAAATACCTATGTACAGCAGTAAAGACACCCTTTCTTACTGACTTTCGGGTTATTTATCTAGTTTACTAAAGATTAACGAATATGTCAAGCTAACAATCAAAGAAATTAATTTCGACATTTGCAAAGATTTTAATGCTGCTGCGAATTCCAACAGAATAAATATTTCACAATCAGCTTAACAATTTGTAAAGGTGATACCGGTACCGTGGCACCGATTGTTAGCCTAATATAAAATAATATATTTTTCCGGTAAAACAGAGAAATAACTTCCACAACAACACAACATATTTTGACTTCCCCTCTTATATCGGGTACATCGTGTTTTCTCATCATTGGTGGTCAGCGTCAATAAATCAGCGGCAATTGGCGATTATGGAGCAATGATCGTCGCGGGGGCCGCTTTGATCATTAACGGCCGAATACACAGTAACTGACTAACTGTATTTAACGTAAGGGATGCAGATACGAGTACATACGCCGCACGCCGCCGACGCGGACTCTAATCAGCATTGCATCCAAATCGGTATTGGCCTAATAAAACAATTGCCATCACTAGATTATTCCGTCGCAAATGCCCGCCACAGCTGCCTGATACTCCGCGGGAATGGATTCCGAAAACAACTGGCGGAAACAATAGCGGAATGATTTTAATGATGACTACCGATTACGACAGCCTGCGCTAATGGCATGGCCGCGGTATGTGTGATCGCATTGTACCGATAATCGACAATAATTTACCAGCTTTGCTTATTGGCTGAAAAACAACCTTAATGATCGTGTTTCGTAATGGTCGACGCTACAGAAATGCACAACATTTGGCGGCTGAACATTGCGTGGAGTTGTCCGCAGATGTTGCATTTATCTGTACACTGCGGTTTATTATACGAGTACTCTGAAGTTTGTGAATAATTACGCGAAGTAGTTCAGCACATGTCGCCGTTGTCGCTTTTGACGATTCTCTGTTTCCGGTTTTTTGTTTTAATGGTTTTCCGGTTATATTTGGCTTTACCTTCGAATAAATTGCCTAATACCGGAAAAATACTTCTGTCTTCCGAATTAAATTTAAAAGCGTATTTCGAAAGCAGTCATCTAAAGGTCAAGATTTTTAAAAATTGCGTACCAAAAAAGTAGTCGCATTATTATTAACCTTGTTACGATCACTAGCAAGCATATATATTAATTTTGTCTGTGTGCTCCTTAATATCATCTTTCTGGTATTCTGTGTCATTTGGCAGTAATCATGAACCCACCGGAAAATCACTGCGCTTGTACTGTTGTACTGCGCACATCGGCGAATATAGATGTGTCCCTTCGCGCCATACTTTGATACTTCGGCAACCGCGCTGCTGATAAAGTCGTAACGTTAACGTCAAAATTCATAAAAGTAATGCACAGCGGGGACAATGAAGGACAAAATGATTGACACAATGATATGGTTGTGTCACAGGATTAATCGCGCCCATTGGCTAAATGATGCACAAACGGCGGGGGATGCCCGATAAGTCCCGATAGGCAATATTTGGGAAGATATATAATGTCGAAGGGCATTATAGTGATCCCGCTGTATGATAGGGCCCGTCATTTGGCGGGATTAACTGGAATATGGATGACTATTATATTAATTCGGAGCCGGTACACAGTATAACCGACGACCACGGGACAATTGCTCTCCCGGGACTTCGCCGCATACCGATAACGACCGACCAACGGCTGAACATTTAACCTCTGCGTTGTGTTCATATTCCCATAATACGATTATTCTCCCAGATTACTAACCAATCAGTCTTAAATACATAAATCACGGCAGATCTTAAATGTATCGCTTTTTTGCGACGTAGTACGTACTCGTATCACGAGTATTAAATATGTGGCGTCGTGTATAGCAGCTGAAAAATTCGCTTTGACGTACTTATTTGAATCCTTATTTGGCCGTAAATAAATGTTTATTTTACGAAACTTATTCAAAGATATCTTTCACATTTGTGTTAAAAAGCCTACGTTACAGTGCACAGGTTTTTTAATTGCATCTTTAAATATCTGTACATAAGCAGAATGTCCCGGAATCAAAAGCAGACCGTGCACGAGCGCAATATAATGACATTAATTTTGTATTATCGTTCTGGGATTCTGCGTGATCATAATATGTATATCATGCACAAAAATTAGTGCAGTAACTAAAAGGAAACAATTCAGTGTAACGGCAGAATTTCCGAACAAGCGCATAGAATCGAATTCGATATATATATAAAAGCGATATCGAGTGTAGAATACTTTTCGCACATAATGCTCAGCATATCTGCCAAAGGTCACCGGGTACTGTCCTTACGTGCTGCGACTCGGGGGCGTCAACAACGCCTGGAACAGCGGGGTACGATGTGGATTGTCCTCCGGGGTTTTCTCTTTACTCAAACTCTTCAGAGGAAACGGGACACTTCCGTGCTGGGAAAAAGGGAAGGAGGGCAGTGCGGCACTAACCTCATGCCCAGGTTTGTACAGAGGGGACTGTTCGGGGGAGCGTGTCCCGGGGAGAATGGGATAGGGCAGTGCCGGTCGATAGTTTCCGTACATGCCGTAGAAAAAGGGTGCCGCTGCCGGGTTGGGAGCGGCGGCCGTGTAGCGGTGGAAGGGGTTGTTGGAGGAGGCCAGGCTGTACATGTAGGCCGCGGCAAAATGGGGGTCGGGATAGGGCCAAATCATCGACGTTTTCTGCCGTTTGTCTTTCATGCGGCGATTTTGAAACCATACCTAGAAAATATAAATTATAATTTTATAAATGTAATGTGCAGTTTATCATTCGATAATTTTAACCGCCACAACAAAAAATTTCGTAGTACAAATGAATGTTCATCGGCTTGACAATATATACGGTATGACAATCGTATATTACGTTGAACCCAGAAGTATAGTTTGTAAAAAATCTAATCTAGTTTGTAGAGCTTTGAGCAAAAAGGGAATTGAAGTGGTTATCTCAATTTTGTAACGCAACCCAGTAAGCAAAGTATACCGTAAGTACGGTTGTTATACTTGATTAACTACATGCGGTATGAGCAGCCATTGATTGATTCACAAATTAGACGTTTTATGGCTGCATTACTAATGGAACAGTTAGCTTAGCTATTTTAAAGGTCAAGAATCAGCATAACATAACGTTTGTAAGTGCAAATTAATTGAAACTATAAATATACGGTACCCTTTACGTATGTCGGGATGTCTCTAGTATTATTAATTCCGCTACAGGTACACACATATACTCTTATAACTTTTTATCTTCTGATGATTAGTTGCTTATCGGCGATTTTTTCCCAGTCACTAGTTTTATAAAAATCAGCACTCTTCATAAAGCATAACCCGATGGAAATGGCAGACAGTAGTTACTGGGTGAATTCTCGTACGTACCTTTATAGTGCTTTCCGGTAAATTCAAGCTGGCGGCCAGTTCGCATCGCCGGGGTCGAGACACGTAGTTTTCACGGAGGAACTCCTTTTCCAGGCGACCGATCTGTTCGCGGGTGAAAGCTGTACGATAGCGACGTATCGGAGCATTTGGATCGTTTGCGAGCGCTATAAAAATTGTCCCAGTATTATTAGGATTTGATTGATGATATTAATACTATATGAAGAGAATTTAACGTCACCGAGTTGTTGGCAATACACCAAGTAAGTGCCAAAAAAGAAAAGTAACCTTGGTCTTTCTGGCGAGTAAAGCAGTTAGGTGGAATATTTATTTTCAGTTAGCGAGAACAAAACTAACAATATTTATTTTAAAAACATAATCGGATGGCCACAAAAGTCACGATAATGTATTGTGGCATAGATTTCTAACAATAACATAACACAACGCTGCCTAAATACTGTGTCTCTTACTTGTGCATTGCGGGCTACACCACTGAAAATTAATAAGGATTTACCTCGCGACTTATCAGTATTGGTGGACATTACTGAGTAGTCCTCGTCATCCGACAGATGTTTGGAGTCCAGATGATCGGGTATAAAGCTCACCATGGTGCCCCGGCACTAATTTTGAATGTTTAACAACACAAAATTATTTAAATCGCGCGACGACGATCTTTGCAGTAGCCAAAACAATCTGGAAATAAAGTTAAGAATATTTAGAATCTGTTTTGGGTGTGCTTTTTATACTCTCTGCACGACGTTTACTACCTTGCATCGGCCGAAACTGTCGATCACCGCGCTGATTGGCTGGCCGCGCATTATACGATGATATTGTAGAAATCATTAAGGACACAAAAGGGGCGTGACCTGCGTTATGAGCATTCAATTCATATTCCTCCTGCAAATGCTTCAGATATCCGGCGGCTGGCTGTGTGTCGGGATTATGCAGAATAACGGGCGCTAACTGTGCGACGATTAGCGTCAGATTTGCATATTTATCCAGAATTAAATATCTCACGACATGGGTCAGCATCACAATATACGGATTACGGAATGCAATAATATGTATAATGCATTACGATAAATAGCCTATTATCGGCGTTTTCTGTGGGAATTCTAATTTGTTTGGATTTCATTGTTTTCTTGTTTCCAGTTTCATCAGCACAAAGTAACCTGCAAGAGAAAGCACAAAATTAACGAATTCTTTTTCCAGTAAATTAAAACAGTTGTTTTAATTTTAGGAAATAAAAAGCTTTGTACGTGTACAAATTTTTTGTAAACAAAATTTTAGTGACAGAAAGCCGGAATAAACACATAAAGTACCTGACATGAAAAAAGTACCTGGCATAAAATTAACTACAGATATGCAGGAACAGTTTAAACAATCACATAATATGCGTGGTGCAAAACCGGGTGGTGATACATCACATATGCGTATAAATTTACAATGTATGGGTTAATTGCGTATCGTTATTAAAAATAAGCGTATTTTTCTTCGCATTTGGCATGGGAAATCGGACCAGTTATCATAAAGCCATAAAGGTCACAGTCAGGAGCGTATGGCTGTGTAATAATGATCCTAGCAGCCGTAAAAAGCGCACGGCAATGACAATCATAACAACTGGCGGCAGATGCGCTTCATAAAACACGACAGTCGTTTTTATGGGTACCAACACTTACACATATAGAACACAGGAGTGGACCCACAGCACAGTGCGCCGGGTTTTTTTACAACCCCCCCGGTAATCACCAACAATCATTGGCTGCACCATCACGCAAACGACATCTCGCAGTGCGGTCATTAACAGCGCCAACGGTTCCAAGCTGACTCGATGATCATAATACCCGTAAGTCGTCAGCGACGACGCCAGCATTAAAAACAACAACCGACGGCTTATGAAACGGCAATAACAATCACTGACCGATACATATCTAATTCCTTCACCCCGGGAACGTGCAGCCAGACCATTGCGGTGTTCTTTATGCAGGGCCATAATGTTGTTGTTATTGCGCTCTTGATGATCTTTCATGGCCGCATGCAACGATTAGACTAGCGACAAACTCATTATGTACTATATGTACTTGAGTACAATATTTTTCCACCACCGTTCGCCACCAGTTGCAGGTGTTTACTGTTTAGTATAACTTAATTTTGTAGCGGACGTAATCGACGAAACATGCAGTAGAGGCCTACTCTATAAGGTGTAGAAGTACCTCTATCACTATATCTCTGGGGAAAAATTATTTCTATCAGAAAATTAATATAACTCGCTTCCTTTTACAGCAAAGATTTTTAGTTTTTTAAACTATTACAGGTTTATTAAGTACCGTCGTGTAAATTAACACCGAGCGATGTGATGAAGTGCAATTTCATGGGTTACTTCCCTTCCGTGTACCGCATCGGTGATCTTATTACGCTTTAGAACTAACCCGTACAGTGGTTAAACATTGGTTTCTACTTGTGTACATACGAAAAAAATGCACCCATGTGAAGCGTTGTGTTTCCGTTTATCTTGTTTCTTTGAGAATTTGCTCAGAGTAACTAAATGAATAGAAAATATTGTCAGTAGTCACTTTCAGTGTTGATTCAAACTTTAAAGCAGCAATCGCTTCTACCGCTTCTCGGCAGACGTGAATCTACGAGACTTGCATATTTCAGTCATGAGGAAATTTTTGTGAGAAGCGCCTTTTTAAATTTTTACTACCGGTGACATCGTGGGAACGCGTAGCGCGACTGTGCATCCGCCCTATAAAATTGAATTAAGCCCTTGATCAGCTAAACTGGTTTACAGCGCCAGTGTCCACTGTCCAATGTCCGGTATCTATATCTGCAATGTGCCAACTGCCGGCGGTGCAGCCGGACACTGGAGCATGCCGGGAATGCCATAAACAATAAGGATGTTCTGATTGTTTATGCCGGCGGTGTGCTTCCTGTCTCTGAGCAATTGTCAGTGCACACAGAGGAGCACGAAGTGTTTCAATTAGGGAACTCTATACAAACATCCCATCCTGCAATAATGTCATTAACAAATGACCATTACGCGCTGACAATGGGCTATGGTCAGCCGCTCACCGCCGCCTCAGGTTATTACTGGATTCTGTGTAGTGGATCACCCGCAAGCTCTGTAGTAATCCGAATGGTTTTTTTAACCGAATCCGGAGCTTTTATACAATAATTACCATGTACCGTGCACAATATTGTAGCCCAGCACCTTTTATACAAGTGTTGTACTGTATATTATATACAGTATATGAAAACCGATAATAAGTTTCTTCTTGTGCAGTAAGACCGCAGTAATGAGTGGCATTGGGTGCAGACGTAGTGTAGTAGTGTCCCAAAAGTGTTAATACTTGTACTTGCAAGTTTTCAGTATAAACTTGAAAGTACTAATAATGTGTATTAAATGTGTACATATCGGTACACTGCAAGCTCTTGTTTTTTGAATAATTGTTGCATTGTTCTTGGCTATTACTTGTCGAGGTAAAGCTTAAACCGCGAACTGAACCAGTTTCAATCAAACTGCTGCGCTACATATACCCGTATTTAACACAACTTTGTGTGTCCAATAAAAATTTACATTTTGCTGTAACTACAGTATAAATTATAAATGTTATCAGACAAACAAAATAATACTCGTTTAGTCGTATATATTCTGACTGTCGCCTCTCGCAATGCGTTATTAACGATAACTTTATTATGTTCGCGATATAATATTATGTAGTATGTACAATACTGCCTTTTTTGCTTGTTTGCCACTGCAAATTTACATTAATGTCGTTCCATGTAAAAATCAGTTTAGAAAGTTATGTGGGCGATGATAGGCGAAGTGTTAAAGTCAATTGGCGGCAAAGACACCGCTAATGAGCGTAAATGCCTCCTCATACGGACTGGTCAGTGGTCACTCTGCGCGGCACGCACGGGAGCGCCGGCAGAACCGGGATCGTAAAGATTTTACAAGCTGTCCCATGTTGACAGTGACGCTCCGGTCCGGCCATCCGCTATTCTGTCGTGGGAGCGCCCTACTCCACCTCTGCGTGCCGCACATTCCTTTCATTCCCATTCGCCGGGACAATGGGCGCAAATCATTTAAATGGCAAGATGTGCGCGCTGTGTCTTTATGACCGGGTAATTAATCGATTACGCACTGTGTCCCTGGGACAATTCAACGGGATTATCATTTGCTGCCTTTAATTTTTCTCCTGATGATTGTGTTTACATCTATTCTGCACGAAGATATTTATGATTATATACAGATACAAGCTACAAAGTACAGTACGCGTTGGTCAAGGTTGTCATAATTCGGGTAACAAGAAAATTTAATATTCTTCGTGCCGGCAAAAATCCATGCTAAGGATGACGATACATATTAAAAAAAATGTAAGGTATGTGAAACATAACAAAAACTCTACGAATCTGCCTGATGGGTGGCCTGCTAAACATCATCATCTTATTGAACCGAAAAAACAAAACAATTTCGCAAATATTTCTCTTACACGAACCACGACGTCCACAGCTGGATCTGTATACGCTACTCTAGGAACGCTGCATACGATACTACTGTAATGTATCTGTATAGATTTATTACGATAATATATAATATACGTACAGTTGCGAACGTCGTGGTGGTACAGATACCAAAATAAAAAATATGAGTATTCACTGCTTAGTGCTTACAGTAGTTTTCACAGAGTTCGATGTTTAGAATGACTTCGCGCCGAAAGCTTGAACTGGATGCATTATAAAGGAACCCCCTAAAAGATGTCCGCATTAAAACAGAAACAACTTTCAATAACTTAACTAATGGAGGTCATTTGCAGAAACTTTTACCAAGCTCACGTACGAATCCCTGGCGATAATGCGGTAGTGAGAAAGAGGTGTTAAAATATCGACCCAATCTAGGAAGAAGCCCGTGAGGGAAAAACAATATCTTGCGCAGATCTCTTTAATGCGATGCCAAAAGAAACAACAAACCAAGATACTTCGGTAAGGGTACTTCGGTAAGGTCGGCCACATACGAAAATCTAAATCATCTGTCTGTACAACAACTGCCGTCCACGCACAATCAAATTCCTGCGAAAACAAAAGAGTTCATAACTGTAAGACTATCCTTCCGCTGTCCCGCCTGTGATTTCCACCACCGTTGACGGCTTCGAAAATAAAAGCACTTGGATACGCATTTCGACAGATACACAAACAAATTTCACTAGAGCCATCACATCGAGTACATGTGTACAACAGACTACACAGAAATCCACTCAAAATACACTGTGGCTAGCTCGCGCGCGCATGCGAACAGCATCCCGCGATCCAGTCCCGGCGCTGCTTTTCTGCAGCCGTTCGCACTGTGGACAGTACCATTTTTTCTTCTCGATATCCTCAGCACGTTGGACCCCCACACACAGTCCATGGAACCACTCGGTTTGGCACTGGCGATTATCGCAGGCCACCATGAAACCGCCTTCATCTTCCGACTTCCCACAGAAACAGTACAGTTTCTCTTCCCTTGTGGCTGCACTTTTCCGGCCCACTTGGTATTGTCCCCGCTGCATACCTCGGCCGCGTGCCGGATTACCTGTAAGCAATTTATTGCTATTTACCAGGTTATCAAAGAAGAAAGCTGTACCAGTGTACCTACACTTGTTACAGTATTTTGAAGATTTTGATATTTTCATTGCGTGCGAACGCGCCCGGTCTTATTCAATATTCGCTGTTGTTCGATATGATAATATCTGAGTCTGATGTGCAGTAACTTCCAAGTGATTCAAACAACAGCCTACAGCTTTAACCAGAGAGAAAATAAACAAACGCCGGCGTATGTTTATTCTCTATATGCTTTAACTGAGCAACCACCGACTTCGATCGAAGGAATCCAGATTAACATACGTATCACCATGGCACAGCGATACTCATCATCCACTATCAATTCAAAACTGATCAGCAAAATTCACCATCGTAAGTAAATTTTAATTCACGGAATTTTACGTTTTTCTATATGAATTTATGCGCTATATCACACTTGCACAGTTTTGTTAATCTGAAGGACTTGTAACAGGTAGTGCAATTATCCACAAAATCAGCCTACGGTAATTACGTACCTAGAATTTCTTTTATGCGGAGGTCGTGCCCGACATCCGACTGAACCGATTCATCACTGGAGTCGGAGCTAGGACAATAATTTCGCTGACGCGGGAGAGTTTGAGTGGATGCGTTGGTCCACTGGTGGTCAGCGGAGACCGGCTCATTGGGGCATCTCAGCAGCCGCTGATTGGGATTGAGGACGGAAACAGTGGAGCGGCGTCGATCCGTAGCAGATTGCTGGCGCGTCACTGCAGCTGCGCCAGAACGGCGACAAGTTTCCTGACTAAAAGCAAAAAGGTCAACGTGCATCGGGCGAAGTAAGTATGGTGTACAATACCATACATCTGCATTACGGATGCCTTGACCATTGCTGCTACAGGGAAGTGATGCACAAAGATACAAAATCGTAATTCACGCTACGCTGCTATCTATGTATGAATTCCCTGTACAGACCTACAAAATACCGAGCGTTCGATACAAAAAACTGCATGCCAAACTTCCAAATATTTCACAAATCAAAAATATGATTCGATGAACGTTAGCAAAAAACAAGTACTAAATCGAACTACAAAATTTTTCCTGAAATTACTCTTATCCCGATCCGTGGAGTTATGATCGTAAAAGTACTGGTAAACACAAAGACAACAGGAACGCTAGATTTACCGAGAAAGCTTACTTCTGGGTCTGCTGATCGGCCATCCGCCGTTCCGCTTCCATCTCCTTGTAGGCCTGTGCTTCTAATTTATCCGTGATCCCCGGATAATCCACCTCCAATTCCATCTTGAACTTCTCCGTTTCCCCGTCCAGATGCCCACTCCAGCGCCCCATCATCTGCTCCAGCTCCTCGATGATCTTCACCTTCTCCGCGCCGTACTGCAGGATGCGATCGTATTCCAGCGAGATTTCGCTGGTAATCTGCTGCAGTTCCGTGGATTTCTGCACGCGTTCGGCGGGATACTGGCCGATGAGCACCTTCAGCTGCTGGGTGCGATCTTTCAGGTTCTTTATGGTGGAATGACGCTGGCTGACTTCCATGTCCAGTGCTTTGACACGGCCCAGACGACTGTGGAAGATTTCGGGCAGTTCATTGCTGTATTCCAGAATATCATCCAGATATTTGAAGGACATCATTACACTGTATCATGCGCTGCGTATCAACAGCAGAAAGCTGAAAGTCACGGAGATCTCCTGAATTGGAAAAGCGCAAAAGGCCGTTTGCCGCGTCGATCTCCCGTCGGTTAAATAATGAAAAAATTAATTAGCTCTTTCAGGGCAGGGTTTGAACTTCTTTTGTGAGCGGAAGATTTGTCTTGAACTCACGCAACAAGATTTTTTGACCTGAGTCGACACCGACTGCGTCTCGGCACGAGGCAAGGGTAAAGCCGGTATAAGACGTATTTATTACAAGAAGTCAGCAAGTCGCTTCCCGTACGTTGTCGATATGCACTGTGATCAACCCACTGGGATCTGCTTTGTTGCGCTTGTTTAATAATTTCCCCGTAACTCTTGATGCTCATTACATCAGATTCAGGTCGTGATCAGGATTTCTAGAAATTCGTCAGAACGATTTTAAGCAACACCAACTACAAGAATTTTTCTATGAAATGGTTGGCCTTTTCGACATGATAATAACGTCCCTAAATTCTAAGGACATGCGTGCTTATGTATATGGATAAAATTAATTGTAAGATGGATGCGTTTTTACTTTGCATTTCTTTCGAAATATTTACTGTATGTACTGTACTTATTTTGACGTGAGAAACATCGTTTCTCGATCGGAATTCCGCCATTAATGATTTCTAGCACTGACAGCTAAAATTTAAATCGGCACATGTGCATTTTAGGGCAACAAGAAAATTCCCGGCAGGAAACTGCGCTATTCCTCCAGCGGCTACCAAGATCACAGTTTATTGCGTTGCGACTTCTATACGAGCTTCTGTTTTTTCATGGCGTCCAGCGTGTGCTCGTACCCAAGACAATACTTTTTATTTATATTTTTGATGCTTCTCAACTCGCTGAGGAACAAGAAATACATAATTAAGCACACAAATGGATCGGTGAAGCATCAGTAAAGGCAAACTACAAATTCCACTAGAATTTCTTTCACAACGAAATCAACACAATCGGACACCGAAAAGAAAGAAAAGGCAACCGCGAAGAGAATCAGCACTAATGTGGTCCACACAGTTAGAAAAAATTAACTACCGTACAACAATATAAAACCTCTCCAGACTGATTACCACAAATAATCCAACAGGCACCAGGACAGGCATACAACAATTAATATTTAGCCGGTAACAGCTTGCAAATACAGATACGTATTAAAGGCAATGGGTATTGGTCAGCCAATGCTGGTTCCTCATACTTGAGCAAAGGCTCGGAAGAGGACAATGGGTCCCTCAGTGATGCGTATCTCCGCTTCCGTGTTGGCCGGCAGTAACCATACTGTCCCTTTCTCAATGGGCTCCTCGGCAATGGAACACCGGGCACTTCCGGTCAAGCACAGCACTATACTGGCCGATCCCAGTTCGGGCAGGGTATAAATGGCGTTGGCTTCCGGGATCTGCATTGACAACAATTTGTTAAGCGCATACTGATACTGTGCAATTGCAATCATATCTGCAATCGACTTTTTGATTAAGTACTGTAATTAGGGTGTTAAGCATTACAGTCAAATTAACATCAACTACTCTAATAATGGAACAATTTGAAACAACTAACAGGTAACATTGTAAGTATCGCTTCCGTAACACTGCCCAATGTCATTATTTTAGTGTTTCGAGTACGTATTTCTACGCTCTTTGACCTTCGTATCTTGTAAACAGGACGCTATTTCAGCAACACCAGTATCAATATCAATATCAAAATTAATTTGGCAACAGTATCAATATTAACATTATTCTATAAACTTATTGTTACACAACCTACAAACTTTTTGTTATAATTATTATGATTCTAGAATTACTATCAAAACACAAGTATTGACTACAGAACGATTCGATGGAAACTTTCAATACAGTAATTAAATTAATTTGAATCAAACCAGGACAGCCTACACAAAACTCGGAAATCGGCCAGACTGGATGATCGAATTCTACAGTTTGTACTGACGGCTGCGGCGTTATTTCTGCCCGATGCAAACAAAAACGGGAAACTGATACGAATACGATACTCTGAGATACTCGTATATTTAAATTTGTCACCGCGTATGTAATCAGCACGCTGCATATAAAATTACTCGTATTGTTGCTTTCCAGTACACTTTTACATGATTCGCCAAACTCATCAAAGACAGTTTAGCATACGTACAACAGTAATCCCTCTTGTAGCGCATCAGATACGCAAAGTCAGACGATTCATAATTTAATATCGAAGAATCAGCAACCATTCTACGAAAGTTAGTAATACGAATAGTCAAAAAGTTAGTTATCCCATACCTCGGTGCGCGCTACACCAAACTCCGCAATGGGTGGCAAGTAATAAGCAGTCCATACATCATCGTTATCGTGCGTCAAGGGGAACTTGTAATCCTCGCCCGGCCCGTATGAATAATCCACAAGTTCCAGCAGTGTTTCCACATCACGGAATTTTGGCGTCAAACCCGCACGGACAACGTTGTCCGAGTTGGCCATACATTCCACAAGATCTACGGGAGAAGGCGAAAATCAATGATCTTTCGCGTGTGAATCGTGTGTGATAGATTAATTATTACTGCACAAATACTTGGCACGGTCCGGAAACAAAAAGTCAAGTGTATTATCTCAACTTGCATTTAATGTTTACTGTATCCATCAGTATAATACACAACTATAAAGTATAATACTGTAGTTTATAATAATTCTTAATAGTAATATCAGTACACATATTTATATGCATTACGATCATGCAAACTGCTTAAACAACCTTCCATTAACATCGTTTACGAAAACTGCAACTGTTGGAACGATTGTGATGTTACGGAATGGATGCCTGCCAGAGTATTATGACGCCTAACAAGCTTTTCAGTTAAACTTATTGGTGAATTTATTTCCAATAGAGCGATATCAAGATTCAGTTACATTTAACTTATTTACCTACTCAACTTAATATACTCGTACCTTGCTCTACTATCATTAGCGCAACGTCGCACCATCCTAAACCTAACTCTAAAAGTGTAAGCTGACTAAAACGCATACAACAAACTTTCTAAGACTTATAATTATTAGAAATCTGAAACGCTCACTTCCTCTGTCAACTTAAGAAGCACCAAATCAACTTAAGCAATTATAAATTAAGATACCAAACACTGACAATCGATTATCACGATCGAAAGTTTCAAGCTGTTAACTAAAGGCCACAGTACGTATGGTCAGCTGATAAGTATGAACATGTTCTGTATCTGGATGTCGGTGCGACAATTCTTTCACGACGGTACCATGCAAACATGAAAACAAAAAATGTTTCTTACGATTCTATTAATGCGATTATTTTAAAGTCGAAGAAAACAACACGTAAAATAATATGTTTTGGAAACTTCAAAGGGGTGAATTACATTACGTACACGAAAGAAAGCAGGCTGCCATATGACCAGAAAAACAGCTGGTAATGCCACGGCAGCACAAGTGCATACTTAAAACACTACAAAACGCACTTCTATTCTGTTTACAACACTACTGTCTCTACTTTACCATTCATACAAATAAACCCATCCATCTCGCTGACTCAGACTACGATGCCGTTTTGGCACATGGCAATAAAAAAGGAACCGCCAACGCAACTCTCATCGCACGCTATTCACATTTCACATTGCCGGACGATAGTTGTCACATATAAACGCTCACCTCCTTTCAGATACGCATGGGGCACATCCGGACCCAAAAAGATAGCCTCGCCGGGCTGCAGCGTGATGTGATTCATGAAGAAGACGCAAAAGCACCCAACATCTCCCGGGAAGTCCGCGTACAGTTGGATGTAAATGTGCCCGTGATCCTGGAACACGCCGCCGGATCGGGTACCGGCCTGGTTCGCGTGATCAACTCCTAAATAAAACAACAAACAACACATTTTATCCATTGTACAGTGGTGTAATAGCTGCTATCAGCTGACATCACCACTAGAAAGCGCGATTAAACTAAATTGAAGCAGTACATACTTGTTGCTTAACTATTAACACTATGAAAAAATCAAATTTTTACGAGAAATCTCAAAAAGAAGTAACAACAGTACGACTGTAAGAGGAGCAATAAAACCTGAGACAAGTAACAAACGCAAGTCACATACTCACATACAGAGTACAGCCAAAAGCAGGTGACTGGCAACGGGAAAGTTAAAATCCATTAAAAAACAAATTTTAAAGCTCTCTACAGAACCTAACTGGTTTTACTCACTGAGATTCATGAAGTAGCGGTTCAGTTTCTGGCCTTCATCAGCCACGAGACCTTTATCAGCCTCCATTAGCGATGAGAAAGCTTTCTTCAGCGCGTTGACTTGATCATCTTGGAGGGGAGATGTCAGACCTTTCTCCACTAATATGCAGGTTTCCTCGCCAATCACGCTCCGCAGTTCGGGTATAGCTGCAAAGTAAGCAGTGACTTTGGCAATGTGCACAAAACAAAAAAATACCCCCGATGTACTCGTATGTTCTGTATGTAGCCACCACTTTATTTAACAACCTTAATTAGAAAAATGCAAGCACTCGTAATCTAAGCCGAAAACGAACTCTTGCGAAACTTGTTTCAAAATTCCGTAATAATATATAATACGTATGTATTTTAAGTCCACGGGTTCGTATTTGCATTTCGCGAAATCATAACTATCCGATCGGATCGATCCTCCAGTAGAAACTTTTATTAAAGCACTGCAAACCTCCACAATTTTACCAAATGAACAAAACATTCTAACCGCATAACATTCTAATTCCAAAAACTGAAATGTTTCGGATAATAAAACTATCATTCTAACAATCAACGTACAGATACAAGCAGAACCACTTACTTCGTATAAACACCAAGATTTCTGCCAAAGGTCTGAATCCAATAAGCGCTTGAAACGGCGTGAGCGCAATAGCCATTTCCGGTTTATGATTGGCATCTGGGTAGTTTTTACCATCGCGCCGATGAAGAACACCCGCTTCGTCCTAACATATCAATTTCACAGGTTGCAGAACGATTATAACATAAAAAACCCCTTGGCACAATAAACGCTATCCTGTTTATTTACATTTAAAATCCTTTCCGGATTAGTTCTTTAGAATTAGAATCTATATAGATGTGTGTACATAGTACACAGAACCCACAGATTATTAAAAATAAGTAAAACTTTTATCAACTGCTCACAGACACGCGTTCAAATATCGAAATGCTGATTCAGAAATTACAACACACCAAATTTTGTAATAATTTATAAAACCAGAACAGACCAGAGATAGTATGTAAATTAAAGTCCTCGTAATAATTAAAGTGCTGCTTCTGCGTATAACCGCGGCTGCAGACCGTTGACTACGTTCTCATGTTTTGTGATATTAATTTTGGTGAAACTGCCATTATACTCTATCATCCACAGAATGCTGTATTTTCTACGTGTAAAGTAAAGATATCTCTTTCTCACCTTGTCGGGATGAATCTGAATGGAAAGGGCTTTATCAACGGAGAGCACTTTGAAGAGAAACGGTAGTCCGTCCGTACCGAACTGCTGACTGAGCGCATCTCCGATTAAATAATCATTCTTTTGTAAATAATCCCCTAATAAATGGCCCTGATTGTTGGGCAATAAAATATAACACGGTCCTTTGGGGTGGGTGCCCATCCATAACTGTAACCAACGAAATTCAACTACTTTGTTACACTACTCGTACACGAAATAACTGCAACCAACGGAGATTTACCGACTTTGCTACACTACACGAAAAAACGCACATAATTACCAAAATGAAATACGCAAGTAGAATTCAAAAGTGGGACTGCAAAAACAATCGACTATCAAACACAAAACAGCACTCAAACAAAAACGTTAACTGATTTAATTTCACACAAATTCCATCACTTTCGAAAAGCATTCAGAATCTGTGACTATTTGTCACACAATAAAACGGTACAAACGGAAGAATACTAAACAGAAATGAACCTTTATACAAGGATCGATACAATTAAGTATACAGTGCAAAACGAAGCAATAAGGAATATAGACCAAAACAGATTTCTGCTGGCTTGTAATTTATTCCACCTACTGTACCTCTGCATAAGGTTTTCCTTCGTCGATCTTCTCATCAGTTGCACCAGCTTCGGCCAACTGTGCCACGATACTCGATCGTCCAACTTTGCCCCAATCATACTGCTGTATCGAGCAGATTAAACGAAGGGCTACAAGAATTAACCAACACGGGGATTTGAATTAACCATCTCAAATCAATAAAAGAATTCTTAGCAAAATTTTTATCCACGGCGACATAAACAAGAACATTAATGCCACAGTAACCGGTTGTTTATGTTCATAGTTTTACGCGTATTGAAACGACTGACACATTCCAGCTGCAGCTTTCTATGTATTCGCGAAATCGTTCGACCATTTTTACACAGTGCATTTACACACTTTACCTTTGATCTCATCATCCATGATTTTCACCGCGGGACTAGCCCGCGGGCTAGGCTTCGGACTGGGTTTAGGACTGGGTCGGGGACTGGGACCAGGACTGGTGGAGTCGATCATCAACTCTTTCACTTTCTCGCGCACGTCTTTAACGGCTCCGAAGAATTTACTTTTAATACTCTCCGACATGACGGCTGTTGTTGCTGTATACGGCTGCTTATCGCGCTCGTAAAATCACACAAGGGGTGGAGCCTTGTAAATGAATACCTCACGGCCAAACACAATGACCTGGCGTTACTAATTGTCAAAACACAAACAAGTCTTCGGCTGGTTCAAGCGCTACACATTCTTTGGCCCAGATAAATGGATATCCGATGCATAAGAAAATCAGCAGCAACAATTTCATGTATGCGCGCTCAATAGTCAATAGCAAAAAAACACTCGTCTACGGCGCAATGGGCGGGCTGTCTGGATGGTGTAGAATAGCAAGATTGCAAAGAATGCTCTCGGGTGTCAGGTTAAAAAGAGAGAATGCCATAAAAATGCAACAAGAAGATTCCGTAAAATTGTTTTAGAGATGTAGATTGTAGAGATGCCATTTGTAACTCCAAGCAACAACTGGAAGCGACGGAGAAACAGCTGTGGGTTGTTTGTGCTGACTTTCGGCTGCGGTTGAGTGCGCCATGACGTCACGAAAAACCACAAATCGTACGGCTTAGCCTTACAAGGCAATGACTGGCAAAAATTACGGCTGAAATGATTTAATCCCTGTGCGGTGTGTGGGCTCATATTCTTGGTCAACAGGGATTCTATCCTGTGTAATACGGTTTAGCCCCGGGTGTTGGACGCTTCACAGGCGGCAGTCACCTGGTAACATTTGTTTCCATAACACTTCTCCAGCTTCCGCTTCCGTTTAGAATTTTTTGGTTTTCAACTTTTTAACTTTTTTTTCGTGAGGTTTGGATGATTTTCATTTGATTGTCGCGAACCTCTTGGTCTTTAAGATACAGTTCTTTCCACGTTACTTTTGGTAGATCTTTTGTCACTCCAAGAAACTTCTTTTAATATTTGACAATTTTTGTAACATTAGCTACAAGTGGGATATGTCTTATGATTATGCTGCATCCTTGTCGAAATACCCTAATAAAGGGATTCTTGGACTGCCAGAAGTGAGCTGTGATTTCTTTGCAACTGTAGTGATTAGTTTTAGTCATTCTTTAGTCTGCAATCTTCCTTAGATTGTTTTTATAGTTATTTTTGAGCATTAGTTAACTAGAATGCAGGATGTGCCTACGCGTTCGTGTACTACGGTATAATCTGTGAAGTATGAAGATAGCTGCTAGCATGTAAGTAGCTTAACTGCTTAAGTATATTGCAATGATCAGTCACTGCAGTACTTATTTCAGGTGGCCGATGATGATGGCGAAACGGAGGAAAAAATCCAGCAGCTCGCTGAGCTGATACGAAATGCAAAGCATCTTGTGATACACACTGGTGCGGGCTTGAGCACCTCTGCAGGCAGTAAGTAAAATGTCACATATTTTGGTTTACACTTTACAGCTAGCAAAATTTCCTTACAGTACTCGTCGCTTTGTTTGTAACGTTATCTTACGTATTTGTGATGTGTCACAATGTTGTGTCTGCGAACGTCAAATGTGATTTTTAAATGCTTCAAAACCTTGCTAAACAGTTCCAGATTTTCGGTAAGAACTCCGGCGGAAACCCCTATGGTTTGGTATTCCCTGTAATGTGCCAGTGGCATGGTTGCAGTGGTCCGAATGGAGTGTGGACGGCGGAGAAGAAGAAGCGTCGTCCACCACCGTCCAAATCCTTCACAGAAGTGATCCCCACTGTATCGCACATGGCGCTGCGGAAGCTGGTCGATGTGGGCATTGTCAAGTTTATCATCTCGCAGAATGTCGATGGACTGCACCTGCGCTCCGGGATACCTCCCAGTTATGTCGCGGAATTGCACGGAAATGTATTTCGGGAGACGTGTCGCAAGTGTCGGCGAATGTATATGCGAAATTGTCCGACGCCGACGCTGGGGATGAAGCCAACCGGGGGGATTTGTGATGGCGTTAGCAAACGAACTTGCAGGTAATTAGACATTCTTGCAGGTTGCTAAAACAGCCTGTTACAATTAGTACCAATTTATTGGCGAGGCTATTTCTGCTGCCAGTAGAAAGGCAGATTGAGGAGGAAAAATCGTGATATTCTGGCTATAACGGCTCGTAATTGCAGAACGTAGTATAGTACACAAACGTCACAAAGTAAGAAGTATTGAAATGAAAATTTGTGATAGTGTCTGAAAAAATCATGGTAAATGAGTTTCGATTACTGTTACATGTACCTCGCGGTGACGTCGACGTTTTTTTAGAGGTGCTTTGGTCGACATGGTGCTAGACTGGCGCAATAAGCTACCGGAAGACGATCTGGCGGCAGCGGAGGCACATTCCAGGTTTGGATCATTTGTTTGCTTTAGAATGCATCCTGCCGGTGCATGCAAAATGCACTAGTATTTGTACTAGCGGCTGTTTTTCATAACAGTGCGGCGGATCTGAATCTCGTTTTGGGATCGACTCTGCAAATCGTCCCAGCCGGTGAGCTGCCATTCCGACGGCAGGAGATTGATTCTACAGCCAAAACTGCGATATGCAACCTTCAGACTACAAAATTTGTAAGTTGTCCTAGATTTTGCAGCAGTATTGCTTTTTGTGTATATCTCTGCGACTGCGAGTATTAGTTTAAATTATATCCCTGTTATCGCGCGGTTTTGATAGAAGTATTTATGAGTGTTAAGGTTATCTTTATAACTTTTATTGCTTGCTGTGTTGCATGAGTTTTTTCCGTTAATTACAACTACATGGGTTATGGGCATTTTGTTTTAGGATGATAAAATGGATCTGGTTATACGTTGTAAACTGGATGCCATGTTCCTCCGGCTGATGGCACTACTGAATATTGAAATCCCTGCGTACGATGCCAAGCTGGATCCAGTTCTGACCTTATCGTCCGATGAATATCGAACACACTTTTCGCGCATTTTTCAACAGGTTCCGATGAATACCGACGCTGATAACTTGATTGTCGTCAACGAGAAATGCATAGATGAGAAGCCTGAAGAGAGTGATGTGCATAACTGCAGCGTCAAAAGGCTAAAAACGGAGTAATTAAAATTTGATGCGATTTTGCATACACCGCTACTGGATGATGAATGTAGCGGGATCCTCTCATGACCCGAGTTTACTCAAGCGGCCTAATTTATTATCTCTGCTGTTTATTGCCTCTGCTGTATAAGCTAAAAGTTGTGATAATTTTTAGTTTTTGTTGTCTATAAACTTGTTCCCAGTTTCCCCGAATTCGGCTCTTTCCTAAATAAATTTATGTACCTAGTCTGTTACTCAGACTGTTGCTTATTCTTTGACATAAATACGTTTATCAGCTTTGACATAAATAAACTGTTGCTTATTCTTTCGACATAAATACGCAACATACAGCCTGAGAAGTTCTAAGTATGGAAACAGCATAAAGTTTGAGTTACGAAATGTCATCGCGCTTGTACAACTTTTATCTGGCTGGGCTCATGTCCAGTAAATGATGTATTCAGTATTCTACATTTTCCGATAACGCACAAAGATTTTGGATGCTTTTAGTGTTCGAAAGAGTTTCAATTATGAAGTAAAGTACCGTATTCAGTGTCCTTGCGTTCGTACAGGTACTGTATGAATCTGGCGGCTGTTGCGTGTTGCTTTTAAACAGTACAAAATGTACTGTATAGTTATCAATATTATTTATTGTATATGAAACCATCCAGGTCTTGCTTAATTTAATTTGCATCATTCTAATGAGAAGTTGAGAATCACTGTAGTCTGTAGAAGTATAGTAAAACAGGGGAAATTAGGCAAGTCACCATCGGTCTCCATGCATACTTCGAAGTATATTTGTAGATATGCCGGACTGTTCCGGTTTCCGAGCACTTCCGGTTCCGCTGTGAGACTTTGTAACGAACAGCCTGCCATAATGCACATTGCTGTTCACCAAGTTGAACAACGGTTTTCAGTACTCCGACTCGTACTCAGTTTCCCATTTTCATTTTGGCTGAATTTTTCGCCTTCTTGTCTCCATTCGACATTTTTAAATAACCGTGATTTTAACATTTTGCACCTTTTCCTTAAACCGATGTACGGACTGAAAGCGCAGTGAATGTACGGACTGAAAGCAGGAACTATTTTGTGAAGTTTTCGACGCGGATGCAATCGATTGGGACCATTAGGTAGAGATCTCACAGTTGCCTTCCGTACGACACGAAAATGACCGCGCTTCCTGATAAAAACGAGATCAATCTGGATGAGCCCCCGAGTGATACGATATCCTCGGTCAGATTTTGCCCATCAGCGTCCAATGGACGGTTGCTGATGGTCGGCAGCTGGGACTGCACCGTCCGCGTGTACGACACGGAGCTGAATCGCAAACGACACCAGTTTGATGTTGGCGAGCCCGTTTTAGACTGTTGCTTCTCGGTATGGTTTTCCCATAAGAACGTTGCTCGTTGCTGTAATTAGTTGTCGAAGCAGTAAAGCAGGCATTGCTGAACAGCATTTACATATTTTTACGGATACAGGATGCCACGCACGCGTTCTGCGGAGGTTTGGAGAACAACATCAAAATGTGTGATCTCAACAGTGGAAAGCATTTCGCCGTGGGCACGCATGATGATTCGGTGCGCTGTGTGCATCTGAATTTATCACGGAATATTATGACAACGGGCAGCTGGGATAAAACGGTTAAAACTTGGGATCCGCGCTCCAAATCCGTTACTGTTCTTCAGCAGCCAGATAAGGTAAGCCTATCTTCGTAAGAGTTTTGAAGTTTTTCGATTCCATTTTTCGTTTATGTTGAATGTTTATCATAAACATAAGCAGTTTATGCTCATTTTTGCCTGTCTGCTTGACAGTTTGCTTTATTTTTCGTTGGAATGCATTTGTTGTGCGAATATTTGCTTGTTTTTGCACGTTATCGCCTTCGCGTCTTCGTAAAACTTGTGTGAACAGTGAATGTGAGTTTATTGCATACATCCTAATTTTAAGTTTTAACGCATTTGAATTTTGCTTACTTTTTTAAGTTGAATGATAGGAAGTGTCAAGGGTAGTAAGAGCTTGCGATGTAAGTAGTATCTTTAGGTTTCACTGTTTTCTTCGCATTATCACTGCATTTTATTATGAATTTTTAGACCTTCGATGCCGATAATGTATACTTTCATGGTAAATATTGCGCTTTCACTGTTTCACACTGAACTGATAAATTACAAGTGAGAGACGGGCAGAATACGCACATAAGTACAGTGAATAGATTTTGTTCTTAGTTTGCAATTTTAATTTTTTTCCCAAAATTGCGTTTGAATTGCCATATATAGATGTGCCTTCTAAATGTTGTTTATTTTACGAAGCTTGCTTGTTTCTTTAGGTGTATGCGCTAACGAGCGTGAAGGATATGCTCGTGGTGGGAACAAAAGAGCGGAAGATCAACATTTGGGACCTGCGGAATACGGCTGAGCCTATTCAGAAGCGGGAGTCTAGTTTAAAATATCAGATTCGCAGCATGGCAGGCTTGACGATTGATGAATGCTTCGCCGTTGCGTCCATTGAAGGTAAGTTTGGTGCCTGTTAGTACTCGTAACTCACGTGGCTTGATTTTGTATTTGTTTTTATAATGACTGATAACAATTGCATAATTATAGTGATTTTATAATTGTGATCCTCACATCGTTTTTTTAATCAATCGTTTCCAACCTGTTCAGGTCGCGTGGCTGTGGAATATGTGGAGACCGACCCGGAATCGCAGAAGAAAAAGTATGCGTTCAAGTGTCACCGGGCCAAAGAAGGCAACATGGAGATGATCTACCCCGTAAATGCCTTAGCTGTCCATCCCGTACACGGCACCATGGCCTCCGGGGGCTCCGACGGTGTCGTCAACGTGTGGGATGTGGCGCACAAGAAGCGCATGAGCCAGTTTCGCCGTCAGCAGACGTCCATTACGTCGCTGGATTTCAGCAAGGACGGCAAAGTGCTGGCTATGGCCGTGTCCTACCTTTTTGAGCGCGAAGATCAGCCGACGAAGCCATGCGTGGATCATGTGGTTATCAGGAGTGTGGCGGAGAGTGAAGTGCGACCGAAATGAGCGAAATATTTGTTGTCGCTGTGCGTTATCCAGCAACTTGTTCATGTTTGTTGTTCTCTGAAATTCATATTCCTTACCCAGTAGAAGATAAGTTTGTTCGTTGTTCGTTTTTTCCAGGATTTTTTGTACATGTATTGATGAGGATTCCAGCAGCGAAATATTTGCAAATTAATGGTGTGCTGGATTTTAAAGTTTACATAGTACTGATAAATGCAGATAATAAGATGTGTGAGTTTTTTTATTTCCTGAATAGGAAGAGAACTGCGTAAAGCTCTTCAAGCGGATGCTTTAAAATCAAAGTTCGCAACTTCATTGTGCTCGTGTAATATCCTTTTATTCGGTTACTTTAAGAATACCAGGGTTTAGAAAATGATACCGTACTTGTGCAACTTAATCGCTTCAACACATAGTAAACTCATTATTTTTAATCACTTTGTAGTTTATACGTTAAGATTTTTATTATTATTGTACCTATTAAAGTCAATTCCGTACTGCTGATTCCGTACTCGTAAGTTGCGAACTCACGAGGAACTTATTAATATTTGAGGCTTTTGCAGCATCAAATAACTATATTTTAATAGAAAAGCTGACAACATGTACACTTCAGCTTCCAATACAGTACTTTAATAATGCCATACTTCATTTTAACATTAATTTTATTATTTTTAACGATAAATATTCGTCATAAGCCGGTACAGAACCAAAACTAAGCGACATATTTATATGCGGTGCTACACTGCTACCTAAACATCACGGCTGATCTAATCCTCCTGGAGGGATTGGATGGGTGCTATTCACGCACTTCGGTTCATTTTATGGACTTAAGCGTCGTGCTCAGTGGCAGCGTTTACACATCCAATCTGCCACAAAATCCATTGGACGTTGTTGCTTTTCAGTGCCTAAGCGCAAGTCCAAGCACGAAAATAATTAACATTATTTCAAATTAGAAATTTTAGTTTCTATCAAAAGGAGGGCTTAAAAAGCAAAGCGCAAAACGTATCGACCCTGATAACAGATACCTGATTTTCTGTTATTATGGTTCCATTCTGACTAGCGTGTGGAACTTTTTGTGAATTGTAAAAGCTACCGCATATCGACATATGCCACGTATAAGAAGAAGAATAGAATGAGAATTTCTCTCGTTCGTGCTAAGTTTTATTTTGGCCAAATCACAAATGAATCTTTTTTCGGATAACGTTCCATATGTTACACTTTCAGACCAGCAACGGAAGCATTACAAACCTGTTTTTTGTTTAAAATGAAAAGTCAAGGACCGTTTTTGTCCTACCAAAACATGCTTACAAAGAATTCTAAAATATCTATAAATTATCACTTCCACTCACGGAAAGCCTTTCGACAGCACTAACATGAGCACTCGGGTTAAGGCTATGGTTAAAACTAAGGTCAGCATCTGGTTTTACTTTGGTTAGAACTAATGTTAGCACTCGGGTTAAGGCTCTGGTTAAATTAAGTGCAAAACGAAACGGGCTTACCATTGTTAGGCTGAAGCATTACTTAGTTAGATAGTTAATCTGATAGAACAACGATTCAAAAGTTTATTTTTTATGATTGAATTTAAAAAAGGTAATGGCTATTCTCACCACCCTAGCACCTCCTTTGGCTGTTCACGACCTTTCACCACCTTTTGGCTATTCGCACCCACTTTTTAAAAAATATTTTGCCACCACCTTTGGCTATTGTGACCACCTTTTACACCTCCTATAGACTATTCCCATTTCTTTACATATTTTAATAATAATATTATGTTTATAAATGCCTACGGAGATCTTTCTTTTATAAAAATGATTGTAAAATCATATTTGTATAACGCTATGCGTTTAGGCGCACGACCTTTAAAAAGCCGGGCAAGTAAACCCGATAATACTTGCCGGTATCAACAAATACTGTACTAGCAGGTACAAAATCATGAGATACAAGTCAGTTAAATATGACTGATCCGCCACAAAGTGCATGACGATCAAAGAACTGGAAGAAAACCATTCCAGCATACCCGGCGAGCTGAATGCAATGCCGCTCTAACCGTAGCGGCACGGCTGAAAGAACACCGCCCCATCATTACTAAGCAAAATATGCGGCATAACCATCCTCTTACCAAGGATAGTTGGCAAAACGTGCTGGAAAAATCGACGGTTGATCCGAAAGAAGCTGTAGTCCGTGAATTGATAGAATCGCGAGTGAATTTAAAAAAGTGCGAGTGCGAGTGATAAAAAAGCTACTGAGTTTCCACAAGGCCAATCGATCGACATTCTGTTTCCTCGGGCAGCAGCAAAAATGGATACGACTGTAGCGTTTTCACCATTGCTTTTGCAGTTGAAATCGTTTACCAGGGTTTACCGGAAGAAGCCGAACTCTGCAATAAGAAGATGCGAGAACGTTTGGCAAACAGCTGCAGCACGGACAAGATGCGCCTAGATATTTTCGTCGGCGGCGGCCCCAACCGTAAAAAAAAAGTGCCCCAACGGCAAAGCTTTGTTTTGTCACGAAGTTTTTTATAAAATTTACTGTGCAAAAATGCACAAAGAGGTGAGAATAGCTAAAAGAGGTGCAGAGGCGGTGGCAATAGTCAAAAGGTGGTGTTAGAATTCAATTTTGGAAGGTGGTGGAATAGCCAATAGGTGGTGAAAGGTCGAGAATAGCCAAGGAGGTGCCATGGTGGTGAGAATAACCATTTCTTTAAAAATCAATCAGAAAAATAAACTCTTTTGAATCGTTGTTCTTTCGAATTAACTATCTAACTAAGTAATGCTTCAGCCTAACAATGGTAAGCCTGTTTCGTTTTGCACTTAATTTAATTAGAGCCCTAACCTGAGTGCTAACATTAGTTCTAACCAAAGTAAAACCCGAATGCTGACCTTAGTTTTAACCATAGTCTTAACCTGAGTGCTCATGTTAGTGTTGTCGAAAGGCTTTCCGTGAGTGGAAGTGATAATTATAGATATTTTAGAATTTTTGCAAGCATGTTTTGGTAGGACAAACGGTCCTTGACTTTTCATTTTAAACAAAAAACAGTCTTGTAATGCTTCCATTGTCTGAAAGTGCAACATACGGAGTTATCCGGAAAAAGATTCATTTGTGACGGCCAAAATAAAACGCTATTCATGCTAGTCAGAATGGAACGATATAACAAAAACAGGTTAGAGTAGGTCAATGATTGCTTGCTTTTTTAAGTCTTTGAAAAACTGCCTTTATTTGAATAAATTTCGTGTTAGACTTGCGTTAGGCACAGGCAACGTCAATGGATTTTTGTGGCAGATTGGATAAACGCTGCCATTGAACGACGTTAAGTCCATCGAATGAAGTGTGTACAGCACCATCCAACCTCTCCAGGAGGATTAGATCAGCCGTGATGTTTAGGCTCACACTGCTGAGTGCTGACGCATCCGCGTGACTCATCAGCCGCTGGCACCACCTAAACATCACGGCTGATCTAATCCTCCTGGAGGGATTGGATGGGTGCTATTCACGCACTTCGGTTCATTTTATGGACTTAAGCCGTGCTCAGTGGCAGCGTTTACACATCCAATCTGCCACAAAATCCATTGACGTTGTTGCTTTTCAGTGCCTAAGCGCAAGTCCAAGCACGAAAATAATTAACATTATTTCAAATTAGAAATTTTAGTTTCTATCAAAAGGAGGGCTTAAAAGCAAAGCGCAAAACGTATCGACCCTGATAACAGATACCTGATTTTCTGTTATTATGGTTCCATTCTGACTAGCGTGTGGAACTTTTGTGAATTGTAAAGCTACCGCATATCGACATATGCCACGTATAAGAAGAAGAATAGAATGAGAATTTCTCGTTCGTGCTAAGTTTTATTTTGGCCAAATCACAAATGAATCTTTTTTCGGATAACGTTCCATATGTTACACTTTCAGACCAGCAACGGAAGCATTACAAACCTGTTTTTTGTTTAAAATGAAAAGTCAAGGACCGTTTTTGTCCTACCAAAACATGCTTACAAAGAATTCTAAAATATCTATAAATTATCACTTCCACTCACGGAAAGCCTTTCGACAGCACTAACATGAGCACTCAAGTTATACTATGGTTAAAACTAAGGTCAGCATTCGGGTTTTTACTTTGGTTAGAACTAATGTTAGCACTCGGGTTAAGGCTCTGGTTAAATTAAGTGCAAAACGAAACGGGCTTACCATTGTTAGGCTGAAGCATTACTTAGTTAGATAGTTAATTCGATAGAACAACGATTCAAAAAAGTTTATTTTTTATGATTGAATTTAAAAAAGGTAATGGCTATTCTCACCACCCTAGCACCTCCTTTGGCTGTTCTCACGACCTTTCACCACCTTTTGGCTATTCGCACCCACTTTTTAAAAAATATTTTTGCCACCACCTTTGGCTATTGTGACCACCTTTTTACACCTCCTATAGACTATTCCCATTTCCTTACATATTTTAATAATAATATTATGTTTATAAATGCCTACGGAGATCTTTCTTTTATAAAAATGATTGTAAAATCATATTTGTATAACGCTATGCGTTTAGCGCACGACCTTTAAAAGCCGGGCAAGTAAACCCGATAATACTTTGCCGGTATCAACAAATACTGTACTAGCAGGTACAAAATCATGAGATACAAGTCAGTTAAATATGACTGGATCCGCCACAAAGTGCATGACGATCAAAGAACTGGAAGAAAACCATTCCAGCATACCCGGCGAGCTGAATGCAATGCCGCTCTAACCGTAGCGGCACGGCTGAAAGAACACCGCCCCATCACACTAAGCAAAATATGCGGCATAACCATCCTCTACCAAGGATAGTTGGCAAAACGTGCTGGAAAATCGACGGTTGGATCCGAAAGAAGCTGTAGAAGTCCGTGAATTGATAGAATCGCGAGTGAATTTAAAAAAAGTGCGAGTGCGAGTGATAAAAAAGCTACTGAGTTTCCAATAAGGCCAATCGATCGACATTCTGTTTCGGGTATAGCAGCAAAAAATGGATACGACTGTAGCGTTTTCACCCATTGCTTTGCAGTTGAAATCGTTTACCAGGGTTTACCGGAAGAAGCCGAACTCTGCAATAAGAAGATGCGAGAACGTTTGGCAAACAGCTGCAGCACGGACAAGATGCGCTCAGATATTTTTCCGTCGGCGGCGGCCCCAACCGTAAAAAAAAAGTGCCCCAACGGCAAAGCTTTGTTTTTGTCACGAAGTTTTTATAAAATTTACTGTGTAAAAAATGCAATAAAGAGGTGAGAATAGCTAAAAGAGGTGTGCAGAGGCGGTGGCAATAGTCAAAAGGTGGTGTTAGAATTCCACTTGGAAGGTGGTGGAATAGCCAATAGGTGGTGAAAGGTCGTGAGAATAGCCAAAGGAGGTGCCATGGTGGTGAGAATAACCATTTCCTTTTAAAAATCAACTCAGAAAAATAAACTCTTTTGAATCGTTGTTCTTCGAATTAACTATCTAACTAAGTAATGCTTCAGCCTAACAATGGTAAGCCCGTTTCGTTTTGCACTTAATTTAATTAGACTCTAACCCGAGTGCTAACATTAGTTCTAAACCAAAGCAAAACCCGAATGCTGACCTTAGTTTTAACCATAGTCTTAACCTGAGTGCTCATGTTAGTGTTGTCGAAAGGCTTTCCGTGAGTGGAAGTGATAATTTATAGATATTTTAGAATTCTTTGCAAGCATGTTTTGGTAGGACAAAACGGTCCTTGACTTTTCATTTTAAACAAAAAACAGTCTTGTAATGCTTCCATTGTCTGAAAGTGTAACATACGGAAAGTTATCCGAAAAAAGATTCATTTGTGATTTGGCCAAAATAAAACGCCAGTTCCACACGCTAGTCAGAATGGAACCATTATAACAGAAAATCAGGTATCTGTTATCAGGGTCGATACGTTTTGCGCTTTGCTTTTTAAGCCCTTCTTTTGATAGAAACTAAAATTTCTAATTTGAAATAATGTTAATTATTTTCGTGCTTGGACTTGCGCTTAGGCACTGAAAAGCAACAACGTCCAATGGATTTTGTGGCAGATTGATGTAAACGCTGCCACTGAGCACGACGCTTAAGTCCATAAAATGAACCGAAGTGCGTGAATAGCACCCATCCAATCCCTCCAGGAGGATTAGATCAGCCGTGATGTTTAGGTGTTGGCACCGAGTACAAAAGCGCATTCAAACGGGCAAAAGAGAAAAGGCTCCGCAGCCGCACAACTGCATTCAAACTGCTGCTTTTGTTATCTGAACGTATTTGTGGATTCATTCTACGGAATCCGGGAGCCTTACGCCCTTACCCAAGTAATTTTAATTTAATTTTCATGTAGTGTAGTAGTAGTAGTAGCAATAAATATTTTCTGGTGTTCTTGTTTACCTGTGCGCGTGAATTTGTCTTGAAGAATTAGCCGTGATAACTATTTCCTGTCTGCTTTATTCCCGTTGGTTTGTGAAAGTTGCCAGCTGCCACTACAAGGTAGCAACTTTTATCTGGCTGTAACAGTTCATTTAAATACTAACAGCATTAACTCTACTTAAATAACTTTCGTTAAAGTACGTAATGGTTCCCCGACGCTTTTAATGCTACAGTGTGACAGTTTGAGAATTTTGATCATCCATGCACTTGCTTTTTTCTGTTTTTGCAAATGAAAGAATCCTCCGATTTCTGACGAACAGTTACAGTTCGCTTTGTACTATTGTACAGATAACTCTTTCTGCAGACCATCCTACTCATTACTCAACGACAATGTCGTCAGGAAACTTTACCAACGCCACATCTCAACAGCTGGTACGTATTAACCTTAACCATAAGAATTCTCTTGCCATCTATCAAGTTATCATTAACTGGAAGTTCAATAATTTACACACAATTTTTACCTACCTATGTGCTTGCACAGATCAGACCTGCCACGGACGCTGGGCCATGGTCGTTGGAGCATTTCATCCAGCTGCTGCATGCGTGTGGACACTTGCTGGCGCATTACGCAACCTGGGAACGTTTCTTCATTTTTATCCTGTGTGTCCTGGCGATAGAGTTTTGTCGACGCTTACGGTATGTCCATCACTGCACAATGTGCTGGGATGACCATAATCTAATATAACGTTTACAACTGCAAAATATGAAAATTTTAAATTGGACAGTAAAAAAAACTGCAAAATACTGGTACGCAGCAAAGCAGGATAACACAGTAACACTTCAATCTTATCACAGTATTTTAATGTTGAATATGGTTTTGTTTTATTCCTTTGATATTCAGTAAAAACTTGCACTTTGATGCTAATGTCACTGTCATGGATAAATTTTAAAATTATACGTAATTCAGTTAGTGTAATATGTCTATTTTACGGTGGTGGAATTTCTATGCTGCATTGCTATCAAGGACTAAGGAGTGTTTAGAATGTAATTATACGTTTAGGCACTAGCAAATTGGTGCAAAAACATGTCGAGCAACGTTGTTGGATATTTTCTGGAAACTTTTATTACCTTTATTAAGTTTATTTCCGTCCTTGTTCTTCGCGTAAAATATATTGTGAAATAGTCTTTGGATTGTTTACAATTGTTAGCTGCATGATAGTGCACAGTTTGATGGCGTTGTAGGAAATTTTCCGGCTTGAGTGACTACCACATCATGATGGCGAAAGAGATGGAGGCGATCAGCGGTATTCGTGAGGAAATTGAGGCAGGCCGCATCGCTGGAGCCAAGAAGATCCAGTACAACTTCAGCATCACTTGGACCCTGCCCAAAGCCAAACAGCCCACGGCCCAGCACTACGCCCATACCGGGAATCGTTCGGTGCATTTCTTGGACAGCAGCGCCAGTCTGTCGGAGAGCGATGTCAGCTTGAATCTCCCACCGGTCCCCTGCACTCCCGTTTCGCGCAAGAAATCCACCTTCTCCGTAGGCCGCATCCGCGACTCCATCGGGTTGGCGCGCCACCGTATGACCGGACCGAAAAAAAACCACTTGGACACTTAAACACGGATACGTTCGGCATTGCACCATTGTACGACGTCAGCAACGGGAAATGGGATGGAACTTGATTTCACCTTCTTTTAATTCTTATGAGGGTACTTCCATTAGTTCGGGTTTTCTTTGTCGATAGTTTGCTGAATGCCACCTTGTTTTTTCGAATCGGTTAGCTTTCTGTCGCACACGCATGCTGAAATGAAAGTGCAAATTACTGATAAATATATTTTGCGCTGAGCATGGATACGTAAATAGTGTTGGAAAATGGTTTTTAAGTGTGCCTGTTGTTGATTTTGTCAACTTGTTGCATTAGACTTTGTTGCAATAAAGTTCGAATCGGAAGGAAAGATCTTACAAATTACAATGAGGATAAACTGTGTGTGAGTGGTTGATTGCGTTTAGCCTGTTGATCGTTTCGTTAATCTTGATTTTGAACTACTCGTAAATTCGAAGCATCCTGTTCGGCAGTACTATTCAGTTTTTTTATTTAGTAGTATTCAGTTTTGATAATTATTTTGTGATCATACAAATGTTTGTGCAGTTTAATTAAACAAAAAGTACATTATGTTGACGGAACGCTGTAAAAAAATATAACTATGTACTTACAATTCTACAGTCTATTTTTCTACAGTCTATTTTACAGTCTATTTTTCCTCTAATTCTGAACTGCTGACCACATGTTCAGTCATAAGCTTGGCAAAAGAGATACTCAGTAGTTACGGCAGCTGCTACCGCAAGGGTTGGCATTTACCATCCTGTTGCTTCAGCTGGGAGCTCCTACCAGTCTAATGAATTTTTAGAGAGCACAATTTTATTTTTATGCTTTTCTTATTTTCTGCCTTTTCATTTTGATAAAGTTTCGATTCGAATGTTTGCTTTGGCAGTTTTGTTGCATTATCTTAGGTGGTTATTATGCGTTTTTGATCTCTAAACTTTGCAGTGCATGATATTACCATTTCCTGTAGGCTGTACTGATGATTTCCGTCTTCGCAGTGCATGCCAGAAACCAGCCTTGATAGTACTGTATCGAGAGCTGGAGGTGCCTCCTCATACTTCGCCTATCCCGCGCGCGGAAGACTGCTGCAACCTGCCACATCGCTGAATATTCCTCGCTGCCACAATGCCCCTGTCATCGACCGTAAAATCTGCATTGCGGACATCGCTTTTACTCAGGCGATCATTGCACACCACAACAACGCGGTATGCACTCTCCGCGCAGCATGAACAGTTGTGCACGCCAGCGCACTATGCAGTAGGGGAGTAGGCTGTTTATTTTTGCAGGCTGGGCAATCCCGTCTGGGTACCCGATGTGAAGTTTATAGCCAAATTCCAAGGCCCGGTTCTGGTGCCTGAAGATAAGCCTCTCGCCTTGGGAAAACATGATATCGTGTTCACCAACAGTAAGCCCATACAGGCAGCGCATCTATGCATTTGATGATGTTTTGTTGTGAATATTAATGGAACGGGCTGTTGCAGTGGCCACTCTTCCCGTGGAGAAGAAGGTGCGCAATATGGTGCTCAATTTCGGCCCGCAACATCCCGCAGCGCACGGTGTATTACGTTTGGTTTTGGAGTTAGACGGAGAGGTGGGTTAATCCTTTTGCGTTATGCATCGTATCAGCCTTAGCACAGTGTCTTTTTGCTGTCGTCCTGACATGCTGTACAGGAAATACACGATTTGCTGCCGTTATGCAAGGATTTTTAGACAGCGTGAATTTGTGGAAATTTGCATGGATATTTTTCTTGCAGACGGTGGTGCGGGCGGATCCCCATATCGGGCTGCTGCATCGCGCCACGGAGAAGTTAATCGAGTATAAAACCTACATGCAGGCTCTGCCGTACATGGACCGTCTGGATTACGTGTCCATGATGTGCAATGAGCAGTGCTTCTCGCTGGCTATTGAGAAATTATTAAATATTGAAATTCCCATCCGTGCAAAATGGATCAGAGGTGAGTTTTCTTTATCTAGCCGCCATTTATCTAGCCGCCATACACGAATGTAATGTTTTGTTACATACTGTAATAGATGTTGTAACGTACGTTACTGTAAGTGTAAAAATGTGCCTCGTTTTTCTGCAGTTTTATTTGGAGAACTTACTCGTATTTTAAATCACATTATGGGCGTGACGACGCATGCCCTGGACGTCGGAGCAATGACGCCATTTTTCTGGCTGTTTGAGGAACGCGAAAAGGTACTAACTGTCATTTTGCAGTTCGTTTGCAGTTTGTCATCTGCAAGTCGATCGTATTAAAAGAACAGGAAAGGAAAAGAATTTCAAAGCAGTTTTGTTGTAATAGAATAAGTATGAGTAGTTTCCTTACGAGTACTGTAACATGCGGATAAACTGAAGCGAGAACGGCACTACTACATGTTTGCACCGTTTTAGTTGTGCGAATTTTATGAACGAGTTTCGGGTGCACGAATGCACGCGAACTATGTTCGTCCCGGTGGAGTGCAGTACGATTTGCCGTTGGGATTAATGGATGACATCTACGACTGGGCTATTAAATATAACCAGCGTCTGGATGAATTGGAAGACGTGCTCACCGGCAATCGTATCTGGAAAGCCCGAACTGTCGGCATTGGAACGGTGTCGGCGGAGGATGCGCTTGCTTATGGGATGAGGTACATGATATACATCATCATCATAATTAACGAGATGTACCGTATATCTCGTTAATTTTGATGTTCTGTTAGCAATGTATGATTCAGTTTCTTTAGATTTAGGCTTTTAAAATGAGAAAGGATGACAATGTTGTAAAGCGTCGGTATAATTTTGCAGCTTAATTTAAGTCATACGTTCACATTCCATGAAACCATACTGTTTCATTTCCCTGTTAAATACTCGCAAGAATTAAGCTGACATGGAAACTTGTAAATTGGTTCTTAAAGTGGTGTGATGCTACGGGGATCCGGCATCAAATGGGATCTGCGCAAAGTGCAGCCGTACGATGCCTACGATCAAGTGGAATTCGATGTGCCCATCGGTTCACACGGGGATTGCTACGATCGCTACCTGGTGCGCGTGGAGGAAATGCGCCAGTCGCTGCGGATCATCCATCAGTGCCTGAATAAAATGCCACCTGGTGAGATCAAAGTGGACGATAACAAGGTGGTGCCTCCCTCCCGAAAGGAAATGAAGGTACGCTTACGACCATGTGTACGGTGTATGGTGGTATCTTGCAGAATGGATAAATTAGTGCACAATTAATTTTATGAAGTAGAAAGGCTTACAACTGAAATAATTATTCAGATGCGTAACGTAAGTGGTAATATTTGGCAGCGTGTTACAATAGTATGTGGATGTTCGGGCAGCACGTATCGAGGCCGACAAGTTCTTTCTCATGAGCTTGTTCGGTCAAAACAGTGCTAAGAGAATTCCATTTTGGGGAGGCTTTCACTTGGTCACCGAATGTGATCTTCTCAATGCATGTCGGTATTACCCAGTGAAAGTACAGTACATCTGCTCTGCATGGTGCACACTGCACACTGTTGGAGGGATCATTAAGAGACAGCAGTTTAATTGTTTTGAGGTTTTTCGGTTGATGGTGTGCGTTCATGTGTGTGCTTAATTTCTGTGAATTTCTGTAAATACTGAAGGTCTTCAAATGATTTAATTTTCGTTAAGCACAAGTATTCCGCAAGTACTGTAATTTTACAGAACAGCGCCAGTATGGTTTTCACACGTTGTATTCTTGTATGTGAGCGTGGAGATATTTATATCTTGATAGCAACGTTCACTGGAAATAATCTGCTGTGGTTTGCAGGAATCGATGGAGGCGTTAATCCACCATTTCAAGCTGTACACCGAAGGTGTACAAGTCCCGCCCGGCTTCACCTACACCGCCGTGGAGGCGCCCAAAGGGGAGTTCGGGATCTACCTGGTGTCGGACGGCACGAGCCGACCGTATCGCTGCAAGATCAAGGCGCCCGGCTTCGCGCATCTCGCGGCCATCGACCACATCGGCAAGCAGCACATGCTGGCCGACATTGTGGCCATCATCGGGACACTGGATATCGTCTTCGGGGAAGTGGATCGATAAATGCGTCAAACCAGACTGTGTACAGGTTTAATGTTATGTAGTGTCAGTGCGTGTGTTGTACTCTGATAGTGTGTTTTCACCTGTGTCGTTTAGATGATGGAAATGCTACTGTGGGGGAGATACCTTTTACTAATGTGACTGTTATTGTGGCTTAAATTGGTTGTAAGCATTCTTTAACGGCTTAATTTGAGCGCTTATCAAAAGAACGGTGCGTTTCTTGAAGTTTTGCTGTTTTTGAAGTTTCTTCACTTCCGCTTTGTACGCTTTAAGGAAATGGTAAGTGTTTGGTTGCCCTCACAACGGCAATAGTTATGCGCATTCTCATCGGGCCTTCACGATGGGCCAGTGGCCGGGCCACTAACGATTACGCAAGAAGTGGTACTAACTACTAACGAGTAGAGTCGACTTGGTAGCATAGAAGTATTCATCAAAAACTGAGACTTTTATCACAACAGGATGAATCATTGAAATTTATACTCTAGAGTCTATATAGAGTAGTATTTTAATGATTTTGCCATGCATTGATTGCATTTACAGTACACTGCACAGTGCGCATTCACTAGTGAATGCCGCCGCCTTATAGCCGCCTGGTATAGCCGCCTTGCAGTAGGCCGTAGTCGTACAGCAATATTACTGTGTGACTGTAGGTGAGGTCCGTGAGGGCAATGTGAATGTATTAATTGTAAATAATACCAGACTACTAGCACAAGTACATGAGGTATACTACTAGTAGTCACGTACTGTACAAAACAGTGGCGAAAAATATTTTCCTTTCGTGTTTTGTTGTTTTGCTAAGAATTTCGTATTAAAGATGACTGAGTTGGAGTTGGATAGTGAGATGATTCGACTAACTGTAAAATGACTCCTGCATGACAGCATAACGTTTGCCATACAAGTGCATAATATCTATATAATATTATTATGTTTCCATGGTATTGATAATTGATGTATTGATTTGAAAACTAGAAATAAGCGTATAGGAGTACTAGAGTCAGCAGATTCATCTTGCGAATTCAGTTTAATGGACGACATTCGGCTTAAGTGTTTTGGAAGTCCTGCCGCCGAGTGTCGACGATTGTGCCAAAGTGTGGCATGTGGCAACACTGTAATCATTAAGGTTCCACAGACGGACGAAACGTGGTGCTTGGGATTCATAGAAGACATCGCGGGCGATGAGCTGTACATCAGCTTCCATTGCACAAGAGTGGCTGCCAGATGGTTTCCATCCCACTTGGTTTTTCCCCACATCGTCTATTCTTATCCCCTAAGGGAAAAAAATCTTCTGGTCGCTCTTCGTACCAGCAAAAAGGATCCCTTCGTGTTAAGAGCAGCTGTAGTGCTGTCATGGGTCGGTGGCGGCGGATTGCTCTGTTACGTGGAAACCATTATTGGCTGCACCAGACATTTGGTGCATCATTTACAAATAGTTAAACAGTTGCCGCAAAGAGCTCTGCACGGTGCTACCAGACGCACGGGACTTTATACAAGATACTCCGTGAAGTTACCTGCGGCTGCCCCTGTTAGTATTGCCCCAATTAACTACAGCATTGATGAAAACCGCATACATTACGAAATACAACGTTCGCGCCACGATTTGCAGCACGGTACTGCCGGCAGATACAGCATTCAATTGAGAGGTTGGAACAGATTTTACTTCCATGTGGATAAGGATAATGTAACCATTATATGCTGGGAGTTCGGCGATTGCTTTTGGACCCAACAACTCCTCTCCCTCAGTGTCCACAGGTGTTTAGAAAGCGACGCGTTGCGGATGGACTGGCAGTGGCCAATGCTGTCGAAAAATGGAATGACACACCTGCTCGAATGTATGCATAAGAAACAGCCGTACTTTTCGATTGTTTTATCCGGCTGATTATTTTGAAATTGAAATTAAAAATTTTAAAATTAGTAATCACTTCTGGCATTCAAAAATGTACGGTAACTTCGTGTCGATGTAGTTCATACATACATCCCACATTTATATCCCAATTTCCGTGCACAATGCGTCAGTACAGTATAGTAAAAAGTACCCTATCTGCATCGAGCACAGCGAGATGCCGCAATACTTCTAGTGCAATTTACTAAATTTAGCCTAAATTTAATAACATAGATATGATTTTATTTTGTCTGTCGCCTCAAACGGCTCAAAGCGCGCCAATTAACACGCATCACGGTTTGTACTTTCTTGTACTTGTAGGCTGTTACCAGGCACCGGACTTCCTGTGTATACCCTTGGAAGTTATTGCTCTGGTCTTTGAGTATATGGATATCATCACCCAGACAAGGCTTGAAAGGTACTCGAATGTTTATACATGTAGATGGATGTCTATCGAACTCTATCCTCCTGGATTTAATCTTCGGCATTCCGTTCTCGACGGAAAGGTTTTTACTTGTCACTCCTCTAGAGAACGCCATGTGCAACGTGTTTTTTGGTAACTTTTGGCAGTATGCATGTTACGCTTCATCAAGCACTTACTATAGTGTGAGGAGGACTGGTAACCTACCGTTCTCTCGTTCTTTATTGGGCAAAAGCCATCAATACAATAAAAAGTGCATACGCAGAATACTACGCAAAATGATTCACATTTAAACATTAAAAAAACAACCAAAATCGTTAGCGCTGTCAGTCATTTTAGAACGCATACCCAACGTGCCCAAAACAGCGGCAGCATTTCCTTTACAACAGCTAGGCTAAATCTCTGCTTTAAAATGCGGTAGAGCGTGGCTCTGTCGCGTCGCGAATCCTTCTGCCGACGAAACGAATAAGCTCCGAAAATGCCGGGCCAAAAGTTCCAAAGGTCTCGACCGCAAGGGGATAAAGAAGATATCCCATTCTTTCCACAAAGGCGTATTTACGACGTTTACTGTCTTCGGCCAAGAGCGCAACGCTGCCGGATGCACTCGCGCTTGCCCGCACATGCGATAAGGCTACTGTGTCCCAACATGTAGCGTCCCAAACTAGCGCTTTGCCGTCACGTACAGGACGAGAGTCATGCCGTCTGGTCGTGTATTGTTTATACCGGACAGTCCCAGTGGCTCGCTTTGGCATGGATACCAGCATGTTCCAAAGCCCGCTTTGTTATATCGTTGAGTTCCACATGTCTAGACCATCTTCCTCGGCTGCTGGAACAGGATAGGCCGTGGTGACCATTTGTTTCCACATGGCTTCCGCAGTTCACACAGTCGTGTTCTTCTACAGCTGGAAGTCCAAACCGAAGTGCGATGCCAATACGCACTTCTTCATCCCGCAAGAATGTGCGCAAATTAGGTGCAGGCAAAGCATTTAGCCATGCGCCCGAATCACGGTGTAGCGCAGCTAACAGTACGGCTCTGTTTGCTTCGTCGGTGGTCGTCCGCTTCATTAACAGCACTGCTTGGTCAATCAACGGTCGATCCCATGCGGATTGGAACTTTCTCTGATCCATAGCGGAAGGTTCACAGTTTGTCTCTTCTGACCATCGCAGCACAAGTGGATCAAGTAGTGTCGCTGCTGCAGGGTGGTAGATCATGGAAACTAAGGGAGTAACCGAATACGCCGATGCCAGAAAGGCAGGAAAAACTAGCGCTGTCGTACTCCGTAGCCCCATACCCCCATCCCTGATAGGAAGCGACATCTGGCTCCACTGTGCATCGTTCAAGCGGATGTTAAGGATGGACTGCAAACCGGCACGGACAATGTCGTCCATGGATGTCGTCAACGCCACGTGCTCATAACATCTGCTTGTGCGGAAACCGTAGAGCAGTTTCGGAATCAGTAAACAATTTCGCAGGAGGTACAAGCTGTAATGTGCTGGTATCAATTTGAGTCGCGATATGAAATACTCCAGCTGCAAGGATTTACTGCGTAGGAAAGTCTCGCACGCCGCTGTCGTTAAAGGAGCTCCAAGGAGAGTAAATTCTTCTTCCCTGGAAACGGCCATTTCAGGAAAAGCATTGAGCACCATTTGTACAGCATGTAAACGGTCCGCAGTGAATTTTCCCACGCTGTAAACTTCGCATTTGCTGAGATTAAGCTCTAGTCCCATTCTGAAACCGCGTGCAATGATAAGTCGTATTGCTGCTATAACTTTTTCCGCGAAACCAGCTAAAGTGACATCATCAAGGTAGCCAACTGCTATATCACACTCCAAGTCTTCAAAGAGTGGTAGTGTTGCAAGGCCATAACCAAACGGACCAGCGGGATCGCCTTGTTGCACACCAGTTTCTGAAGACAGCAGGGACGTACCGCAAGCCAGGTGTGACGTATACCGATAGGACTGCCAGAAGTACCGAAAGTACGCAGGGAACTTGTCACGTACAGCAGTCAATAAAACGTCCCGGCGCAATGTATTGAAGGCATTTCTGAAATCGAGCTTTACAATAACGCGCGCGTCCGCATGTGTCGTTTCCACGTAGCTCCGAACAGCATGCGCGGCCGCTTCAGCGCCCCCTCTTACGCCGACGCCGAGTTGCACGGGGGAAAACATTGCGGCTGCTTCTTCAGCGCACCTGTTGCTAACAATCTTGGAAACCAATCGCCGTATCGTGTCCCCTACGGCGATTGGTCTCACTCCTCCATCTTTTTTTCCCAGTGGAATTAAATTAGCGCCGAAAAAATACGGCCTAATATCTTCAGGTATATCCGTCTTGAGAATCATATTTGTCAGATCAGTGAGTGCGAGGCAAAGATCGCTTTGTTGATCGTCCTTGCGATTTAGGAGGTCCTTCAAATGTTGCGGGCGATGGCCAAAAACTCCTGCTGCTGAGCCAGTGGGAAAACTAAAAACGGCAGTCATTACCTCGGCAGGAGAAACAAGTGGTGGTAAGAAGGAGTCATCAGGTGCTGGAGGGAATTGGCAGTCGTTGGGTGCTGGCGGGTGCTTATCTCGTAGTACTTCAATCGTTTCAGCATTGATCTCGGCCAGTTTTTCATCTTCCAGCAGTATCCTAATAGCTCCTTTAATATTAGCATCTTGGAACATGGAGTTTACCGAAGCACGTAGGCTATCTTGTGCGGAAGTATTATTTCTGGCTTGCTCGCGACGGGGCAGAGTATGGCGGTTTGCAAGGGACAGATCTGCCAGGTTCTTTCTAATTACGGAGGTGAGAGATTCCTGCGAAGAGTTTTGGTAGGTGGCAGCGATAAAGCGGTCGGTGCAAACAACAGCAGTGCGGTCCAGGTAGCAGATGAATTCTTGCGCACGCAGTTCTGATCAGATCAGTCAGCACTTGAGCACATTGGCGACGCACCGCTTTAGGCATTCGTTTTGGAATGTGGTATCGGTCGCCTTCCAAGAAGGAACGTAAGGGGTGCTTCTGAGTCCCTCCGGGCGTAGGTAATGGAGGCTGGGCAGAGCAGGAACCCGTCGCGTGCTTGCGCGAACATATCTTCAGATGAGCGGCGAATCCAGCTCCCTGCGTGAAACACTTTTTGCAGTGCGGGCAAGGCTGATCACGAGCCATAAATACTGAGAAAATGGAGAAAGACCAACCTAATGCGTCCTCGGGAAGGCCGGATGCCCAGAAGAATCAGGCCGCCGCGAGCAGCTTCCCATTCCGTGGCACTTTCCCCTTCCGTGGTACAGTGCCACGGTTAGATTCTCCGAAGCCACCCTCGCAGTCAGTAGGAGAAACTCCCTATCGACGCGCTGGGAAATTTAGCGCAAAATATCCATTCAGATTAGAACTACTTGAGTCGTTCCCTTTTCTTATTTGCCTACCGTTTGACGTCATCACTCTCGCATACACGGGAGGGCGGCTGCCATGGACAGATGCGCGTTTTTTACGGTTTTTGTCAGTTTTCTCAGCATATTTCTTTTCTCTTCTATTTCTAGCCCCTCATATTTGGGTTTCTAAATTCAATATGATCTGTTAAAATATCGGAAAGCTTTAGAGGAGAAAGGAACTGAGAATATCTTTAAAAAGGGACAATAAAATCTGTGGGCCTATGGTAAGCAATAGCACACCAGTGCATTCTGTATGCGACAGTGATGACGTAGTGGACCGTTGCAGAGTCGCTTCCCAGTCCTCCACCTATAGTAAGTTCTTGATACTGCATATACGGGATTTTGATGGCCTTAGGGCAGTGTTATCTCTGAAATAAGATACTGGTGAGTGGTGACCTCACAAGTAAACAGTACGTTATTTCTTTTGAATTTAGGAAACCGATGGCCAATTAACGGCGTAGGTTATTTCAACTTCTACCGGTGTTACTGACCTTCTGGCTGCATCATAGCATGTAAGGAAGACGTTCGACTTCCGGGTGTTTCCACCGGTTGCAAACGCAGCTGGCTACGTATAACTTCTACAATGCGCCTGCGCAACTAGGAAGTTTAAGTAGTCTGTAGTACTACTCATATAGATTACGTCGTATCCAATTTTGCTGCTTCAACGGTTCAACGTCGTATACAACGTTTTACATGGCTGTTTTCTCCGGCATATTGTAAGTTCTGCTCCTAGAAGTTTGAAACCAAGACTTTGTAGCCGAATCAGCATGGCCTGAAGTCAGTGCAGAATCTGCATATGAGCTTTATCCGATTTTCTTTATATTAACGGCTAATAACAGTAAGTAATCAAAAAGCTACAACGAAAACACTTCCATTATGTTTTCTGTGTCCGGCAAAGTGCCCATAACACAAAGTGCCTTCCCTCTTTGAATCTGAATTGACAAGCGTTGCGGGAAAAACTTTAGAACGTGGCTGACCGGTAGTCCGAGCCATCCCGCGTCCGATACGGTCCACAAAGCTTTTTGCGCCTTCGCCCATTGGGCCGTATATCTCGAACGCAGCCGGAACAAAATTGTACCTCGGGGTCGGCCAGGCGTGCTTGATGCGCTTAGCTTTTTCTGCACTTTCGACAGCGGAAACGGCGGTGCGGTCGATGTAGGTTGCAGCCAGTGTGTCGATGCGCGTAACGTCGATGGCGAGCGGCTTTCCATGATCCCAGGGTATCAAAGAAGGCACCGTGCCATGACATCTCAGCCGGCCCGCCGTTTTGTTGCGTTATAGTGGCCACGATACGCGTACCCAAGTATGTACTTACTATAGTCTGAGAGTATACACCTATATATAGAAAGTTCTTGGCGTACCTTATTTTTGACCCTTCGACACCATAAAAAATCGGTCACCTTCGACATAAAAACAATTTGACACTTTTTTTTGCTTTTAGATCAGATAACCACATACTCTGTAGGTACACGAATAATCTGGCAGTAATTAAATAAATATTTTTTTTTGTTAATCGTTTTCTAGTGGATCGTTTTGGCTTTAATTTTTCAAAATGTTAATACGAGTATTTTGCGTACAGCGTTTGCGCAGGCGCATAGTATAATACTTTTATACGAATAATTTTTTTCGAATAATTAACAAATATCGAATTTTTGAAAACTTTAATTTAAGAAATGGATGGATGGATCATCGCACGCGCTCTCCGCGCGCACGCGATTTACGTCGGCGCTCGACATGAGGAAAAACCTTCGGTTATTCCAATCCCGTAAATTACAAATGTTAAAGTACGTACAAAATCACGCTGTGGTTGTGTGGTGTGCGAGTGTGGTAGTACCGGTGTTTGCACTTTAACACTTTGACACTCATTTAATTTTTGTTTGGCCACGTCTAATAAATCGTGGCACATGCACATTAATTATTTTTTTGTTACATCGGTACTGTAATATTCTGCAAAAAAAACCCTAATTTTTTTAAATTTGTAAGTACGAGTATGCGTGGAATTAATGGGATCTGATAAACTGGAACATAATGTTCAAGACAATGTAGAATTTATTTCTAGTATTATTTTTATAAGCATTTTCGGATAGCCGTGTATACCAAAATACGAGTACTTATAATTCATTTGTGCTCGGGTTGTATTAGTAGACTTTTCCGGTTTCAGAGTAAATCCATTGTGGACGGATATGCTGGCAGCCTCTCGCAAAGCGGCTATCGTTATTGATTTCGGCATGCGACTGGAGACTGTGTACCGAAGCAACGAAGCGTTCCGCTTGGGCATAATGTTATACCATGCTTTAAAAACGCATGTGCATACACTAGTGATGACGAAGTGGACGCCTGGCCTGAATGTGTATGGACACCACCAAAGCAGCGCGGAAAGCGACATTGCGGTCCTATGCGAATTACTGCGCATAAAGGGCACAAAGAAACTCCGTCGTATCGTAATGCACAAATGCGTGGTAGACTACGAATTCGACTTGTTTCGGCAATGTTTGCTGCGCTGTTTGTCACCATTGATGGACATGTGTGGACACCTTATCCTAATCGATTACGTCATGGACGACGCTCTGTGGCCCTTTGCAATAAACAGGCCATGCCATAATAACAAAGCTCTCTTACTAAGACGTCAACCCCCCTTAAAGCTGGAATTAGTCGTAGCATATTTGCGCTTAGACTGCTCGCAACATTCTGCTGCGACATATAATGAGATATTGTCAACTATTTTACAAGCGCTACCGGAACCATCCGTTGGTGTACGCACTACTGTGGCTTCGATGCTAACTTACTGGCATTCACTCGACTTGGAAGCGAGAGCTGGCTACTGGAAACACCTCCGGGAAGTGCTTCAGTTGTGAGTTTTGGCGGTAGATAATGGTAATGTCCTCGATAATGTACGTTTTGCCTCTGCGTGCGACAGGTACTTACTACTTACTGTTAGATTTTTACAAATATCTGTACTTATGGTTAGTGTTATACTTCTATCTTAAGTCGAGGGACTAGAGTTCAACTGCAAGGACTATAACACATTAACACTTTAGGTGTCCAGTGTGGTTACCGGTGATTTTAGCCGTTTTAATTTCGGTCAAAATTCGCCGTTCACTTCGAACGTCATTCACTTCGGTCAAGCTACATATCGGCCGACACACTCGCGCTTGCACACCAACTCACTCGCAGCTCACATAGTACACTCATCGAAATTGCGAACAAATTAAAACTGCTGATAATGTAGATCTTTTGACACCACAAGAAGTCCTGCTTTAATACGGTACAGTTTGCACTGTATTCATCTGTATTCATTATGCTTAATTAAATTTTTATCTAACAGCCTTAGAACCTTTCCAGCGGCTGTGGACAAATCGGATGTTCGTAGGCATGTGCATAAGAAAACACAGAAAAGCGTACACGTACATACATAAGAAAGAAAGAAGGCCTAACAAAACAAGAAAAAATAAAAAAATATATGGAAGTTTGATTATACACAACTACAAGCAAACGCAAGAAAACATAAGGAAACACAAGAACGCGTTAAAAAACACAAGAAAATATAATAAAATACACAACCACCTAAGAAAACTTACGAAGATTTAAAAAAGCTCAACAAAAGCTGTCGCACAAATAAAAAGGCCGAAACGAGCGGCGGCCCAGTCGAATGCTGGCCGAAGTGAGCATCGGCTGAATATAAAGCAGCCGAAATGGTCGGATGCGGTCCAGACCTACTTTTAATCTTGGATAGTACGTGTAATTATAGTAACGCTATACTGCACCATGGCTTTTTCGTACGAGTAGTTTACGTTTTTTTGATTTTACAAATAATTAGTACTTAAGTAGTTCGTTATTATTATTTATCTTGCAGCACTCAACCTCTGGACTCGGCTAAGCCAGCCATATTGCAGTGGGTAGATGTTCAGTTTACCTCAGCGTCAATGCCGTATTTTACAAAATTAACGCTTATTGGGCTGCACTCAATGTGGTATGTCAGGGGATCGGAATTGCGTCAGGTCATCTGACAAAGCGATCATAGTAGTCTTTTAAACTCTGTCCATGACGATGCTGGCGACCGAGAACCGAATGTGATTTCCGTTTCCTTATCAAGACAACTAGAGTAGCCTGACAAATCACGATGTGGTTATCTTGAGCCCACTGAACCGTTGATGACTGGCTGTTCCAGAAGTTACACGAACCTTGACGTCCACAAAGCCTTAACCTTAATCACGCTACTTAACGGAAGGAATAGAATAATAATGGTTTTGGTTTTGGTTTGGGTTTATTGTTTTAACGTCCCTAGATACAGGGAAATGAAGGAGTTACCTTTATCGGAATCTACAGACAGCCAATGCAAAAGAAAATTAAAAAACAAGATTAAAACATTGGTTATTAAAACATTAAAACTCGAAGTCGACAAGAACTGGTTAAAATTACATTATTACTGGGTGATAATTTTGCTGCATCTTTTATAACTTCATGCTAGGCTTCGGTTATGCCGTGCTGCCTAACGCCAGAGCACTTTTCTAGTTAATTAACTACATCCGTAACAGCCATGACGGCCTTTGCTAAGAAAATTATGTTTGGGCGAACGGGTAAGCCGATTTTGACGCGGTAAAGTGCGCCAGAAACGTCGCAACGAAGCGGGTGATGTTGCGCTATTGCCGACCCGATGCGCCTCAAGGGGGGAGCACGACCCTCAAAAAACAAATTGTTGCCATGGGCCTGCAAGTCTCGGCTTCCGACCTCGCTCCAAACCGGTTAACATAAAGTATAGGCACGCGAGCATCATTTGCACGGCAGATCGGCCCTCTCCACTGTAGGTACAAAGTGGGCCAAGTCTTAAAACTTTTAAAACTTTAAAACCTTTAAAACCTTTAAAACTTTCAAAACTTTCAAAACTGTCAAAACTTTTAAAACTTTAAAACTTTTAAAACTTTTAAAACTTTCAAAACTTTTAAAAATAAAATTAACAATATATAGTTTTGACAGTGATTTTTCGAAAAGTGGTTTTAAGGTTTTAGCAGTTTTTAAAAATAAAATAAATAATATATAGTTTTGACAGTGATTTTTCAAAAAGCGGTTTTAAGGTTTCAGCAGTTTTTAAAAATAAAAATAATAATATATAGTTTTGACAGTGATTTTTCGGAAAGCGGTTTTAAGGTTTTAGCAGTTTTAAAAAATAAAAATAATAATATATAGTTTTGTATGATTTTTCAAAAAGCGGTTTTAAGGTTTTAGCAGTTTTAAAAAATAAAAATAATAATATAGTTTTGACAGTGATTTTTCGGAAAGCGGTTTTAAGGTTTTAGCAGTTTTAAAAAATAAAAATAATAATATATAGTTTTGCCAGTGATTTTTGGAAAAACGGTTTTAAGGTTTTAGCAGTTTTTAAAAAATAAATAATATATAGTTTTGACAGTGATTTTTGAAAAAAGCGGTTTTAAGGTTTTAGCAGTTTTTAAAAAATAAAATTAATAATATATAGTTTTGACAGTGATTTTTTTGAAAAGCGGTTTAAAGGTTTTAGCAGTTTTAAACATAAAACTATTATTAAATAGTTTTGACAGTGATTTGTCGAGAAGTGGTTTTAAGGTTTTAGCAGTTTTTAAAATTAAAAATAATAATATATAGTTTTGATAGTGATTTTGAAAAAAGCGGTTTTAAGGTTTTAGCAGTTTTAAAAATAAAACTATTAATATATAGTTTGACAGTGATTTTTCAAAACGCGGTTTTAAGGTTTTAGCAGTTTTTAAAAATAAAATTAATAATATATAGTTTCGACAGTGATTTTTGAAAAAGCGGTTTCAAGGTTTTAGCAGTTTTTAAAAATAAAATTAATAATATATAGTTTTGACAGTGATTTTTGAAAAAGCGGTTTTAAGGTTTTAGCAGTTTTTAAAAATAAAAATAATAATATATAGTTTTGACAGTGATTTTTCGGAAAGCGGTTTTAAGGAAATTTTAAAAAATAAAAATAATAATATATAGTTTTGCCAGTGATTTTTCAAAAAGCGGTTTTAAGGTTTTAGCAGTTTTAAAAAATAAAAATAATAATATATAGTTTTGACAGTGATTCTTCAAAAAGCGGTTTTAAGGTTTTAGCAGTTTTTAAAAATAAAACTATTAATATATAGTTTTGAAAGTGATTTTTCAAAAAGCGGTTTTAAGGTTTTAGCAGTTTTTAAAAATAAAAAATAATAATATAGTTTACAGTGATTTTTCAAAAGCGGTTTTAAGGTTTTAGCAGTTTTAAAAAAATAAAAATAATAATATATAGTTTTGACAGTGATTTTTCGGAAAAGCGGTTTTAAGGTTTTAGCAGTTTTAAAAATAAAAAATAATATATAGTTTTGCCAGTGATTTTTTGAAAAAAGCGGTTTTAAGGTTTTAGCAGTTTTTAAAAATAAATAATATATAGTTTTGACAGTGATTTTTGAAAAAGCGGTTTTAAGGTTTTAGCAGTTTTTAAAAATAAAATTAATAATATATAGTTTTGACAGTGATTTTTGAAAAAGCGGTTTAAAGGTTTTAGCAGTTTTAAACATAAAACTAAATAGTTTTTGACAGTGATTTGTCGAGAAGTGGTTTTAAGGTTTTAGCAGTTTTTAAAATTAAAAATAATAATATATAGTTTTGATAGTGATTTTTGAAAAAGCGGTTTTAAGGTTTTAGCAGTTTTAAAAAATAAAACTATTAATATATAGTTTTGACAGTGATTTTTCAAAACGCGGTTTTAAGGTTTTAGCAGTTTTTAAAAATAAAATTAATAATATATAGTTTCGACAGTGATTTTTGAAAAAGCGGTTTCAAGGTTTTAGCAGTTTTTAAAAATAAAATTAATAATATATAGTTTTGACAGTGATTTTTGAAAAAGCGGTTTTAAGGTTTTAGCAGTTTTTAAAAAATAAAAATAATAATATAGTTTGACAGTGATTTTCGGAAAGCGGTTTTAAGGAAATTTTAAAAAAATAAAAATAATAATATATAGTTTTTGCCAGTGATTTTCAAAAAGCGGTTTTAAGGTTTTAGCAGTTTTAAAAAATAAAAATAATAATATATAGTTTTGACAGTGATTCTTCAAAAAGCGGTTTTAAGGTTTTAGCAGTTTTTAAAAATAAAACTATTAATATATAGTTTTGAAAGTGATTTTTCAAAAAGCGGTTTTAAGGTTTTAGCAGTTTTTAAAAATAAAAAATAATAATATATAGTTTTGACAGTGATTTTTGAAAAAGCGGTTTTAAGGTTTTAGCAGTTTTTAAAAATAAATAATATATAGTTTTGACAGTGATTTTTGAAAAAGCGGTTTTAAGGTTTTAGCAGTTTTTAAAAATAAAATTAATAATATATAGTTTTGACAGTGATTTTTGAAAAAGCGGTTTAAAGGTTTTAGCAGTTTTTAAACATAAAACTATTATTAAATAGTTTTGACAGTGATTTGTCGAGAAGTGGTTTTAAGGTTTTAGCAGTTTTTAAAATTAAAAATAATAATATATAGTTTTGATAGTGATTTTTGAAAAAGCGGTTTTAAGGTTTTAGCAGTTTTAAAAAATAAAACTATTAATATATAGTTTTGACAGTGATTTTTCAAAACGCGGTTTTAAGGTTTTAGCAGTTTTTAAAAATAAAATTAATAATATATAGTTTCGACAGTGATTTTTGAAAAAGCGGTTTCAAGGTTTTAGCAGTTTTTAAAAATAAAATTAATAATATATAGTTTTGACAGTGATTTTTGAAAAAGCGGTTTTAAGGTTTTAGCAGTTTTTAAAAATAAAAATAATAATATATAGTTTTGACAGTGATTTTTCGGAAAGCGGTTTTAAGGAAATTTTAAAAAATAAAAATAATAATATATAGTTTTGCCAGTGATTTTTCAAAAAGCGGTTTTAAGGTTTTAGCAGTTTTAAAAAAATAAAAATAATAATATATAGTTTTGACAGTGATTCTTCAAAAAGCGGTTTTAAGGTTTAGCAGTTTTTAAAATAAAACTATTAATATATAGTTTTGAAAGTGATTTTTCAAAAAGCGGTTTTAAGGTTTTAGCAGTTTTTAAAAATAAAAAATAATAATATATAGTTTTGCCAGTGATTTTTCAAAAAGCGGTTTTAAGGTTTTAGCAGTTTTAAAAAATAAAAATAATAATATATAGTTTTGACAGTGATTTTTCGGAAAGCGGTTTTAAGGTTTTAGCAGTTTTAAAAATAAAAATAATAATATATAGTTTTACAGTGATTTTGAAAAGCGGTTTTAAGGTTTTAGCAGTTTTTAAAAATAAATAATATATAGTTTTGACAGTGATTTTTGAAAAAGCGGTTTTAAGGTTTTAGCAGTTTTTAAAAATAAAATTAATAATATATAGTTTGACAGTGATTTTTGGAAAAGCGGTTTAAAGGTTTTAGCAGTTTTAAACATAAAACTATTATTAAATAGTTTTGACAGTGATTTGTCGAGAAGTGGTTTTAAGGTTTTAGCAGTTTTTAAAATTAAAATAATAATATATAGTTTTGATAGTGATTTTTTTGAAAAGCGGTTTTAAGGTTTTAGCAGTTTTAAAAATAAAACTATTAATATATAGTTTTGACAGTGATTTTTTCAAAACGCGGTTTTAAGGTTTTAGCAGTTTTAAAAATAAAATTAATAATATATAGTTTCGACAGTGATTTTTGAAAAAGCGGTTTCAAGGTTTTAGCAGTTTTTAAAAATAAAATTAATAATATATAGTTTTGACAGTGATTTTGAAAAAGCGGTTTAAGGTTTTAGCAGTTTTTAAAAAATAAAAATAATAATATATAGTTTTGACAGTGATTTTCGGAAAGCGGTTTTAAGGAAATTTTAAAAATAAAAATAATAATATATAGTTTTGCCAGTGATTTTCAAAAGCGGTTTTAAGGTTTTAGCAGTTTTAAAAAATAAAAATAATAATATATAGTTTTGACAGTGATTCTTCAAAAAGCGGTTTTAAGGTTTTAGCAGTTTTAAAATAAAACTATTAATATATAGTTTTGAAAGTGATTTTCAAAGCGGTTTTAGGTTTTAGCAGTTTTTAAAAATAAAAATAATAATATATAGTTTTGACAGTGATTTTTAAAAAGCGGTTTTAAGATTTTAGCAGGTTTTAATAATAGAATTATTAATATAGCTTTGAAAGTGAGTTTTAGCTACGTATAGGTTTTACCGTTCTAGCAGTATTTACTAATATTGTAAAGAAGTCCTTACATTCTAGTGGCCGTGTCTGGCGAAGAAGCGAAAAAGCTTACTCCGCACATCTGATTCGCGTGAAATTCGATAGCAGATTTTTTATATCGATTGCAAATCATTCCCTCGAATCTTTAAATAATTCAAACCTGGTATTGAAATGGCAACTACCTAGCTACAGATAGTAGCTACGCTCACCAGTAAAACTTACAGTTAGTTGCAGCCTGCTGCATCATGAAAATAAAACCACAACTAGAGTTTTTCTAGAATACTTAAATTTTAATTTCTTACGGAGTAGGCAGTTGTATTCAAACAAAATTTTCTTCTACTAATATTCGAACAATATAATTTAATTTAAATTAAGTCGGCCATTGAAATTCACTATGTGAGCAAACACAAATAATTACAACCATATTTTAGTACTTACTTCCTTACAGTGCTTACGATTATCACTTATCGTTTCAGATCGCAGAAATTGCTAGTATTTTCTGGATTTCAGTATATAGTATGAATGCTGTACCGGAGCTAGCTTTGCCGGAACCGGCTCGTTGGCACCGGTAAATCAACTTTTTTAGAAATAAAATACAGTTAACTGCAACAGCAGTTGATTTTAAATTTCATGAGCAACTGCTCGAAATTGGGCTGTTGTTGTTTCTTTCCACAAAATCACTAACTGACCATGAGATATCAACACTGTCCAGTGAGCAAACTGCAAGCTCGTATACTTGATGACATTAGTGAATAGATGTACGAGTACTTGCTTGGTTTTAGCCTTTAGGATAGCATTGTGTTGTCGAGTCAACTTGGCACCTTTTGATATAGCAAGTTATACCTACTTATACGTTAAACGGATAGGACTCACTGTAAAAAAGGTGCCAAGTTGACTCGACAACACAGTATGTCATTGTAAAACCTTTTCTTTTGAGACATGTTGTACGAGTAGTTCTAACTCGGATCGTTGATTAACTGGCATGCATTCAGAGTTCAGCATATTTAGAATGTTTGATAAAAAACGGGAATGCATATGGAAAACATTATTCATAAAAAACTTTTCTTTATTGCTCATTTTGTAAAATAATAAAAGAATAAGAAGGTGCACAAAAATCGTGTCCGTCTCCCTTTTCTGAGCGACACACTAAACTGCTAAAACCTTAAAACCACTTTTCGACAAATCACTGTCAAAACTACATATTATTAGTTTTGTTTTTAAAAACTGCTAAAACCTTAAAACCGCTTTTTCACAAATCACTGTCAAAACTATATATTATTAATTTTATTTTTAAAAACTGCTAAAACCTTAAAACCGCTTTTTCAAAAATCACTGTCAAAACTATATATTAATAGTTTTATTTTTAAAAACTGCTAAAACCTTAAAACCGCTTTTTCAAAAATCACTGTCAAAACTATATATTAATAGTTTTATTTTTAAAAACTGCTAAAACCTTAAAACCGCTTTTTCTAAAATCACTGTCAAAACTATGTATTATTAATTTTATTTTTAAAAGTTTAAAAAGTTTTAGAAGTTTTAAAACTTGGCCCACTTTGTACCTACCCTCGCCCTCTCGGCCTCTGCTCGAAAAATATTTTGAAAATGCCACAAGAGAGCGAGGTCTAAAGCTGGGCCTGCAAGCCCCAGCTTCAGACCTCGCTCTCATCTGGTTACTAGTAATGTGAACAATGTATACTTCGCCTTGCCCATTATTTCATCAGTACCGCTTTAGGGATCAATATATTAATCACTTTACCGAATTGAGAGCCTTTGTGGCGGGCGGCTACATGAACAACCACGGCTGACTGAAATGCAGTCTATGCATTACCATTCAGTCTATGCAGCCTACGCAGCTTATCAGTGTGCAATCTATGCAGTAAGACCAGCACTGCATCTATGCAGTAAAAGTGATTAATATATTGATCCCTAAAGCGGTACTGATTAAAATAATGGGCAAAGCGAAGTATACTTGCTAATTATCTCACGGGTGTAAATTACAGGACGCACCTCGGCCACCGGCCTCCATGCGCAAAAAAAGCAAAATCTATCCGGAAAACCTCAAAAAATTATAATGTATACGCCCGACGCCGTAATACCACACAGTTGGTTACGGATGTAGTCCTCCGTAAACTGGTTATATGAATACTGTACATCTCTTGCAGGTTTTCTGCCTCTCCGCTTTGTTCTCAATGATCTCAGCTCCCACTCATCCAATTTTCTCGCTTTAAAATGTTCTGGAAACCGCTCGGTCTAGCGGGTGATCTAAGGCTAATCGTTGTTTGCTAAATGCAGAACCTCAAGCCCAGTGGTCACTCGAAGGCTTGTTACCATGGAGGCCATAGCGCTAACATGGCTGGTCTGTTACCACGGTCACATTACACTGTACTTACTCAGTTAGCTCAAACATAAAACAGCTTCGGCTGCGCCTCTGCGTTTCCTATGTTCCGTGGGCTGACTGTACGACACTTCGTTGCTATTACAGTTTCGCGAGTTTAGCAGAATAAACAGAAAAACAGCAGCCGAGCCACAAAACGACACAAACTCTATAAACAAAGGACAATAATCTAAGAACTGAACATTAGTAGCAACTGGACTGAGAGACCCCGTTTTCTAAAGTAATACCCGACAATGACAGCAAGCGTCCACAGGTTGGCTAATCACTAAGCCAAACGACAAGAAAAGGAAAAATTCACCTGATACAACCGCCGCAGAGCATTCCCTGTCTTTTGTTAAATCCGATAAACTTAACAAAATCTTTTTTCTTATACAAAAACCAACTATTTTCAAACAAAAAAAATAACTGTTACTGCTTTCTCGAATGGGCTGGAACGTATGAATTTTAAACTAATTTATTTGCCCAGTCGTAAGCCAATATTCATCCGTGCTCATCTGGTTATATGAATACTGTACATCTCTTGCAGGTTTTCGGCCTCTCCTGTTTGTTCGCTATGATCTCAGCTCCCACACATCCGATTTTCTCGCTTTAAAGTGTTCTGGGAACTGCTCGGCGGGGCGGGTGATCTAGGACTGATCGTTGTGTGCTATATGCAAAACCTCAAGCCCAGTGGTCACTCGAAACCTTGTTACCATGGATGCCATACGGCTAACATGGGCCAGTCTGTTACCACGGTCCCATTACCATTACACTGTACTCAATTAGCTCAAACATGAAACAGCTTCGGCTCCCACCATCCTCTGCTTTTTACTTGTAAAATCACGGTTATACTGTAATTTCGAAAGACATGTCAATAATTTTGCACACATCATGATTGTAACGGTAATGCGATTACAGATGACAGCAAAAGCATGATGCATCCCCTTAAATAGTTGTAGCATCCCCACAGTTATATCATATTGTGGATACGAAAATGCAAAATTCAAAACGGACAGTTTTCAGTTAATTTTAATAATTTCTTTTCTCGATAAACCGGGAAAAAATGCGTCGCAAATCTGGTATTGGGAAAAAAACAGCTAGTGCACGTCGGGTGCGTATTCAACGGCTTCGGAATTTACCAACATCAGCGGTTACTCAATCAAAGGTATGAAAAATTTGTTTAACTCACGACATTTTATCAAACACGTATTTATGTAAACTGCTTCCGAATGTAAGAACTTGATATGGCACGAAAACAGGATAAAGACAACGAAAACTTGGTAAATGCTTGGACGTGTGGAGCGAATAACACGAGGCCACAGAATGTGGGTTCTGAGACGTCTGAGGCATTTGAAATCGGTTCGCAGACTGCAGTTTCGCTCATCAGAAAAGAAACAACCCCCGTGGCTTTTAAGCACAGCATTGATGGGAAGAAAAGGCGCACGAATATTATTAAAAAAAAGGCCGAAATCGCACCAAATAAAATGTTGCAACAATGGGCACGAAATCCCGAAAAAAACCTCTTTTCCTTTCAAAATTTCATAAACATGCAATACCCAGCATATGTCGTTATGGATAGCGAAAATTCGGATTCACTGTCACAAACGGCTCAATGGAATAACGTCTCAAAAGTCACGATTTCTGCAATGAAGACGGGGTTTGGATTGTGTTTCAGCCATGTATTTAAAGGAAGTTGTGGTGTGTGTGGCGTGAATTTAACACATAATAAAAGAGTCAAGAAAGGTCAACGATCAGCAGAAGGTTCAGACAAGTATATGCTGGATAAAATGTTTCCTGATTTAAAATCCCTTTCTCTGGAAACAGAATATTCTGTATGCAGTTTTTGTTCAAAGAAGGAAACCGGGTTCGCAGACAGTTTACCACATGGGCATCCAGAAACGGAGGATGTCACAATTCCCACAGTGTTGACAGCTGTAACTGACCCCATTCAGGAGCAAATGCTTTCTTTAGGAAGAATATATTCCTTTGTTTACAAATACACTGACCCGACTCGTATGCAGTTCATTCATTTGCAAGGTGACGTTCAATACGGAAGACAATTTGACGAACATTATCAAGGGATGTTGGGCGTAGTCTGTGAGAAAAAAACTTTAGGAAGCTTGAAAATGTCACAGGAAGTTGTCGATGCCGTGAAATGGCTGAAATCTAATAATCCTGTGTTTGAAAGATTTGCTGCATTAGCTGAAACTATGTGGCCATGGATTGTTCATACGCCGCAGTTCCAGAATGGTTGTACTATACAGATGGGTGACGGAACACTTGAAGATACACTGTGTAATGAGGAAACAGCTTTACTGGAACCTGATTTTAGTAACGAAGAAGCACCGTCACAAAACAGTGACTGGGACATCATGGGTTCCAACTTTGTTCGGTGTGACCAGGAGGATTTTGAAGGCCTTGTGAAGCTCAAATTAAGCGACCCTTTGTTTGATGTGAAAGTTTTTCCGAAGTTATTTCCATATGGCAGAGGAGGATTTGATAAGAAATTGAAACGCATCAGCCTTCCTATATGGCACAAAAAGAAACTACTGCACCGATCAGCGGCTTTTCGACGCAGCAAGTACTTTATTTTTTTACAGCTAGATCGAAAAATCAAAAACCAACTTTTCGGAACGAATCGTTTTTTTATAAGCAATCGTAAGAAAAAGTATCACAACGACCCAGAAAAAGGTTGCGCTGAAGAAAGCAAAGACTACGACAGTTGTAAGAACACGCCGTATGGAACAGAACTCCCACCGCATATGCCGGGAACTGCAGCGTACTGGAGTAACTGTGCTGCAGATGTAATTGCAATGTCTCAGGATAAATTCCTTGGCCAGCCAGATTTGTTTGTGACTTTAACGCAGAATGACACCTGGCCAGATATTGAATTATCTGTGGATAACAGTCCAGGGTATATACCGAATTCCCTAAATAATATATGCCCAACAAAATCTGCTACCGCTGTAAACAATCCTGTAGAAGTGACACTGTGTTATGAAAGGAGATTCAGTGAGTTCAAAAAACTATTCTTATATAACAAGCAAGGGCCGTTTGGAGAAGTCAAACATCATTGGTATAGACATGAATATCAAAAACGTGGAGCGATAAATACGCATTTGGTTATATGGCTAAAAAATAGAGATGCGGCCGTCGGTTTAATTAGTGCTCATATACCGGAAGCTGACAACCCAGTATCTGGTTTTGTTAAACATCTGGTAAAGCAGCATCAGATACACGAACGGTGCCTGAAAGAACGATGCTTCAAAGGTGTTGGGTCGAAGATTTTGAAAATTTGCAAGTACGGATTTCCTTTCAAAACTCCGTTGGAAAAATGCTGTCTGGATGAAAAAGGCGTGCGTTACCTGTATCCGCGATACAAGTTGGAAGATGCGTACGTTGTACCTTATAACGCAGATCTACTGCTTATGTGGCAAGGCCATGTAAACGTTCAAAAGGTCACTGCAAATGGGTGGCAGTTGTACCTTGCAAAGTATGTCGCAAAATCGGAACCGTCACTTCGCTTGCAAACGACATCACGCAACCAAGTTGAAAAGTATTTAACAACAAGGGTTACTGGTATACTGGAAGCATGTCAGCGGTTGCTCCGAATTAATCTGTTTGGCACTTCAGTTGACACGGTGTACATCCCAGACGAAATAATACCAACTTATCAAATTATAAAAAAAGGACACCCGAAGGATGAAAAACCCAAAGAAGATGATTTTTATAAGACGAAATTCCAGAAGTACTTATGTCGTCCGGCATGTCTAAGAGAAATTCCGTACCCAGAATTCTACCAGTACTTTGCAATTAGTACTAAGAGTCCACCAGTCAACAACGATGAAGAGGACGATATCTACAGTAAGAGCATTAATTCAGATGAAACAGGTAGTCAAACGTACTGTTCTTTAATTGTTTGGTCATTGTGATTATTGTTACATTATGGCTGCGTGCGTGGCTAAACAGTGACCTTGGCTGCTGCAAAAGTTTGTATGCAATCGCATACTGTGTAATACAGTAGTGCAACAGTGTAACATTTAACATACCTTTATTAAATATCACGCAGGTTATTCGTAACTGTAGTGTGTTAACTTTTTACTGCAACACCGTAGACTTTGTAGCCGTGGAGTAGGAATGTAGTGGCTGAGAACACATTTTCGAAACATTTGACCTATTGTTTTAGGTATCAACTGTGATGAAAATGAAGCAAGCAAAATAATCAATGAATTTTGGCCAACTACAACGGAAAGTATGCGAAACATAATCTCCCAATTAGAACATGGGACAGTAATTGGACAACGCAACGAATTGAGGGTCATAAGAAGAAGATCGCCAGTGGTAAGTCGATTTCCTTTTGCCGTACCGGATTCCGAAAATACTGAACGGTATTATCGACAATTATTAATTAGCAAAGTGCCCATATATCCCGATATTCCTTACTTTTCGGCCGATAATTCGTCACGAACATTCTTGGAAGAATGTATCATAAGGCAGCTTATTACAGAAGAAACGGTCAATGATACCATAGACAAAGCCGTATCGAAAGGATTTACTTATGACAAAATCTACGAAATTGCGCAAATGTGTGTTAGAAGTTTCCCTCATTTAAATGATGCCGTTGGTGAAACTAGCAGAAGTTCAACAGATGCACCAGCAAGCACATTACAGTTCAGTCACTAACGAAGAAAATGAGCTGCCGGAATTTTTTCCAAAACAAACATTGAGTGAATCGGTACAGTTGACAGATGCCCAAGATGCTATCTTCGAAAACATACTGGAACAAGTTCAGAACGTCGAAAAGCAGTGCTATAACGCCTTAATCGGACCTGCAGGAACTGGAAAAAGTGTTTTAATTAAAAAAATACATGCCACGCTTTCCGAGCAAAATATTAACGTTGCTGTACTTGCGCCTACAGGAACTGCAGCTAATGGAATAGGTGGAACAACAATACATAATTATTTTAATATCGGCATTGACAACCGCTGCAAAATTGAGCGGGATACTACAGAATTTTGGAGAGCGCATTTGGTGGACGTCATAATAATTGATGAGATCAGCATGGTTAACCAGGAACTTTTCGAAAGCTTAAGTCTGGTGTTACGTAAGTTTAACAAACGGAACAGACGTTTTGCGGCATTTGGTGGTGTGTCGTTACTGGTTGTCGGTGACCCCGCGCAGCTGCCACCAGTATCCAGAACCAACACGCAGTGCTCCGTATTTTTAGGAAGGTACTGGAATAAATTCACTGTACATCACCTAACCGAAATTCTGAGGCAGAAGGACCCACTTTTCCAGTCTATACTCGATGATCTACGTTATGGCAGCTGTTCTGATTCAACGCTTAAAACCCTTCAAAGTGTTTCAAGAACTGCTGATGACATATTACTGGATAAAAACATGTACATTCCGATTATATGCCCACATCTCGACTCGGCCGCTGAATGGAATGAAAAATATTTGAATTTATTTGACGGCCCTCTGGAGACATATACCGCAAAAGATATCGGAACGGATGGCAATGAAATGACCGAAATCGACAAGGAACGTACAAAAAGATGGTGTCATGACCGACTACCCGATCAACTAAAGGTCAAAAAAGGTGTGATGGTGATGCTTTTGCGGAATATCGACGTACCAGGCGGTTGGCACAATGGTGCATTGGCCACTGTCGTCGAGTTTTCTAAGCGGATAATCACCATTAAATCGGTATCAACTGGAAGAATTCTGTCAGTTCCGAGATTCAAGAATTCCTATCGCATTTTTAAATCCACGACACTGGGTTATCGTGAACAGTTTCCACTACAGCTTGCTTATGGTCTAACAATTCATAAATTTCAAGGGCAAACACTGGAAAACGCGATAGTTGACCTGCGCCAACCGGTGTTTTTCACCCTGTCACAAGCAAATGGTAGATACTTAAAAAATACTTAAAAACTTAGAGTAAGAAGCTTTTTTTTCGAAAAGTCAAAAAGTTGCTTAGTGCATGATTCATCCAGTGCATGCACCATGCCAACAACTTTTTCCTTATTGAGTGAACATGTCCGTCTCTAGAGAAAACAACTTAAAAAAATAAAATATTACTGACGCAAAAAAAGACGAAATTTTGCACTTTGTGAGCTGGGACAAGAAAAATTTCGAAACGATTTCAAGTGACGCCATTGCCAACGAGGAACTTTCAATTTTTTTAAAACAGTTTTGTTGTTTTTAGTAGCTAATAAAATTGTCTATCAAACGAGTCTAAAACGTTTGCCGTACGTCCAGTAGTTTGCGAGAGGCAAAGCAAAAACGGAGAGGGCCATTTTGTTCGGCCACCCGCTAATTATGTATTACAGTGTAATACAGATAAAACGTCCTTAAGACACAAGAAAGCGTTGGCTCACTGTTCGGTATACACTGACAACAATAATTAACTGTCGGTTACCAATATTTAGGTTACGTGTGTCTATTACCAACCTAAAGCTGGCAAACGACGTCCAAAAAGAACCGCTGATCACTGGACTGCAACTTCCGGGAAATTTCAACGTGTCATCGCTCATCGCCAATTACGAAAGGAAAAACTTTCGCGAACATGACAAGTACAGCAAAATTATTCTCTTAAATAATCTTAACTTACTCCAACGTTTTAACCAAACATATCCAATAATATATCCAATAATCTGTTTCCAGACCGCTCGTCTTTACTGTCGTTCACACCACGGCGCCATACAGCACAGCACACGGTGGTGAAGCTATTAATATTATGGTTTCTGATCATTCGGGAAGCGCAGTACTGTCAGCTTTAAACAGTGACGTTTCAAAGGTGCAGCAACTTATTGTTGGAAAGGTAAATAGTTTCCGATGTCGGTGTTCCAAATTTTTTTAAGATTTATTAAAGATATATCAATACTAGTTTACATGTATACGAACCGATTTCCATTTAAGTATTTTCATATATATAAAAGGTGACCTTCGACAATAAGCCGGAACCTTTTCAACACTAAAACAGTCACACTGCTTCTGTAGACTTATCGGATGAAGTTCTATGACGTCAGCGAACTGAAGCCGAACTTCCGAAAGGAATCATCAGTATTGGTCCAATTTTATGCGAAAGCGAAGACACTAATTGAGTCGGCAATTGAGAATCCAGTTGACATCGAAACCATCACGCCTCTATCACAAGCTCATGAACATACCGATCTAAAGCGTAAGCAAGCAAATCTGTCACAAATTTAATATGAGAATACTAATTCTATAACATGACAATACTGATATGACAATACTGACTGATAACAGAAACGATATTTCCTTCTGCGGCAGCAAAATTTACATTATAATAATATAAGCTAACAGTATAAGGTTTACTGAACACTACTGCATGTGTTTTCAGACTACATGACCTTCGTGGAAAGTGTGGGATACTTGGACGACCAGAAGAAAACAAGGAACGGAGAGCGAGCATTTCGCACATTAAAAGTGTGGGACTGCTCGCAGGCCTTGCCCTATCGAGTTGATTTATGGGGGCACCTTGTAAGCCGCAAACTGCATTTTTTAAACAACAAAGTATAAAAATTACATATGCTAAATTATCTTCAACTAGATTATCTTTAAAGGCTACCATCTTCATCCCAACCGTCTACGAGAAAAAAATTGTGTTCTTTCACAACCTTATCCACACCAGCTACAACAATGGTGGTCTCCAATCCGGCTACAATAAAACATATTTTTACATTTCTGAAAGTTCACCGGCACTGACCATCAAGAACTGGGCATTGGAAATCGGCCTGATTGACCCGGACTCGGAAGAAGAAGTTCAGACAGCTAACGCAACCGACATTGCCACTAAACGCCCGCTTGTTGGGGAGGCACCAACCCAAACAACAAAAAAAGGGAGAATTTCAGCTGTACCCCCCGGAAACTGACTACCGAATATTCGCTGATGACAAAAAGATGTTGACTCCCCGCAGAGCATTCCCAGTTCAAAAACTGAACGCTAACTCTTATTTTACATAAAATAGAATACTAATCCCTTGAACACACTGCAACTTATGCATATTAAAATTTTCTACTGATACAGCCGCAAGTTGGCCGCAGAGCATTTCCTGTCATTTGCAAATCTAATAAACTGAACAAAATCTGGTGTCCTACACAAAAAACAACTTTTTTCAAGCAAAATAATAAATGCTTCCTCCAATACGCTACAACGTATGAATTTTAAACTAATTTTTTAACCCAGTCGTAAGCCTATATTCATCCGTGCTCAGCTTGTTATCTACATCCGTAACATCTTATACACGAGTATGCTTTGTTCCGAATGATTGGCCGAACGGCTGGGCCGATTTTCACACAGAAAAGTGCGTTAGAATCGTCGCAACGACGCCGGTAATGTTACGTTGTTACTTAATGGATGCGCCCCAACGGGGAAGCAGAGGCCCTGAAAAAGAAATTGTTGTCATGGGCCCCCATAGACGGGCGTGGGCTATTCATATGTACAGTCGCAGCGACAGAGGCAGCCCGCGGCCTTCGGCATCGCTTCGGCAAACAAAATAAAACATCGTAAAATCAGGGCAAAATAATAAAAGTAATCAAGCTGGCGATTAGCGCAATCTGTATTTTTTGCTTTGTTTCAGCTTTCTTAGGTTTTCTTACGTTTCGTA